ACTCAACGGATTTTAAATAAAAAATATTTTAATATTTGAGGGATAGTTTCACCCCCTTAGAATTCGAGTTTCCAAAAATCCCAGGATTTTAAACAGGATCGTGATTAATCAATGACCAGATTTTTCGAAACACCCTGTATATATATATATTTTTAAAAATTATTAAAATATGTAAAAAAACGAAATGAAACGTGTTTAAGAGTTTTTTTCGGAAACTTGACCGTTTTTTAAATAAAAAATATTGTAATATTTGAGGGGTGGTTTCACCCTCTTGGAACTGGAATTTCGAAAAATCCCTTCTTATCGAACATCTACACCCTAGAATCAACCTGTATACCAAAATTGAGCTTCTTACGCTGAGTGGTTTGAGCAGGATCGTGATTGATCAGTATGTCAGGCACTTAAGGATTTTATATATTAGTATAGATATAGAAATAGCAAATATTAGTCTGTAATATTTAAAATAAAAAAGTTGCTGTGAACTTCCGGTATTTCTGGAAGTGTCACCATATTGAAAGGATTTTAATCGATATATTTCGTTGTCAAACACTGATATGCGAAAAAATCTCCGATCTAGATATATATTGTAATTCTCTAGAAACTTCTAATGCACGTTCAGCCTGGGACACCCTGTACATTTGCTTACAAGGTATTACATTAAAAATAGGGTCGAAATATTAAAAGTGAATCCAGAATTATTGTTATAAAAATGGTACATTAATAAAAAAAATATGGGTAGTTCCTCGAACCCAGCATTACCAGCTAGCAGAACTGGTTCTGAAATCCTCACCAGTTAAAGGCAGGATGCTAAAAAACTCGCACAAAATAGAGGACTGCGAATACAGTCTTCATATAGAGAGCAAAAACCTTTAATCCCCGCTTAATTAGTGTTTCTACAAATCATATTTTAACAGCTGCAGATTTTAGTTTTTGAAAAAAATCGTTTTTATTTGAATGAAAAAAAGACATGATCAGGTTTGAAAAGCACTTAGACTAAAGTCGTTAAAATAATCTAAAATTGTATTATTTATAGAAAGCATACCTAGTAAGGTAACGGGCTAGTTTTTTTGGCATAGCCTTTCTCGATATAAATTCATTCGCAGACTTACTTCGACCGTTACATTGAGGTCCACGACCTTGCTACTTTGTACTTGTACCAAGTACCAAGTGATTTCCGCTGAACAAATTTTTAATATGCAATCCAACATCATAGCGTGACACAAACAATGCATATAGTTAGATGAAAAAAGTTATATATTATGTATTTTCTTCCCATCCGACAAACTCGTTTTCAAAGGTACTACAAAGCGAAGAAGAAAGAGAGTACCTATTATAGGGAAGTCAAATAAAGTTGGACTGCAGGTCATCAAAGACGTTGAAACCATATCGAAACTATTACCGTACTAAATGTCTAATAAAAACAAATTCGTTTCAAACGTAGAGGGCAGTTTTCTTTTTTTATACTCTTTAAAACACTCTTTGGTTAAAAAAATCAGCAAGCTGTGGCAGCAAGTAAACGAATTAGCCGATAAAATAGGCTTTATGTTGATAGTCATGGCAGATGTTGCCTGTTGTTGCCATTAGATTTTTTTTGCAAAAGAAAAATCGCTGTAACTTTTTTGCTGTGGAAAATTTTGTATTTTTATGAAAACATTTCCAAAGCACCTTTTTACGTAGAACTTAATGGTTTAAGTATATTTTTTAAAAGCTAATAATTTAAGAATTATTATCAACAGAAAATTTGATTTTTTATATGGGACATCCTGTATATTTTTAACTTATTGAAAATAATTTAAAAGTACCTTTCCAAAAATATAGCACATTTGATATTTTGCTTGATTCCTCTTCGAGATATAGAGTTTATAAAAATTCGCCCACTGTAAATAAGTAGGCTTTGAATTTGAACGGCACCGGCTGTAATGCAAACAATTTCTAGCTGTGAGCTCAATTAAAACGAAAATAATAATATTTGTAATGAGAGATGCAGAATTTTATAACAATTTAAACTATATTTAACCAACATCAACAACTTTAAACTATATCTAATAACATTAGAAATAATTAGCAAACCAAGACATCAGATTTTGGTACAGGTGTTCGACATATCAACCGTCTTCTGTATCGTCAGATGGGGCAGTTTTTGAACATTTCTCGCGGAATTCATTAGCTCAGTTGGGGTGAAAGATACCCTCTCATAACTGCTAATATTTATATTTCTTGTTTAGATTATACGGGTCATTTAAAAATAAGAACTTTTATTCTTCCGCAAAGATATCCATAGGATTAGATTCATAGGCACTCCGGCGGCCTCGACAGCCAACGGCTGGGATCTTGGTTAGCCATTCAATTATTCTTGAAATTGGCTGCAAAAATTTACTGATAACTTCAGCGTTCTGTGGCAGTGCCTCGTCTTGCTGGAAAAATATGTTTTCGAGTTCCATTAGGGACAGATCATCAATAAGGGCAATTAAGGGGCTTATGATCAATAATACCAATCCAAAGCCTACTAGGTGCTACTAGTTAAAAGTGGCGAACTTTTAAAAATTCTGTATTTCGAAGAGGATTATAACAAAATATCAAGTGTGCTATGTTTTTGGAAAGGTAATTTTAAGTTTTTTCTTGGTTAATTAAAAATATACAGGGTGTCCCAAATAAAAAATCAATTTTTCTGTTGATAACTCTTAAATTATTAATTTAAAAAAAAAAACTATATTTAAACCATTAAATTCTACGTAAAAAGGTGCTTTGGAAATGTTTTCATAGAAATACAAAATTTTCCATAGCAAAAAAGTTACAGCAATTTGTTAAAAATGCACATTTTTGAAAAATACCCCGTAACTCCGAAACGGTAACATATATCGATGTGCGGTTTTCACCATCATGTTTTTGACAAAAATTGAGCTCCAAACGCCGATATTAGTTTTCGTCTATCTCCTATAGAAGAGGGTGTTTCCCTTAAAAAGCGTCCAATTTGGCTCACCCTATACATAATGGTGTATACTGTTCTGGTTACCGTTAATAGTTCTGGTCTTTAGTTAATATTCGATGGTCCTGATACTATTTTTATTACTTTTCCTCTCTACTTTCCTTCGTTTTGCAAAAAACCATCAGGTACCACGACTCATCGATTTTCCATCGCCGATTGCGTTTGCTAAAGGTCGGTGGTACGCAAATTACACAAAGCCTTTCCGAGAGAAAGTACCGATGAATCAGCTTCGCCGATTTGGAGAACCGGTCTGAGTACGGCACACGTAATTTTTCGGCCCAATGCCTCGGAGCTAGGTCTGGCGTGTCGGCTGGATTATTCGGCTACCGAATTTCGTACTGTTGGTGTTAAGGCAAGGTTTTTGTTACACCAGTTGAGAAATATTTAAAGACATTGTCAATATCAAACCTACGCGTTGTTGTATAATTGAAATTCCTATACCATATGTGTCTTTCAAACTATATTAGGGTTTCCTATACTTATTTAGCTCAGATTTTGAATAAAAAGCATTTTTTTCAATAAAATGGCTATCAAGATGGCTGGTGTCGCTATGGCAATTTTCTAGACATTAGTTTATGGGCATTATTATTTAGATTTGTGACAGTTCATTTAAATGTACTTACAATAATTTAATAAGTAAGTATTCATTATTTTCTCAAGAAAAATAAAGCAGTATCTGCTGGCGGAGCGAATGGATATGTTACTAGTGATTTTATTTTGTGAGAAAAATTGCTTCTTGGCCTCAAGGGCTTATGCTCAAAGATATCCAAATAGGAATCTTCTTGGTAAGCGCTCCTTTGAAAAACTACTTGTCCTAGGTATTTCGCAAAGCTGGTAGTGTGGTTTATAAAAAAAACATTAGACAGAAACCTGTCGTTGGAAGTGAAGAAATCTGAGCTAGATAGGTATAAGCAACCCTAATAAAGTTTGAGAGAGCATATGAATCTGCTTCGATTTATTTAAAAAAATACAGGGTGTTGCATTTGAAATAACGAAGTTTTAATATGAAATAAATATTTAAAATAGACCAGCAAGTTTTGATACCCCTGTATATATTAAACGAAGCAATCAAATTTTTCAGTAAAGTTTATTTCTTTGGCTTAAAAGTCAACACGAGAATTAATTCTGAAAAGCAATGTACAGGGTGTTGACAATCTTTTTTATTATAGCATGCATATTTAAATATCTTCAAATATTTAAAAAACCAAAGCTTGTAAACATATTTAACCCTTATAATAAATGCTTTATTTTGTGTCCAGGGATCCAAATATGACATAAAATACCGGGTTCCATAAGAAAAAATAGAAATTTGGTCCATAAGAAAAAATAGAAATTTGGTATGGATCTTAGTTCTGACATATCCTGTTGTTCCATAAAAAAAAATAGAAATTTGGTGTGGATCTTAGTTCTGACATATCCTGTACAGGGTGGGTCAAATTCGACGCTTTTAAATGGAAACACCCTTTTCTATAGGAGATAGACAAAAACTAATATCGGTGTCTGGAGCTCAAATTTGTCAAAAACATGATGGTGAAAACCGCATATCGATATCTGTTACCGTTTCGGAGTTACGGGGTGTTTTTCAAAAATGTGCATTTTTAACAAATCGCTGTAACTTTTTTGCTATGAAAAATTTTGTATTTTTATGAAAACATATCCAAAGCACCTTTTTACGTAGAATTTAATGGTATAAGTATAATTTTTTTAAAATTAATAATTTAAAAATTATCAACAGAAAATTTGATTTTTTATATGGGACACCCTGTATATTTTTAATTTATTGAAAAGAATTTAAAATTACCTTTCCAAAAATATAACACACTTGATGTTTTGCTCGATTCCTCTACGAGATATAGAGTATATAAAAATTCGCCCGTTTTAAAATATAAGTAGGCTTTGAATTTTTGGCATTATTTGTCATCAGCAATAATTTCCCAAGTTTATGCGTATAGGTTAAGAATCACCCTGTATATTAACATTTTAACAACTAACAGAAATATTTTTCTCTTTCCAGAATCATCTTCGGACGAGGACAGCGTAGCCAATGAGGACGCCCTTCCCGCGGTGGAGAGCACGCCCGAACGAGAAAAGGCGGCGGTGGCGGCGATGAGGGGCGGCAGCGGGGGCGGCCCGCACGCCTTCCCCCCTCCCCCGCCCAGCGACACGTCGAGCGCCGGCTCGCCGCCGCCCCTGCAAAGGCGGCCGAGGGCGCCGCCGCCCTTGTGGGGCGACCAGCAGCGCGGCCGCAGTCAGCAAGAGATCACGGATATCAGCGACGTGTTGCAGAATTTCAGGCCGTGTAAGTATAAACAGAGTGTTACAGGCGAAAGCAGAGACAAATTTTAGAGGGTGATTGCTCGTCAAAAGATATTAATGTCTGTCAGGGTTGGCATGATTTTTTCAATTTTAATCGGGTGATTTAAATAAAAAAAAATTTTATTGAAACGGTATATTACAATTTGATAGACAATTAAATTGTGTACCTGATTTACGTAAAATATACAGGGCGTTTCGCTTAACTTAAACAAGTTATTACCGTTTAAAGCTATTTGTATAGACCAGTGACCTCTAAATAAAGTAGACCCGGCATTTCATTCATAAAAAGGAAAAGATCAGAATCAGACATTCATTTCTTGTTCTATGCGAGTGGGAACAAGACGGGCTGATCGCAGTCATGAAGGATTCCCGAGAGAATGGCAACGCTGTTCGGAGATCTTGAGAATGTGTGCCAGTGGCGTAGTTACTTTGATTGTAATATATAATTTAATATTTCCAAAAAAATCCTTTATGGGTATTTCGCCACTGCACTGCAAGAAAAATCTACAAAATAAAATAATTATTTTTTGTAAACACTTCTGCGTTAAACCTAAACGGACGCTGCTTGTCAGAAGTTATGTTTACGGTAATACAAATTTGCCTAACACAGCAAAAAAAATGCTTAACGTTTCGGAAAGTTATCTCTTTCCGTCGTAGGAAGCAGAAAAAAATACAAAGAATAAAGAAAAAAACTATTTAAAATATTTAAATTCAACTATTCGAGAACACTTTACTTTTTTAAAACGGATACATCTACAAGAAACCGTTGACGTTCTGTTAAAATGTCAACGGTTACGGTTACTAAAAACAATACCACAAAACACTAAAATATCTGGAAATCACCTCGTAAAACATTTCGAAAAACCACAACACGTTGGCAATGTCGTAGAGCAATTTATGAATGAATTCGAACTGGATGTTTTGTTGGCTGCCTAAATTTAGGAGTGAAGATAGTAAAATGTGTACGTTCTCAGCATCAGATGGCGTTGCGACGTTGTCGATTGATTTATGTTAGATTTCTTAAAATCTAAAAATTATAATTACAGAAGATTTAAATAATTGGGAGTAGTGCGTCATATTATTCTACGACGTAAACTATATTTGGAATTATGGAATTCCTGGTTTACAATGTGGGAGGTGGGTTAGCTATCCCCGTACGTATACGTAGGTAAAATTTCCTTTTAAATGCGGCCGAAGTGGAAATTTGGCATACATGCAATTTTCTAAGGCAATGATGGATTTCGCCAAAATGTAAGTCGCCGGGTCTAATTTATTTCGATGTCATTGGTATAGACACTCTTTATAAGGTAGTATAATTTTTATTATTGCGAACAACTTTCCATGTGCAACAATTATTTCACAATTGTAAACAATTATTGCAACACAAAATTTAGTAAATAGAAAACTTCAGTACCTACAATATTTGGTTTTAAAAACTTAAATACGCCTAGAAAAATGAAGCATTAAAATTGTTACTGTATTTTCACAATATCGTAAATATTTCAAAAGAGTAAAAACCTTAACCAAAACTACCTTTATTTTATTCGTAGAAACTAAAAATATAATAATATACAGATATACAACTTTGATTATTTTTCATTTATGACACCCTGTACCTATTGAAAATAATTTTAAATTGTAGCTCTAACAGTCCTTCAATGAACCCAAAACTTACAATTTGTAAAAATCTAATCATTTGGCTACAATTTGTCCGTGTCGAATGAGGTGAATAACCCTGTATATAAAAAAATATGGAAAAAAGTTCGTATAAACATTGGTTTTCAAATTTAAAATATATCAAAAATAATTCGAAAAAAATGTACGCCACTGACTTTTCTGCAATTATTTATATATTTTTAAAAAATAAAACAAACTAAAAATAAACTACATTTTTTCCTTGTACCATATGCCTATCTCTAACCGAGATTATTAAGGTAATTGTTTTCCAGATTCACAACCACCAGATGTTACTAATAACACAGCCCAGGGCGGTCGCAGAACAGCAGCAGATAGAGTTAATCGTTTCACGTCTTCAGCGTCAGAAGATGGTACTATGGGCACCGGTACTGGAAGATGGAAGGTAAGCTTACTACAAATAAAACAGAGGTTTTTAGATCAAAATAACTCTTGCTGAATTTAACATTATTTGCTTATAATCTATAGAGTCTACTTTTGTGGAATTTTGTATACAGGGTGAGTCTTAAATAAATGCAAATATTTTTAGTGACCGTATATTTCGACCCCAGGAACTCAAGTCTATGAGGTTTTTTTCGCGAATATTATTTTTTGAAAATATGGTATTTATCGAGAAAATAATTGATTTTTTTTTTAAATTTTAAGTACATCAAATTTCCAAGAAAGAAAACCCAGAAAAAGTCCAGTGATTCTTAAAATTTAAACATATTATAGTCATTAATATACAGGGTGGTCCAAACTGTATTTCGGAAACTTCGGCCAGTATATTCTGCAGATAAAAATAATTAAAAAAGTTCATATAAATTATTTCCTAAAATGCTTAGTTTCGAAGATACAGGGTGTAGAAGTTTCATTTTATTTCGATTTTTTTCAAATGATTTCTGAGGTAACGTCAATATTTGGATGAACATTCGTATCTTGAAGTTTTTTGACATGATAAATTTGGTTTTGATGTCAATATGACTCCTATTTGTATGGGGCGCCACCTACATATGTTTTAACTGTTTTGAAGAGATAACTTTTCGTGTCCGTACCTGTATAAAACTACTGGGTGAAAAAATACATAATTCCGTGATTTTTTACTTAAAAAATGTCTCTTGGTAAAAATCGCTACGAGCAATCGTTCTCAAGATATTTGGAACGGAAATCCGGTAGAGATGCCCCACTTTTCTTTTGGGGCTAATAATACATATTGGTAGTTAATTTTAAATGATACTAATGATGCATTCCTAAACTATCTTTAATAATAATTCATAATAGGACTAAGATAGTAATATAATAAGTAACTATATATAATACTAAGAGAACAACAAAAAAAAAGAAAATTGGCCATCTCTCCCTACGTTGCGGGAGAGATGGCCTTCCAACATGGGAGAAATGCCCCGCAAAAAAATACATATACATATTGGTTAAATATCTAAGGTTATTTTTTATTTTTTTAACTAATATCCAAAAGGCATTGGGGTCCAAATTTACCAGCTTTCTATGTGGCATCTCTCCCAATACGATGGGAGAGATGCCCCACCGCAAGGTTTTAAAATGCAGCGACATATGATTAATTTTTTTAAGTTATGACAAAGAGTAGATAAGACAAGAGACGACAGTGAACAAAGAAGACGAATTTCGCGAGAGAGACGCAGATATATTAAAATTTAAAGGTCCCATCAAGTCCCATTTTGTCTGTTGCCAAGTATATTTCTATGAAAAATAAACAAGATTTTCTGAAAATAAATTAATAATATAAGAAGAATATAATAAGTAACGTATGTTAATACAGAAATGTAAATTTTTAGTTTAGGTTGGTTTAGGTTCTTTTTTCGTAATTTACTGATAATATCAAAGAAACAGAATGACTAAGTTGATCGATTTCAAAGATAAACGATAAAATCTGACAACGGCGTATTTTATTTATTCTAACCTATGATTTTAGAACGCTAATCAGCTGTGCTAATCAGGCTTAAACATAAACAAATCTGATTAGTTGTTTTCTTGCATTTTTGCCTTTTTAAAGTGTGTGTTTCAGAGTTTTTCGATATTTTATCGTTTTGAGAGTTTTTAAGGTTTAATTTTAGTATCGTTTTTGTGGCGTACTAATTTGTAATTATTGTTAAATATGAATACTGAACAGGACACGAGTAGCAGGAAAAGACGAGATGGTGGCAATGTGTGTGCTTATAAAGATTGCAAAAATAAGTCTTATTCTTCGACAAACATAATATTTCACTCGTTTCCAAAGGATCCTGAAAAGTATTTTTATAGAAATATACTATATAATTATGTTATTAAACTAAATGTAATCCATAGATCGAAGACATGGTTAGAAACTTGTAATATATTTTAACAAAAAAAATTGAGCAACTCAAAATTGAGTTTTTTTGTACATAAACTCCACATTGTGATATTGTAGAGTGGAGGGGAGTTAATCACCGCGACCTTATAGATCTATTGTGTGTTCATCGTAATATTACACTTGTTCAAGTCCATATGTAAAAAAAAATACAAGTAAATAAAACACTTCTTACAAATCGACTTGGTCACTTTATCTTGTTTACCAACGATATACAAAATATTGCTTTTATTATCTTTATTCCCCGACAAATATGTTTCTAATTATAATTTATTTTATATAATATTTAGAAAACTCATTTTTTTTTCGTTTCTATTTATTTCTTTACCCATACAGTAACTATTTATAAGCTATACAGGCAAGTTTTAATAATAGTCTATTTCAAATTTCCCGCGAAAAAGTTACGAAAATTTAAAGGGACAAGCGAGACGAGGTCACTCTCCCCACCACTCAAACATGAAAGGTACCGTGCGAACTGTCGTCTCTTGTCTTATCTACTCTTTGGTTATGATACATCATGTATTTTAATATAAAATGGCATGAAATACCAAAAACTTACATAATATTACGTTATTCCCACGCGACCTCGACAGTAAAAAAATATGTACTTATATAAAAACAGTTTTTTGTAAAAACTAGCCTATTTTTTTATTGACATTCAAATTATGTCAGACTATAATAGCAGCAGGTGAACTACTGCCGTATCCAGCGGGAAGCAACTGATAAGTCACATGATTAGAAATTTACACGCTGCGGCCATCTCACCCGGTGGGGCATCTGTACCGGACTTACCCTATTGACAAAAAATAAACATGTTGAGTCTTTTGACTGGAATGATAAATTGTTTAACTTTTTATTTTTTTTAATTAATCATAATTTTTTTTCCAAAAAATTATGATAAAACAGTTTGTGTTGAAGTTTTGGCCCAAAAACATTTCAAATTTGTGATTTCAATCTAATAACTATTTAGTCAACATGTTTTTTTCTTATGTCAATGATGACACGTATTGATAATTTAGATTCCCAATATCTCGAGAAACATTACTCGTAGCGATTTTTACCAAGACATCTTTTTTTTACGTAAAAACGTAAATGTATATTTTATTATTACTCTCCAAACCAGTTAAAATATATGTAGGTGGTGCCCCCTACATGTAGGAGTCATACTAACATCAAAATCAAATTTCGCAGATCAAAAAAATTCCAGACACCAATTTTCATCCAAATATTGATGTTACTTCAAGAATTATTTGGAAAAAATCAAAATAAAAATGTTCCACGCCCTGTATCTCCGAAACTAAGCATTTTCGGACATACATTTATACGAACTTTTTTACTTATTTTTATCTGCAGGATATGCTGCCGAAGTTTCCGGAATACAGTTCGGACCACCCTGTATAATGAAATATGTTTCTCTTATGGAGATCTAGCAGCCCTTAAAATATCTACACTTACCCTGTATAATAAGTTTTTTTCAATATTAGAGTTCTTTGATACTCATAGGAATATTAACCTTTATTTACCATCAACTATCGAACCTCCAAGCGACTCGCATACCTACTTGAAAAACTCTAAAACTAAAGGAGTATGTTATTTCCTAGGTATCTGCCAAGATCCAGCAGCTTCTCAACACACTTAAACGACCAAAGCGACGACCTCTACCGGAATTCTACGAGGACGACGACATAGAGCTAGAACTGGCAGCCAATCCCAAAGACCCCAATGCTCCCAAACCCGAAGGCAGCTGTATGTCACCCGCGATTGGAGAACAATTGACCATTCCCTCTGGATTGCCGAGAAACCTGGAAGCGGCCATTTTACGGTACGGCAATGCCAGCTTCAAGGCACCAGTGGCAACGGTGTTGGATCCCAACGGAAAGCTATCTACAACTTTAACTTATGGTTAGTATGGTATTTGTAGTGTCGTACAGGGTGGCGCCTCTCATACGCCGCGGAAGATCCAAGGAGAACGGTAGTTTATATCGAAATGAAATTTTGGCAGCATATGTAGGCTAACTGAAAGCATTTTATAAAAATACACACAACGGAAAAATCTAGGGATATCATTTTATTAAAGTTAAAAATAAATGTTTTGAATAAACAACCACATATTTGTAAGCCGATTCTTTCTACTTCGATTGAAACGAAGTAGTCACCCTAGTTATTTCTAAATTTGGGGTATTTGCAGAAGTGTTTGTGCATTTTTGTCAAATGTATAAAAAGCACCTAGCATCATTTGTTCGAATTTAACCTGTACTGGCTATGTTTTTATGATAACTGACCAGAATTCATTCAAATAACACTGTTTAGTATTAAACGACATTATGGAGCGTAGACATCTTAACAGAGACGAAATGCTAAAGGCCATGGGTATACTCGAAGCTGGAATGCGTCAAATCGACGTACCTAGAGCATTAAATACAACGCAAAGTGTAATATCGCGATTAAGTGCACGCTACCGTTAAAGTGGTGATGTTGCTGAAAGGCACACATGGCGACATCGCATTATTACCCCTCAGAAAGATCATTTTCTACAATTAAATGCTCGACGCCGACCGACTCTTACAACACCAGAGCTTAGTTTAATTCTCCAGGAAAACACATAATGTAACCGTTAGTCCTGACACTGTTCGCAATAGATTAAGAGAGGTCAACTTAAGAAGCAGACGCCCCTGGAGAGCTCAACCCTTAACGAGAGGAAATCGAGAGGTACGATATTTGTGGACTCAAGATTATGTTCAGTGGTCGAATGAACAATGGGCCAATGTTCTCTTCATGGATGAGTCACGCTTTGGAATTCATCCGGATTCGAGAAGGCTTAGGGTATGGAGAGAACCGGGAAATCTTATTCGGTTGGATCATGTTCAGGAAGTGCACCCTTATCAAGGTGGAACAGTTATGGTCTGGGGAGGAGTCCAGTTAGACCGAAAAACTGATCTCGTTTTTCTTGAAAGGTTTCTAGCAGGAATCACATATCGTGATTTAATTCTTGAGCCTGTCGTGTTACCATATGCCAATGATTTTGGGAGAAACTTCATTCTTATGCATGACAATGCACGGCCTCATACAGCCAGAGTGGTAAGTGAGTTTATCAATGCTCATCAATTAAACATCTTACCCTGGCCGGCACAATCTCCTGACCTCAACCCCATCGAACACGTATGGGACGCGGTCCAAAGAAGAATTTTGAGAATGGGTATGCCTCGTGAAACTTTTAGGGATCTGGTTCGGGCCGTGAATGCAGCGTGACAGGCTGTACCTCAAGAAGAGATCGACAACCTGATCAGGAGCATGGAGAGCAATTAATATATAGGGTGTTCTATTACAAAAAACACAACTTTGATATGTACCTTTTTTGGGGACACCCTGTAGAACTCTCTATATTTTTAAAAAGTGCTCTGAATTAACCTACATATGCTCACAAAATTTCATTTCAATACAAACTGTCGTTCTCCTTGGAGCCTCCGTGGCGTATGAGAGGCGCCACCCTGTATAATAGACCCAGTAATGTAAATCAAACAGTAAATTTATAAATATAGCTCTCCATATTTTATTAACATTGTATGTTTTGTTACAGGCAAACTCCTAAGTCGATCTCACAAGATAGCCTACGCTTTGCTCACCAAATCGTTCAGCAAAAACGGGGACACCAGCCTGAAATCTGGCGATCGCGTTGCGCTGGTCTATCCCAACAACGATCCCATCAACTTCCTGTGCGCTTTCTACGGTTGTATTCAGGCGGGTATCGTTCCTGTACCCATCGAAGTACCCATCACTAGGCGAGATGCTGGTTCGCTTCAAATTGGGTTCTTGTTAGGCAGCTGCGCAGTACAGGTAAGGAGTCACAAATATGTTTTGTCTTGCAATGTTTTTACTAAATTTTGTAGCGACATTTAGTTCAGTCATTGGGGATCAAAAAAGGGGCCTGCCTGGAAAAAAGTCCGGAATATCTCGAAAACTATGCGTTTTTCGTAAAAATTTCAAGAGAATAAAATTTCCTATAAAAAGGTTATATGAAAATTTTCGCTAAAGTCAACCGTTTAGGCACAAAATCCCTGGAAATTTTACAATTTTGCGTAAAGTATGATATACATACCTACTATAGTCGATTTTCCGAAATCAAATGTCGATTAGTGTTCACTAAAACTAGTTTTAGTTTAGTTTCTTCAATTTTGTCATAAAACAGTGGCGTATCATTAATTCGCCCATTAATTTATGAATAATTAATTGTCGTGCTGGACAGCATTCATTGCGAACTTACCACCAGGTTCAACATTGGTCTGGTTGTACCAAAGATGCCGAAGAATGGGGTTGGAAGAAAACAAAAACAGGCATTACTCCAGTCACAACGTTGAGAGATCCAGCTCCAAAATCCCTAATGGCATGTTTATCCTGTAAATGCAAAACCAACAACTGTGATAAACAAACAAGTACACTTAATAGAACTACTACAATTACAAGAAAAACAAAAAGAAGAAATACCCAAATACCCCTTCAGCTACTACTCAACTACAAAATAAACGAATATAATTTCTTAAAAACACTACACAACTACTTATTCTTGTATTCTACACTGAACGAATTATCAATTTGATTACTAATTTATCAAATAAAAAGAAAAAATAACAAAATTATCCCTTCACCTACTACTTAACTACAAAATAAACTATAAAACACTGCTAAACTATTTATGGTAGACTACACTAACATGCTACACTAAACACTATAATTAAACTTAATAAATTAATCTAATTTTACACTACAACTGCAAAGAAAAAAGAAATAAGAACATTTTCTAAAACTAGAAGAAACAGAACTTCCATACGTGCGACCAGGATAATAGGTCAAGGGGACAAAGAATATAAAATACTTTAAAATGTGCATTCAGAAAGAAAAAATACCTCGAAAATTATCTAAACAAACATTTTTATTTCTTATCAGTGAGAAACATCGGCCTCGTCGGCGTTGAAGAATTTGTCGGGTATTTACAATGGTCGAATTGTATAATTGCCAGCTTTTATAGCATATCTAATAGATAAAAAGTATCTGGTCGATTAGTAACCAATTGGCACAGTCCGAAAATTATCGATTTTTATTTTCTCTGTTTTTATTGGTAGCTTCAAAATTCAGAGTAACAAAAAAAATATTTCTGTAGGGAAACCGGTCCTGCCATCTAGTAGTCTTAGTCCATAAACGTCTTAGGTTAATCTACTTTAAAAATATATATACAAGGATTTTAGTTCGGGACCCCAAAACCTATAAACCTGTAAAGTTGCAAAACTTCCGGACTCTTTTCCCAGCAAAAATCCCCAATGACTGAACTAATTCTGCACAGGATAATCTGAACTAATATAAATTTTAACTTGAATACACAGGTAGCTTTAACATCGGAAGCATGTCTAAAAGGCCTGCCCAAAACCACATCAGGAGAAGTGATACAGTTCAAAGGCTGGCCAAAATTAACGTGGTTTGTCACTGAACACCTAACAAAAACGCCCAAAGATTGGTCTCCAGCACCTAGGTAAATATATTAAATTAATTTTAAATTCTTTAATCTGAAAAATTACTGTTTAATTTTGAAGACTTAGCGATGACACTCCTGCATACATAGAATACAGCACTGATAGGGATGGATCTGTCATGGGCGTTACTATTACCAGGGCAGCTATGGTGCAACATTGCAAGATGCTTACCATGGCATGTAATTATACTGAAGGAGAAAACATGGTGTGCGTTTTGGACTTTAAAAGAGAGGTACGATATAGATAGAAATGTTCTAAAGTAAACGCCACGAATGTTTGGGAATGATTCATCGCTTGATGAAGTTAGAATCGACAGGTCTTTGACAAGACTTTGACAGTTAAAACAACAAATTACAACAGACTATATATTGATTATTAAATGACTTGTAACACCAGGGCACTGGAATTAAGTTTTATGTGACCTTGAACAGATTAGTTCACATGGTAGCGACCGATGAATCACTCCCAAACATTCGTGGCGTTAACTATATCATAAATTATTATACATTTATGATGTCATATATAAATGATATATAATTATGACATATATAAACTATATATGATGTCATATATAAATTATATGTAAGGTCATATATAAAATTGTCACATATTGTAAATCGATAACCTACTAACTCCATTTTTACGTTATTTAAATAATACGTTTAATACATAATTTTTGCGTTAAATTTTTAACGAAATATAGTATAGTATAGAGTTATATTGTTCCCCAACAAAAATTATTATTTCTCTATCATATTAACGCATGAAGATACTTGCTACAACATGTGTACATATTTTTTGTACCGTTATTTTTTTGCTCTCCTGTAAAATTAGGGATATGGAGTTAGCTGTTTAACACATTTTACCGACGATATACGATGTCATATATAAATTATCGAGTAAATTATACCGGGTGCGTCTCGAAAGTGGCTCACCCCTATAACTTTTTTAATCTTTCAGATAAAATAACGAGGCTTGGTACGTTAGTATATGACATAAATCAGGATTGATTGACGTATTCAATTGTTTTTGGTTACTTCCTGTTTCACCGGAAATGACTACAACTTTTGATTTTTAAATGGCACCCTCGGTATTTTTTTACTTTAGTCGATAGAAAATGACATTCTGAATAGAATGACATATCATATGTTAACTTTTGACATTCTCGTTTAATAAAAATTTTCATTTTAAATTTCAATCTAGAGTGCCATGACTATGTTAAAAACACTAATTCTTAATCAAGGAGCCTTTGAAAAATAGATTGGATCGTCTAATGTTTTTAGTGTCTTATCCTGACCAGTTAGAAAATGCTCAAATCGTATTTTTAATCATATCTCAATTTGTTCAAATGGAACGAGGGTGGCTCATTAGCATATTTGGAAAAAGCATTTTTTTACGAATAATTTGACACCACACATTTGGTATTTCGAGTAAACTTTCATTTCAAATAAACCATATGGGAAAATGTCAAAAGTTGACATGTGATATGTCATTCTGTTCAGAGTGTTATTTTTTCTCGAATAAAGAAAAAAAATACCGAGGGTGCCATTTAAAAATCAAAAGTTGTAGTCATTTCCGGTGAAACAGGAAGTGACCGAAAACAATTGAATACGTCAATCAATTCTAATTTATGTCATATACTAACATACCAAATCTCGTTTTTTTAACTGAAAAAAATAACAAAGTTATAGGGGTGAGCCACTTTTGAGATGCACCCGGTATATGACATAATTTTACATGTGACATCATATATAATTATATATGACAAAATTATATATGATGTCGTATAAAATATCATAGTAATCTGTCCGTATGTGGAAGGACGAACTGCTTACACATATGGACTAAAATATTCAGTCCATTTACATATGGGCTCGTTTTTTATATATGACCAGTTTTACAACCTTTTTTTTTAAATTATTAATATTTTTTTACAGGTGGGCCTGTGGCACTCAGTGCTGACCAGCGTCCTGAACGGGATGCACGTCGTCTACATCCCCTACGCCCTAATGAAAGCCAACCCCGCCAGTTGGATGCAGATGATCACCAAGTACAGAGCGTGCGTGGCCGTGGTCAAGTCCAGGGACCTGCACTGGGGCCTTCTGGCCACGAAGGATCACAAGGACATCAATCTGGGCTCGCTGAGGATGCTGCTGGTGGCCGACGGGGCCAATCCCTGGTCGCTGAGCAGCTGCGACCAGTTCCTTTCCGTGTTCCAGAGCAAGGGGCTCAGGGCTGACGCTATATGTCCTTGCGCCAGCTCTAGTGAATGTTTAACTGTGAGTTTAAGCTCTAATGCCGGGTCCAGACCAAGGTGACAAAAAGTAAACACGATTTTGAGAGAAAAACAAGATAAACTTGCGACGAAAAATGGGGAATTCTGAAAAGACAAACTCGAGATAAATTGTCCACACCGCAAGGACAAAACCCAAGTAGCATTTTCACGACTTGCGACCACATGTTTACTAAACACGATGTTGGATTAGTTACAAAAAATAGTTAGCTCCGTATCTTGGGTATTAAAATAAATGTAAACGTTGTTCTAACGTTGTGCCGACGTTGAACTAGTACTACAACAAAGTAAAAGCTTCTGCGACGTCGAATAAACGTTGTCTTGTAACCTTTTTTGCTTAAGTGATCTTTAGGTGATTCGGACAACGTAGTTACAATGTTGGGCAATAAAAAGTTTTCCGACGTCACTTTCAGGACCTATTCCAACGTTATGCAAACGTCGTCTGTTTTACTAATTCCACCGTTGTTTAGATTTCCTTATTCTTACGTTGGTAGGACGTCGAGCCACTACCTTTTTGCAACTGTATTGAACCATAACCTTAAATCTTAAATTTTCACTTCATTGTTCTGTTCAGTCACACAGTTCAGTGCTGTTTTTGTTTTTATAAAAAAAAAACTTAATTAAAATGGGACATAAGAAAGGTACATATAAAAGACTAAATTCTAAAATATACATCGACAGATCATATATGACACTTTATCCACTCCCCTCGTTTATTTAGTGAATATAGAGGGCGGCACAACTGCTAGGACTCTAGGGATGACTAAATTAGGGCAATCTTTTGCGACTAGTATATCACCTGTTAAGGCTGAACTGAACCTGGTACTTTTATTAGTCCAGGTATGCGACTACTCTCGAACTTTTACTCCATCTTAATCTCCAAAACAACTAAGGCAGCTTCGCCATGTTAAGTTGAATAAGAAAATGTTTCGTTCCTTTAAAATAACAACAATTCTTGCTTTTTGAATACATTACTTGAAATATTTGGACCCTAAAAAAACACGTGAAACAATTTTTTCGACTGCGAATAAATTATTCTCATTTTACTAAAAAAAATTCAAGAAATTTTTTAAAACTTCTTTAATAAGGCCCATTAGTATTTTTCAAAGTAGAAACAATACATTTATCAATGAAGTTGTTTGCGTTTAACTTTTTTGCCTTGGGTAACGAGTTACAGAGTCGGTTAAAGTGTTTTAATAATTATGATCTTCAAACATCCTCCACACTTAAATACTTTTGTTATGTTTTTCTTTACTGCCATCTGGCATATGTCTCTAACTAAATCATAAAAATAATATTTTTACTATAATTATCCCAATTTAGGATAAAACGCGACTTAGACGCCATATTATTATAGTTTTGTATTTCTGTGAATTAGGATTTTAAACAACGTTGCAGTTTGTACTAAATTAGGCTTCTAGCCAACGTCGGTATCCAACGTCGTTTCGACCCAAAAATTATTCTCCAAACTAGTGCAGACTAGGGTTGGCACGAGGTTGTGCCGACGTTGCGCCCCGACGTTTGGTCGCATGACACAACGTTGTCCCGACGTCCAAATGCTGCTTGGGAAGTACAACAAAGTCAAAAGTTTAGTTGTTGCGAATGAGTTTTATTAACCATGTGTGGTTTCACTGTTCTCCTACTGTTGGAAGCACCCGCCATCCACACTACTCTGACAAATTGTCGTAAAATATACGTACAAAACATAGACACTTTGACTTTTTTGACACCGACTCGAGACAGGGCATTGAAAAGTTTCCGAATTTTGAAACAAAACAAAAATGAGACAAAAATGTATTGGATTTGTCGCAGTTTTGCCGTAAAACATGAATGTTCCTGTCTTGTCGTTGTTTTGTCTGCTTGGTCTGGACCCGGCATAAAATATTAATTTTTTAAGCTTGATATTAGTCTCGACATTTTTAAAACGATTAATTTTGAAGTAATAAGATTGGTGCATTCTCCTCCGGTGCTGCTACCATTGTAGAATCCCGCAAACAACCGAGTTATACACAAGCGAGTACATGGGAAAATTTTGTTATAATATTATTTGAAAAGTATTAGTGAGTGGAATTTGGGAGAAATTGAAAAAAAATGAAAAAGTAAATATTTGATATATTCAGTGAAGGTCTAACTCTTTGAATAAAAAAAGTTAAGGAAGGAACATATCAAAAAACTTAGATCCACCTAAATGGGGACCTAAAATGGCCGACTTAAATTCCGGTTTATCAGTGCCGTTCGAATTTTATTCAAAACATGTAAAAATATGATGTAGGGCAGACTCAATAATTTGTTGTTGTATTTTACGTTGTCAATAAATATTGGTAATTACTTTTAATTTATTATAGATAAGTTAGAATAATTATTTAATAATACAAACATCCGAGATACGCTACTGAAGCAGGTAAGTCAAACTGACGTATCTAAATTCTTTGACATCAAATTTAGATTGGAATGCCCGTCAAAATTTTGGGTCGCGACCATTGTACGCGATCTGGCGCTGCTATAACGGTTGCAACCGCAAACAAAAACAGAAATAATTTTCTCTTGTCCATATCTCGTGTCAAAGTTAGAGTCTTCAAAAATTATAAAATCTTTCAAAATCTAAACCGCTCTCATTGAAAAATTCCGAAAAGTGTTTAAAGCGTCCATTTTCAAATTTTTTTTTTCATTTTTTATGTTGGAGCGGCAATAAACGATAAGAGCAGCGATAGTAGCGAAGCAAAGAATATTATTATATTAATTTATATGTAGGTGTTTATATTGGAGCAACGCGTCGAGACACGGTTGGCAGTTGAGCAACGATAAAAGCAGCGCTAATTCACTACTTTTATCGTTTATAGCAGCTCCAACATAAACATACCCTTAGTAAGAGCACTAACGAAATCGAATAACGAGAAATACGTAGCATCTGACGTGGCACGTAATCTGACAAGTAACATGCATCTAACAAAAGTTACGTCGAATTGAACAAACGACAATAAGTTTGTCAGCGCACACTGAAGTCGCGCTGTCAAAAACGTGTCATTTGTCGTTGTAGCATGCAATGCCACTGCTTCAAAACTAGAACTGGTTCTACTTTTCGCCACGTGCTATTAACACGTTACTCGAATTTGGCAAAAATGAAGGACGATCCGGACTTCAATATACGTTTTGTATCAGTGATTGAGACTAAACCAAAGAGTAGATAAGACAAGAGACGAGAGTGAACAAAGAAGTCGAATTTCGCGAGAGAGACGCAGATATATTAAAATTTAAAGGTCCCATCAAGTCCCATTTTGTCTGTTGCCAAGTATATTACTTTGAAAAATAAACAAGATTTTCTGAAAATAAATTAATAATATAAGAAGGATATAAGTAACGTATATTAATACGGAAATGTAAATTTTTAGTTTAGGTTGGTTTAGGTTCTTTTTTCGCAATGTACTGATAATATCAAAGAAACAGAATGACTAAGTTGATCGATTTCAAAGATAAACAGATAAAATCTCAAAATCTGACAACGGCGTATTTTATCTAATCTAAAATCTAACCTATGATTTTAGGACGCTAATCAGCTGTGCTAATCAGGCTTAAACATAAACAAATCTGATTAGTTGTTTTCTTGCATTTTTGCCTTTTTAAAGTGTGTTTTCAGAGTTTTTCGATATCTTATCGTTTTGAGAGTTTTAACGTTTAATTTTAGTATCGTTTTTTGTTGCGTACTAATTTGTAAATATTGTTAAATATGAATACTGAACAGGACACGAGTAGCAGGAAAAGACGAGATGGTGGCAATGTGTGTGCTTATAAAGACTGCAAAAATAGGTCTTATTCTTCGACAAACATAATATTTCACTCTTTTCCAAAGGATCCTGAAAAGTATTTTTACAGAAATATACTATATAATTATGTTATTAAACTGTGAAAGAAGACTTAAAGAAGTTATTAAACTAAGATCGAAGACATGGTTAGAAGCTTGTAATATATTTTTACAAAAAAAATTGAGCGACTCTATTTTTTTGTACATAAACTCCACATTGTGATTTTACACTTGTTCAAGTCCATATGTAAAAAAAATACACGTAAATAAAACATTTCTTACAAATCGACTTGGTCACTTTATCTTGTTTACAAACGATATACAAAATATTGCTTTTATTATCTTTATTCCCCGACAAATATGTTTCTAATTATAATTTATTTTATATAATATTTAGAAAACTAATTTTTTTTCGTTTCTATTTATTTCTTTACCTATACAGTAACTATTTATAAGTTATACAGGCAAGTTTTAATAATAGTCTATTTTAAATTTCCCGCGAAAAAATTACGAAAATTTAAAGGGACAAGCGAGACGAGGTCACTCTCCCCACCACGCAAACATGAAAGGTACCGCGCGAACTGTCGTCTCTTGTCTTATCTACTCTTTGACTAAACCATGCATTTATGACCACACTTGTACCGATTATTCGAACAGGAATAAACAAGACTTGGCATGGAAACAACTTTTCTAACTAGCACATCAAAGGTTTCTTTTTTCATTCTATAAAATGCTTGAAATCTTTCAGGATTGATATTCAGTTCCTTAAAAACACTAAATCCACTGTTCCTTTGTCTCTTTTTGCAAAAGGGGTGTATCCAATAGCGACGCTTTGGATAATTTTGGTTCATTTTAATTAGGTTTACAACTGCTAACAAATCTTCATCCTCTGAAGACGATATGTTTATGCCACTGCCACATCACTGATATGTGCGCTTCCTGAAAAATCATGCAACACTATTGCCATGTATGTGCAACGTCATATGCTACTTCACTTTGGTGGGCGCTCTCTTTTATACATACGTATTAAACAATTTTTTAGTGAATAGTTGGCAACCTATTATATTGAAAATATATACAGATTTTTATAATTTAAAATTATTTCAGGTATCTGTTCGACGACCAGGCAGAGGCGGCGTCAATGCTACAGGCAGGGGCGTGCTCTCCATGCAAGGACTAAGTTACGGTGTGGTTAGAGTGGACCAAGAAAATAGTCTAACATCTTTAACGCTTCAAGACTGTGGACAGGTGATTTTGAACGAAAAAAAAAACAGAAGTTTTTCTTTACTAAAAAAATTATATTCTATTTGTAGGTTATGCCGGGATGTGTCATAGTAGTAGTTAAGATGGAGGGATCCTCCTATTTGTGTAAGACAGACGAGGTGGGAGAAATATGTGTAAATTCGGGAGCGACAGGGACACAGTATTGGGGTTTGCCGGGCTTAAGCAACACAACGTTTAAGGTAAGCATATTGTCATCGCAAAACATTTTCCGATGCGTGTCATCAATCATTTACTACTAAATGAAATTTTGGGAAAAATGTTTAAATTTGTTGTATAATTTAAGACACCGAGCACCTCTTCATTTTACTTTATAGAGCAAATGGTTGTAACAGATATTTAATTTAGATTAAAGCTGCAAAAATTAGTTTAAACCGAATTTTATTATCGCTATGTTGATCACATTGCGCCGTGTTCAGCGATGTTGTCCTTTATTATTTAACAATTATCCTAGTTTCAGTCATTATTTTGCATAATCTTTGCGAGTAATTCTCGTTTTTTTTTGCCTATTTTCAGAGTTTTTTTCTAATTGCACTTTTAAACACAAACAGTTCTTTTAAGAATCGAATTTTCGAGTTTTTGTATTGCATTTCTTGAAATTGTGTGTTGAAAATATGCCGAAGCGTTTAGACAATCGAAACAAAAAGCTTGTAGCGTCCCTGTTTTTTTTAACTATTTTGAACGGGAACGTGACAATAAAGGTCCTTTATTGTGAGGCTCCCCCGTTTTTGAGAAAGCTCACGGACGCCGAGTTGCCTTGGTTCGGTTCCTCGGGCGCCACCCCCAACGTTTAAAGTGTTTGAGAGACCACTAGTGCCAATACGGGTAGCTTTTATACAGTGGAGATACCAGGGAGTGATGAGATGAAAAGAAAATAAAACACACAATTAACTATAACGCAACACTAGGGTTTATATTTCTAACTAATTAATTCGTACAAAGTAACTGTTAGCTGCCACGTCCTCGAATTGTAACAATATGAAATACAAATGTACATTTAGAGACCAGCAGCAAAATTCCATAATAACAACCGTACCTTCCAGAGTTTTGATCGATTAATTCCTGATACGTAACTCCTTGACTGATCTTCTATCACGCGAATTCAAACGCGTTCCCCTGAAGTGACATTCCATTAAACACGACGACGTGAGTTCCGATCGGCGTCGGACTTTAGCGGCGTCCCAATGAACACAGACACGTAGGTACCTCGGAGCAACATTGACTCTACCACGACGCGACTTCTAAACGGCGGGCCGTCGTTACAGGCGTCCTGATGGTCACAGAAGCAACATTTTCTGGCGTCCGTTTTGACAGCGAAACACGGACCTCGGATCGGCGTTTCGGAGTTAAAAGTGTCCCGTGACACACCACATCGAGTCCTGATCGATCGCGAAGTCTATAGCAGCGTCCCGTGGGATACACAAACGCGAGCCCTGGATCGATCGTGAAGTTAACAGCGTCCTGTGGATACACACACGCGAGCCCTGGATCGATCATCGCGAAGTTAACAGCGTCCCGTGGATACAAATGCGAGCCTCCTGGATCGATCGCGAAGTTATCAGCGTCGCGTGGATTACACACCTGCGAGCATTCTGGATCGATCGCGAAGTTAACAGCGTCCCGTGGATACACAAACGCGAGTCCCGGAGTGACGACGTTAGCGACGTCTCGGCGAGCTGTAATGTCGTTCGAATAAGCGCAGCCCGCACAATACCGCCCGGTTAGACAACCTCGGGATTTCGGCGATCCCGTCCAGTCACTCGATGGTAAGTGCCGTCCGACGACACCTAGAGAAATACGGGAGCCAAAACCAGCCTCGGATTTGGCGAGATCTTGTTCTAGCCCGCCAATATTCGCGACCCGTGCGTTTAGTGAACTACCTTAACTGTTAGCTGTCCCACTCGCCCTTTAACAAAAGAAATCACTGCGTCCACGTGATCCGATCAAACATCCCCCAGCCTCCGTAGAGGTGCACAGTCGGATCTTTACCTGATCGCATATAAGTTTCGCTATGTCTTGTGGGTTTCGCGCGATCTAAGTTCAAGTCAGCCTCCAGCCTCCGTAGAGGTGCATAGCTGCGTCTATCTGAGCGAATATACATATCTCTGTCTCCCCTTTATCCCTGTAACGCGTTAAGGCAGTAAAAGTAAAACGCCACAATAGCCAAAAGAATAATACGACCCACTCGATCACTTTGGCGGTGGGTGCTACCCCAGGCCAGTGCGGCGATACCGGCGGCTGGCAGGTCACCTGGCAGGACACCCGGACTCGAACCTCACCCTGTTTCGCGTGCGACCACAAACCGCTTCCAACGGAGCTGCTGAGCCAAGGTATTCGACTGATCGCTCCTCCACCTCGGCCTGCAATCTAGCAGAGTAGGGCGAGCGGCGTGAAACGAAGTCTGGTTTTTCGCATTAAACCATAGCGACCAAACCGATCAAACTCTCTTACAAAATGGTAAATTAAATATTTAACTTATTTAATTCAACAATAGGAACACTAATGAAGTTCATTACAATAATGAGTTAACAATAAAATACATTGACTGTCATTATTAAAAGAGAATGAAGTCTCTATTATTCTAGTATAATATTAACACAATATACAGGGTGTCCTAGAAATTTTATGAACTTCATTACATTATTAGTAGTCAGCAAAGTAAATTTGATTGATAAGCACATTATACCACTTTCAAAGTTAGTTTTTATTAAATTCTGTGATTATTAGATTGTGCATTAATAGCACCCTTTTACTTGTTATTACCACTTATGGCGTTGTAAGATGTACATCAATAAATAAATAACCCATAATAACGCTTATAATAATCTTCATAATGGCGCGGACTAGTTTTTGCCAACAACTAAAAATAACTAACTAAAATATTAGTTATTAAATTAAACATAAAACGTAAAACTCTTTAAACTTAAAAAATTGTATAATAAATATGTCGTTTGTCAATTTTAAATTAAGATTCATCTCATAAATCCATCACAATCTGGCAGCGCTGTCGCCATCGCTTGTCACTGAAAGTTGATCACGTGCATCGAAAATTGTTTTGCGATTACTTTAGTTTATTTTTTTCTATCCACAATTTCCTACAAGCATAAAAACCGGCAACACTGTTCTCTGTCGCATGGCATTAAAATACAGACCACGCAGATGAAGTGACCAGGAGTAATATATTGTAACAAAAACGCATCTGTTGATGATCGCCTTCTAAAAAAAATATTGCTACAGTGTAATAAACTCAAATTAAATCAAGACTAAACTTAATTTTTCCAGGTCCAACCTCTTGGGAGCGATGGTAAACCTATCTCAGAGGCCGAATACACCCGCAGTGGACTTCTTGGTTTCCTTGGACCGGGCGGTCTTGTTTTTGTTTGCGGGTCCAGGGACGGGCTGATGACCGTAACAGGTAAAAAACTCCCTAATTAATAAAAAAAACACACACTTTCTGATTTTTTAATGAAAATTTTAGGAAGAAAACACAACGCAGATGACATAATAGCAACTGTTTTGGCTGTGGAACCTATGAAGTTTATATATAGAGGCAGGATAGCAGTATTCAGCATTAGAGTATTAAGAGACGAAAGGATCTGTGTTATAGCCGAACAAAGACCTGATTGTAGTGAGGAAGAGGTAAGAAATATTTTAAAAACACCCAATAACTAGCGATGGGAACTATCGAATGAATTAGACTATCGAATGGTTATTGAATGAATGATTTCAACTATCGAATGGTTTTATTCGAATAAAATCATTCATTCATTTATATACTAAAGCATATGTGACAACCTCGTCAGGTAAGGACTAAATGGTTAATGTTGAGCCAATGACTATCGAATGCTTTGATAAATGAAATTTAGTATCTGTTTGATTTTGTGTGCTAGCCAGCATTATTAGTTCTTACAAACTTTTATAACTTCGTCTTTATAAACAATGTTACTTTTTCTATTAAAATATTTAAAATACCAAAATATAGTTTTTTTTAATTGACGATTGTGTGTGTGCAGGTGTTTCAAAATTTTTCCGAAAAATTTGTGTGGATTTTCCGGAGCCCGATCTTCAATTCATTTCCATTTTTATATGGTATATGTATTCATTTTAATGGGAAATTTTTAAAGTAGCAATTTTAAGAGAGATGAGATGAACTTAGAATTAATTTTAAAAATACATATTTGTATTTTAGATGTTTTAATAATATGAATTAGTTGGAACTTAATAATCATATTTAAGTGTTTGGACATAAATGGTTAATGAACCCAAACTCATGGGTGAGAAAATTAATTTGAAAGTTTTACACGTGCCAATTCTTTAAAAAAGTTAACGATGTTTGTATTTTGTTTATGCTAATTCCTCTTTACATGTGCTTTTTGCAAAGAAATATATTTATTTATTTTAAAGTAAATGCCAGTAAAAGTAAAGCATTATTGTTAAAAAGTAATATAGCAATCTAATATAAATAATTTGATTTCTAATTTTATTTATATTTTCCTTCCATTACACTGCATGCTTGTGGTAAATTAATAAATATTTATATTTCTATGATTTTAAATTCCAATTTATTTGTTGTTAATATAACAAATTAGTTCTTGTATTACCTATTATTTAGAACCAAATGCCAAAAATTTAAAGACTATATTACTTCTTTTAAATAGGATCTACGCAATAATTTTGACATCTAATTTGTTGTTTATATTTTGCTACTACGTAAAAAAAAAAAATGTTAATAGTGTTGTTGTCTCAATTGTGTACACACAACTTAGTACTGCCAAACACAAATTATGCAACTACTATTACCTAACGGTATTTCAAGTGGTATTATCAAACTTCAGACTTCTTAGACTATCTTCAGGACTTATCCAACTGTCAAAGCAAGGGGCCTTATATACCTCCCCTGGCGATGGTTTCCACCCTTTTCTAAAGAATTTGTAATTTTACCTCTGGTTGCATGTAGCAGTAATGCAGTTACAACCAGTAACACCTTTACCTTTAACAATAGGTATAAATAAATTATTACTGTTATTATTATTTTTATTATACCAGTCTTCGCTTAAAACATTAAAATCATTTTCCTACATCCAAAATAACAAGTATTATTGCAGTGTAACAACAGAATATTAATAAAAAAAATGCAAAATATATAGACATACTATCCCTAACTAACTAAAGCCAAACAATAATATTCTTTGCTAATATCAACTAATACCAATATATGGCAACAGCGCCCTTCATAATGTATTTTCAGTGTAAATACTAGCACCCATAGACTTAGAATAAAATATAGACTACACTATTTACATTTAAGCGCGGTCCAATATTAATTTTTGTAAACATGTTTACTCCTGGGTGCAGCTGACCTCGGCCGTCTGAGTCTTTCGCCTCCAACCTATGTTGTCACGTCTAAAATATTATTATTAATATTTTTTGTTGTTATACACATATATTGAGATATTAAAACTGTATTTTAAAGTAGTGTTTAATAGTAGAAAGATGTAATAATAGTCCCTATACTAAATTATAAGTCGGAGACTATTTAAAATGACAAATTCTCTTTACAATTTGGCAACACCCATCAATCGGCCGGGTCGCCTGTTCATTCTTTATTCCCTCTCGTAGTAGAGCCATAGTAGAGCAAAGCTAATGTGTCGTAAAACCTTGTTGTCACAGTTTCGCCATGGCTATTTTATTGTTTTTATTGATGTTTTGATTTTGCATTTTTTGATCTGATTTTCTTAGTGTGTAGTGTCGGTTTAGTTTATTTTGATTACTTTTATTTAAAAACTATAAAACATGGTTCGTCAGTGCCAAATTTGTAAGAAATTGGACTATTTAAGTCCTGGAACAACATTCCACAGGTAAGTCAAATTTACTATTTTGGCGTCAGTGGCGTTGTAGAAAGGCGCTTATTTAGATAATAATTTAGTAAATTATAAACCCTGGAAAATCTGTATTTTTTATATTTATCATTTACGTAAAGGTTCTTACTAACCTCGTTATTAATATAACGAGTAGATACATTATTAAGTACATAAGAAGTAGACACATTATTTTCTTGGGCATTGGTTAATTTAATGCTTTTTTTTATGAAAAATGTGTTTCTTTTTATTCTAAAACCATCCTTAGAATCTAAAATAACATACAGGAATTCCAGAATGATATTCCATTATGAAACAACAATTTTTAAGGCTTATTATAAACTATAAACAATCGAGAAAGTCGAAAAAATTACAAGCTACCAAACATTTTAAAATACCAAACATTCCTTATTTTTTTTCAAGACTAAAATATTTTACAAACATTACTTTTTCCCTATAGTTTCACATCAGGTATAGAAATAACTACGTTTTTATGATAGGGTCACCATTATGATAACAAAAATGACGAACAATGGTCCAGAAATGTAAACAAGTACATATTTTTTGTAAATATTTTTCTTACCGCTTGCATTTTTGTCCATTATTATTTCACAAATTATACAGGGTTATGTAAACCAGGTAGATATTTCGTTTTTTTTATATTAAACAAAGATAAAATAAATATGCCATTTTAAAATTTATCCAGTACTTACCTAGAGTTTTTTCTTTTTTTTTCTCGACTGTTAATCTATTATTAATTTGTAATACCGTATGATCGAAAAAAACGGCGTCCAGTTGGCTTGGAAAAAACCATCGATACATACTCCATATAATTTTACATATAAAATGACAGCGATCTTCATTTCATAGCCATCGCTGACGCCGTTTTTTTTCGATTATAAGGTATAATTTTCATTTTTTCTTTTATAATGTAATATCACTTAAGTAATATCACATATAATCTGAAGATAGTTTTAGAATTAACCAAAACGTAAATCTTTAATAAAACAATCTGTTATTATTTGCCATATATGTATGTATCCAAGAAAATAATTTACATATTATTATTATATGTTTTACTGTTTTTTATCTTTATTTGAAACTCAGAAATGTTGCATTGGCTTTCTAAAAAAATGAACTTGTAAGTTTTTAAAATGCTTCGTTTCGGAGATACAGGGTGTAGAAGTTTCATTTTTATTTCGATTTTTTTCCAAATAATTTCTGAAGTGACGTCAATATTTGGACGAAAATTGGCGTTTGGGAGTTTTTTGACATGAAAAATTAGATTTAGATGTCAATTTGACTTTTACTAATAGGGGGCGCCACCTACATATTTTTTAAGTTATTTGAAGAGTAATACTTTTTGTCTGTATCTATATAAAACTACTGAGAAAAATTTACATTTCCAACGTTTTTTACTTAATAAGGTCTCTTGTTGACACTCGCCACAAGTATAGTTCTCAAGATATTTGGAAACGAATTAATCAATACATTCTTCATAAATTATTTGGAAAAAAGCGAAATAAAAATGAAATTTCTACACTCTGTATCTCTGAAACGAAGCATTTTAGGACATAAATTTATACTATTTTTTTTACTGATTTTATTTGCAGATTATGCTGCCAAAGTTTCCTGAATACAATTCCGACCACTCTGTATATCAAGATATCCCCCATTACGTACTAGTTTTTCTTAATAATTTTCTATACATTTTCCAACGCCAAGATGTACCAAGCGCATACAAATACATCAAGCTTCAAACAAGCTTGCACGTTGACAGTAATACCTACAGTAATATTGTATTATATTAATGTAATATTTTTGAACCAATGTTCAATATTACTGTAGTAATACTGTTTATACTCATGCCTTTTATATTTGTTTGAATTTGGTGCATATTTCCATTGAATAAAGTATAGTCACCATTACCATTATTATACTTACTCTATAATAAAGACAGTAACGAGTTAAATAAATGTAGTTTTCATCATAATGTTCCAAAACAGCTATTTTATTTGGACCCATTTCAGTCCGTAAATGTTTTCACTTAGGCCAAAGGTCAGCTCTGGCAACCTTTATGGACTAAAATGTCTAAATTATTTGGTTGTTTTATTTTGTCATTCGAAATTTGTCACAAAATCACATAAAATTATACATATTTATAATTAAATTCATTAAATACTAACAATATCAAAAGTTAAGTTATTTATTTTAAAGTAGCACTAGGTAATTTACTTTTCGTGGAAATAATTTAGCAATACATCTTCATTTACAAACGAATAATGCCATTTTTGTCTCTTTCCATTCATTAAAAATATCATATTCTTTCAGAAATGGCACGAGACTTCACAGGAAGTAAATCCAACACGATTTCTTTGGCCCTATTAGCAATATGTCTGGATTTTGAACATTCTAAAATTGTTGATGAATTTGTGTGATTTTGTGACAAATTTCGGAAATGACATGTCAAAAATGCGATGAAATAAACAAACCCGTTACTAAGATATGAATTTATAAGCCAACTTTTCAAACATTATACTTGGGCCATGGAAAATGGTAAATATGCGTCTCTTAAAAAACTGCAAAAAAGCGTATGACAGTAATAGTATAACACGTAGCCTAATTATGTTTTTAGGACTCATCTATTATTTCACCTCGGCTAACGCTTCCCGTCCGCAAACAGTAATGATTCGTCCTAAAAACATCATTTTAGGTAAATTAGTTACATAAATAGCTATTTCATTTTATTCACTTCCTAAAAAAAGCTTGTTTTAATGGAACAGGGATCCCCTGTTTTTCTAATTTACATAATAAGACATCACTTTAATGGAAAAAAAAAATTAAACAATTATAAAGTTTTTCTCTTCTTGTCTACATCTATAGAATAGATCCTGTTTTGATTAATATTAGAGTTGTAAATGCTTGAATTAAACATATTTTATTAAATTAATAATTTATCATCAATTTCAAAAATTAAAATAATTTGACATTAAAATTTCCCTTCTATAACACGTACTTTATTATTTTTATCGTTTTTAGACTCTCTAAGACGTATTTTTTTTCTAAGTCCTAAACTTTGCTTTATATTAAACTATTTTCATCCTAAATCTTAATAATATAAAAAGTTTAAATAATGATATATTTTTAATTGGAATTATAGCTTCATTAAAAATTAAAAATACCCGCCTATGATACGGAGTATGCAGGTGCACTGGGAAGTGTCAAAAGACAGTGTTGCGTTGGGCGGCAGAGTTGTCAGGAAAACGACCGTTACGACGGGAGACAGCCTATTCATCGCTCTCGTGTCGCACCTGTTAGGAGCCAAAACAATACAACAATAACAAGATGTTGGTCTGTCCGCATCTTCCAGCTATTTATGAATGAGATGCTCAGTCTATATTTCATTCTAAGTCTATGCTAGCACCTCAATAAAAAAATAATGTGTCCCATTCCTTTATATGACTTCCGCAAAAATCAAAGATGCCGCATTTTCTATAGCATTGCTCGTGGTATCAAGCCACCGACCGCTGTCGGGCTTCGGCAAGAAACCCACGTCGCCGGGCGACAACCAAAAATCCAGTTAATATTTTATTATAATCGATCCTGACGAATAAAATGAATTTCATAAATGAAATGAATTTTATAAATGAATGGTTTTTGCTGCCGTACTACTAGAATACAACATTTCAAGGCAGACACGCACCGGTCTGATAATTCTTTTTATTCGAATAGTTTTCAACGGAATGTTTTCACTGTGGCTATCGACTATTCGAATGAATTGCAACCATCGAACAATTTCATAGTATTCATTCGATAGTTCCTCTACTACTACCAATAAATAGCAGAATTGCCCACTAATCTTGCCCAGCCAAATACACCAAAACACTTTTACTTTTGCACTGGACACGCGTTTTGCTAACCACGTTATCATCATCAGCAGATGATTAAAACTAAACTAATATCTACAAATGAGTTGGCACCGAGTACGTGTGGCAAAAACTAGCCAAGCATCTAAGTATTAGAGTATTTTTTGTACACTTAGTTACAGTTTTTTATATCTTTAGTTCTGTTAGTGTTACTAATATTTATTAACACCAAGCCTGTATCGTTACTTTTTAACATTTTTTTAAATTTTAATATAGAGTTCTAATCAGTGTCGATATGACATTATGACAAGCAGGGTTCGGAAGTAGTTAATTAAGACGTAATTTACCCGATTAACTACGTGTGCTCTTCTGCAAAACTATTGTTCTTTCTCGTTTATTAACTACATGAAAACTACGTTAATAAACTATGTACTGGATATTATGAATAATTTTCTACTTGTATGAGGTGTAATGAGATAATATGATGTTAATATTATATTTGGTGTCATGGCTTTCCTGTTTTCTTAAATACATTATGTGTTTTAAAGCTTCAACTTCTATTATAAACTCACCCTCAAACCTTTAACATTTGAAAGTTACATAAACTACACCCCAAGCAGCATTTGACGTCGGACAACGTTAGGTCACGCGACCAAACGTCGGGCGTAACGTCGGCATTAACCTCGTGCCAAACCCCACTGCACTAGTTTGAGAATAATTTTAAATGAACGACGCGGATACCACGTTGGTTAAGCCTAATTTAAGTACAAACTGCAATCGTTGTTTGCAACCAACTGAAATACAAACTAATATGGCGTCTAAGCTCGCGTTTTATCCTAAATTGGGATAATTATAGTAAAAATATTATTTTAAGGATTTAATTAGAGACATATGTCAGATGGCAGAAGGAAACAAAACAAAAGCATTTAAGTGGAGATTACGTTTGAAGGTCAGAATTATTGATATACTTTTAACCGACTCTAACTCGTTACCCAAGGCAAAAAGTTGCAAACAAACTTTATTGATAAATGTATTGTTTCCTACTTGAAAAAATACTCAATGGGCCTTAAAATTAAAGAAGTTTTAAAAATTTTCTTTGATTTCTTTTTAAAATGGAGAATAATTTATTCGCAGCCTATACCATTCCGCGTGTTTTTTAGGACCAAATATTTCCAAGTTAATGCATTCAAAAAGCAGGAATTGCTATTTTAGGAACGAAAACATTTTCATTTACCAACATGATGGCTTTCACTTTGTTGTTTTGGAGATTGAGATGGAGTAGTTCGAGTAGTCGCCACTGACCATTGTGTCGCAGTTCGGCTCCTTAACAGGTAGTATAATTGTCGTAAGATTGCCTAATTTAGTCATCCTAGAGTCTAGGAGTGATAAATTATCGGTAATATATAAATGATGCATATTTAAATTTAAGCTTACATGCAATTTCTTTATGTCCCATTTTAATTCAAGTTTTTTATAAAAACAAAAAATATAATTGAACTGTCTGACTGAACAGAACAATGAAGTGAAAATTTAAGATTTAAGGTTATGGTTCAATACAGTTGCAAAAAGGTAGTGACTCGACGTCCTACCAACGTAAGAATCAGCATTGCCAATCTTTGTGGAATTCCACAAAATGTGTGGAATTCGTAATAATGTTGTGGAACGTTTGTGGAATAGAATAAATGTGGAATTTTCGGAATTATTCCTTTTTTTCCTTTTTTTTCTTATTTAGCTAATAGTAAAACATAGGATCTCCATCATAATTTTAAGGATTTCTGTAAAAGAGCGTCGCTGTCGAGGTCAGCAGCTAGGTTCGGCATTTAGATCTGCAAGCAATCCAGAAATTTTCTTGACATATCACATTAATACACGTCACTCATAATGTAAAACTCTTTAAGATCACGTGGTTTATATAAAAAAAATGTCGGATTGGTCGCAGACCCTTTGTCGCAGACCTAAAGACCGAACCTGGCTAGTGATTGTGGAATTTTGTGGAATTTGGGTATGTTCGCCGTGGAATATAATTTTGGACCATTGGCAACGCTGGTAAGAATAAGGAAATCTAAACAACGTTGGAATTAGTAAAACAAACGACGTTTGTATAACGTTGGAATGTGGTCTTGAAACTGACGTCGGAAAAGTGTAACTATATATATTGTCCAACGTTGTAATCCATGTTGTCCAAGATCATCTAAAGATCACTTAAGCAAAAGGTTAGAAGACAACGTTTATTCGACGTCGCAGAAGCTTCTACTTTGCTGTAGTACTAGTCCAACGTCGGCACAACGTTATAAAAACGTTTAAATTTATTTTAATACCCAAGGTAGGGAGCTAACTATTTTTTGTAACTAATCCAACGTTGTGTTTAGTAAACATGTGGTCGCAAGTCGTGAAAATGCTACTTGGGACCCTCTACATAAACTACATTAACTACATGTAATGTAGTTTATGTAGTTTTTAAAAGTAACATGTAGTTTTCCGAACCCTGATGATAAGTCACCAAAGCCATCTCGTTATATTAAAAAATAACATCATAAAGTAATGATAGTTGAAAAGTTGCAAATTGTTGGTAGCTAGTTCATTTCGCTCTTGAAAATTAACCAAGGCATGTGTTGACATGAATCAAAAAAGAAAATGCTCAGGAGACATGGTTCTGATCGAAAAATAACGCTTTAGGAAAAGTAACTCACGAAATTATTGCACAGGGTGTTTTAAAGTTAATATCATATCTTATCTAAGCCATATTAAATCTAGTTAATTTTGATCTTCTAGATTGCCCAATATAATAGTTAGCGAAACACATGTCCAGTGCAAAAATGTTTTAATGTATTATTGTGGAGTGAATTAGGTGGATTTTTTTTCTGGTAATAGTTACAAATAAAATCTTATTTTTCAGTCATTCCAATGGATGTCCCGAGTGCTCCAAGCAGTGGACTCCATCCACCAGGTGGGAATCTACTGTTTGGCGTTGGTACCTCCGAATTATCTTCCTAAAACGCCCCTAGGCGGCATACACCTCTCCGAGACGAAGAGGAGGTTCTTGGAAGGGGCCCTGCACCCCGCCAACGTGCTCATGTGTCCTCACACTTGCGTCACTAATTTGCCCAAACCACGCGAAGTGCACTCAGGTAAATATGGTCTCTTAAAAAGTGTTTTTGTTTTCATATACACACATTTTTTTATTTTCTGGTTGACAAAATTTAAATAAAATTATACAATACCGATCTGGTCATCGAACCTGCGTGGTCTGGATTTTAACGTGGAAGTCGGTAATGTAGACAGTTTAATGGAAAATAAAATGTATTAAAAAGAGATAAAAGTTGGGTTGATACATTTCTTCTATGCGGTATTGCCGGATTTTCCATCAAAATTTCAAACCGCACAAGTAGGCGTGTACGAAAAATGTTGCAACTATTGCAACTTTTGGAACTTTATTTTTCACAATTAGGTACTTATTTTACTACAGCCGTAATAAATTATATTTAGCTTAGATATATTATCTTCATTTCAGTAGTATACATGAAAGTTTTTAAAATAGTTTATTTTTTTCTACACCCATTTTCCTACCATGAGTAAAAACCGGCAACACTGTATGCCGCTTTTTATTTTTTCTCTCTGTCTGTCAACCAGTCATTTATATTTATCTCTGTCGCATACAGACCTCGCAGATGAAGTGACCAAGATGGTATAGTTCGTTTTTTTTGTAGAAGGGATTTAAAAGTCAATAGATAAATAATATTTTCAAAATAAGAAATCTTTCCTAATAATTTCACCATAAAATATGTTACTTGAAAATAGCATAATGGCATTTATTAATGTAAAAATAGCCTATAAAATTATGTCAAGCTGTATACGAAATTTAGTTTAAATATATCGGGTATCTTAATAAAAATAATTATGGAATCCAAGTATTCATATTGATGTGCAATATTCTTTCTAAAAAAGGTTATTCTATTGATTATTAATGTCCTACTACATAATATATCCGGACCATCATTTCTTATGGTTCCTTAATCTTTTCTTAAATATGAAATAACTCAAAGGGGTGGAAGGCATGCACACACAAAAAAACTACTTACTTTACTGCACATACTCTCTAATATCTTTATTTTTCCTGTGTGTCAATTAACATGAAGAATACAGCACTTTTTAAAATATTCTAACAAAGCCAATCTAGCAAACACCGATGATTTTTGAATGAAATATTTAGAGAATTTTGGAAAATATAGATAGAAGTAAAAGCCCCCATACACTTCGGTTATTTTGCACAGTTTTAACCGAACGGGAAGAACTGTTCAGTTAATACTATACTACCTGAGATAGAATATCGAAATTCCACAATTTTTTGTATTTCTTTTGTCGAAATGTTATCTCATCTTGTCATCGTTGAACAGACTTTAGCTGATAATGAATAAACTGTACTATAGCTATGCAACGAGAAGGTAAATGGCAGTGGCAGTAATCTGTCATTTTATTTAAATTCAATTTTTATCTATAATTGATGTTTGCTAGATTTCTGTAAAAATACTACCTTACCCACTAACTAATATACCAGGTTATGAATCGGCTCAGGACAAATAGATGTAGTTTATTTGCTCTTTTTATTGATTTTAGAAGAAACTATGGAAATTTTAAAAGTACTGGATTAGATCAGGCTACCTATTCAAACTCTTTAAGACAAGTGTACTGGTAACCTGATCTAATCCAGTACTTTAAGAAGATTCATTGAGAGTTTCTTCTGAAATTAACGGAGGAGCCAATAAACGACATCCTCAAAATTTACATGGGATTGCCTATATGTCCCGGGCCGATGCATAACCCGGTATGGGCCACCACACCCCCTAGATGAGCTTCTGCTTTTTGAGTGACGGCGCGTTCCTTCTGTGCGTTTCAGCAAGCGACTGTGTTTCAGACGTGGGACCGGCCAGCGTGATCGTGGGCAACCTGGTGCAGGGCAACCGGCTGGCCAGCGCCCAGGGCAGGGAGGTCGGCGGCCTGGTCGAGGAGGACAACGAGGCCACCAAAAAGGTAAGATTGAGCTCACTTGTTATTAGGGAGTTTTCGTTGCTTTAAAAAAATTCAACGGTACGGTTAACGGATACGTAACCATAACCGCTATTTTGACAGATAAAAAAACAGTTTTCGGACTTTCGGTTCATCGGTTCGGAGCCGACATACGATACGATAACCGAAAACTGACAGCTGAGCACAGCCCGTAACGTAGTGTTTTGAGTTTTGGTTTTTGTATTGTTGTTTGATTTGAAAGTGCTTTATATGACTTTATTGGGTATCGCTATATAGGATGGACAATTTAATTTTATTGGACTCTAGTGATGAATCGGATTTGAAGGATGCTATGCTGTTGGAAGGGTTTGAAAACAACATCGAATATCGAGCAGAACTTTATGGGGAGTTCAACCTAGAAATATTATCTGACCAAGAGTGCAAAGCTAACTTCCGCTTTGAAAAAAAAAGACATTCCTCGATTAGTTGAAGCACTAAGAATTCCCAACGAGTTTAACACAGATAAAATAAATAATCAAAACATAAACAAAATAGAATGAGGTTAGGTTAGATCTGTATTTTTCAATGTTGTGTTTCTACTGCGCTAGTGCGCATGCGTACCGCTATGTTAACGGCTTTGGCTAACGTCCGTAAAATATCGGCAGCTAGCGGTTACGATATACGATAATCGAAATTGAAATGTCAAAGTTGTCAATTAGCGTTAACCGGAATTGCAATTTGTAAGCAACGAAAACTCCCTATTATCGTTAGTCCTTTGAATAAAAAGATTAGGGTATGAGTTTTTTTAGTTGAAATCGCTTATAAAAAAAGGAACAAAAATCCAGTATACAGTAGGGTGAGCCAAAAAAACTAACCTATGGAATTTATGGGTTAAAATGAACCTAATAACCGAGAAACAAATTCCCGGCAGGCAGGATTTTTAGCTCAATTTTAAAAAATGTCGGTGAACATTCAAAGTTTTCCATTTATAACACGTAAAAAAATCTTAATTGCTACGAATAAAAAACGTTGAAATCAAAGCAACCTAATTCGTAATAAAATTAAGAAAAAAAACAGAATCGCAACAAAAAAGGTTGAAACCAAAGCAGTCTAATTCATAGTAAAATAAAGAAAAAAATTCAGAATAAAAATAATAAAGGTTAAACCAAAGCGATCTCTGATTTGTATTAAAATAATAAAAAAAGAAAATCACAACAAAAATGGTTGAAACCAAAACAATCTAATTCATATTAAAATAAAGAAAAAAAAATCGGAATAAAAACAACAAAGGTTAAACCAAAGCAATCTTAATTTATATTAAAATTAAAAAATAGAAGCACAACAATTAAAAAAGGTTAAACCAAAGCAATCTGCTTCATATTGAAATAATAAAAAAAAATCACAACAAAAAAGGTAGAAACCAAAGCAATCTAATAATAGAAACACAACAATTAAAAAAGCTTAAACTAAAGCAATCTGCTTCATATTGAAATAATAAAAAAAATCACAACAAAAAAGGTTGAAACCAAAGCAATCTAATAACAGAAACACAACAATTAAAAAAGCTTAAACTAAAGCAACCGGATTCATATTAAAATAACAAAAAAAGAAAATCACAACAAAAAAGGTTGAAACCAAAGCAATCTAATTCATATTAAAATAAAGAAAAAAAAATACGGAATAAAAACAAAGGCTAAACCAAAGCAATCTAATAAAATTTAAAAAAACAGAAAAAAATTTTAAAAATCACACCAAAAAAGGTTTAAACCAAAGAAATCCAATTTGTAGTTGTTTAAACATATAAATTATAATCTGTAATATAATGTTAAAAATCGATAATATGATGTTGAAAGAGGTCGGTACGGTTCAAGGAACGGTTACTAGATGGCGCCACATGCTATAACTTACTGCCGACTTGAAGAAGACCGAATTGAAAATGCAATTTTGTCGGCGAATAAGGCATCTTTGCGCAGTGGCAATATCGTAACCGATGAGGTAAATCCGAGGTGCGATTATTGCTAGTTGAAAACTTTAACCAATACCCCGCCATGTGCACGTGAAATACCGTGCGCTAAGGCAATTTTTGACAGCCTCTGAGGAGGCTTTTTTAAACAAATTCAAGAATAATGATTATTTAAAAAATATATTCATAAAAAAAAGGTCTTTAAAAGTTAAAAGATAGAAGGGAGTTTTTATTTTTAATATTTTTATTTTCTTTTTTTTATAATATTTTTAATTTTTATAATCTTTTCTTTGTCATAAAAAAATCATAATTAAAAAGTTAAAAAGTGACTTTTTTAAGGGAAATTGGAAATTTTCAAAATTCAACTTAATATTGATTTTTAATTACAGAGATCATGATAAAAATTATAATCATTAATTTTTTAATCTTTTCTTTACCTTAGTTAAAAAGTTAAAAAAGTGAATATTTTAAGGGAAATTTTTTGAAAATTCAACTTAATATTGATTTTTAATTACAGAGATCATGATAAAAATTATAATCTTTTTAATTTTTTAATCTTTTCTTTATCTTAATTAAAAAGTTAAAAAAACTGACTTTTTTAAGACAAATTTTCAAAATTCAACTTAATATTGATTTTGAATTACAGAGATCATGATAAAAATTATAATCTTTTTAGTTTTTTAATCTTTTCTTTATCTTAATTAAAAAGTGACAAGTGACTTTTTTAAGTCAAATTTTCCAAATTCGACTTAATTTTGATTTTTAATTACTGAGATCATGATCAAAATTATAATCTTTTCTTTATCTTAATTAAAAAGTTAAAAAAGTGACAAGTGACTTTTAAGTCAAATTTTCCAAATTCGACACAATTTTGATTTTTTTAAGGCAAATTGTCAAAATTCAACTAAGTACCCTGTATATTATTGCATATATCGGTTCTTCATCCAATTCTAAGCAAAAATCGAAATAAACACAATGTACGTACCTCAAAGCAACAGTTTCCGAGTTTTTGACTTTTGAAAATATCACTTAAACAATTTGATTTAATTAATTTCGTATGTTCAGTTTCATTTAACGACACCATTTTGCCAAAACTGTGATAGGTACTTAATAATATTTGATATTAGTTCTCAAGTTAGCATTTATAGATGTATAAAATGAGAATATAAGCAAAATTCTGGAAGTCTCTGGAAATTACAAAATTTTCGTTTAACATTTCAATTCTTCAATTGGTGTACATTATGTAATTACAATTACTGTTTAAAATTGAAGGAAGAATTGAAATATGCAATAATATGCAGGGGGTTTCATTTAAAAAAAAAGTTCGATGTGACAACTTTACGACCGACCCTGTATACTTAAATTTACTAGCAGCCAATAGGAATTTAAAATCCCATTACAACAGTTTCGGCAGAATGGCATCATTAAATCAAACCAAACACATCGAAATGAATTAAATCGAATTGTTTAAGTGTTATTTTCAAAAATCAATAACTCGGAAACAGTTGCATTGTGTGAATTTCGATTTTTGCTTAGAATTGAAGGAAGAATTAAAATATGTAATAATATACAGGGGGTTCCATTTAAAAAATGAAACTTTGATGTGCCACGACTTTATGAACGAACTTGTATACTTAAATTTATTACTGGTTAATAGATATTTTAAAATCATATAACTTTTGTATTTAACTTTTTGCGGTACCTCCTATATTTTACCTAATAATCGACCGTTTCCATACATAAAAGCGACCCTGTATATAAAAATATATATTTATTATTTTATTTTCAGTATAACAATGAAATATTTAAACAGAAAGATGGGTTACCGATGGGTTCCCCAATTTCACCGTTATTCGCAGAAATTTTTATGGCAGATTTTGAAAAGAAGCTATTTAAAAACAAGAGTAGTTTAATATCAAAAATAAATTATTGGGCAAGATATGTAGATGACATTTTTTGTATATGGTCAGGCACCGAGAGAAATTTAAACAGTTTTTTAACATTATTAAATTCAATTAACCCGAGAATACAATTTACTATTGAAAAAGGTATTAATACCATCAATTTTCTTGATGTTACAATTATAAAACAGTCTAATAGATTACAATTTGATATTTACAGAAAACCCACTACCACAGACACTGTAATACATAGTCAATCACACCAATCCTGGCAAATCAAAATGTCACCCTTTCATAGTTTAATTCATAGATTGGTAATGTTTCCACTGAGCCCAGAGAATTTTAAAAAAGAGTTAAATATTATTAAACAAATCGCCATCAACAAAGGATATAAGTGTTCCCTTATTGATAATATGCTAAAGAAAAAACAAAAGAAAATATTAATGAAAAAATTTTATTCCGCTAATTCTAAAGACAATAACAATTATCGACTTTTAAACTACATTCCTAATTTAACTAACAAAATATTAAATAATCTCAATAAAATAGGATGTAAAATTATTAACGTAAATAAAAGAAATTTAGGTCAAATTTTATTAAATAATAAAGACAAAACTAATGTCAAAAATAAGTCGGGTGTATATAGAGTGGATTGCAATGATTGTGATGCCGTGTACATAGGCCAAACAGGTAGAAATTTAGATATAAGGATTAAAGAACATGTAAAGTCTATTAATAATCTCCAGCAAAGTTCTGGTCTTGCAACTCATTGTATAGTAAATAATCACAAAATTAATGAAAACTCAATTAAGTTACTACACAGAGAAACAAAAGGTAGACGCTTAAATTACATTGAACAGTTAGAAATACTAAAATCTGTTAAAAACGAAAATAATGTTAACGACCAACAAGGATTTCTAAATTCTCTCTACATTTTTTATTACCCCTATTGTAAACTCTCTGAACCCACCCCCATAGTAAATATATATATATATATAGTTACAGTGTAGTTAGACGATTAGTTCTTAAAAAACTCTTGAAAAAGGCCTAACAAGCCGAAACATATATGTTGAGTTAAAGTTACTCTTATTAAAAGTTTTTTGAAACATCTAAAAGCGTGCTTTATTAAAATACTAATAAAAATATACTATTTAGGTGTTGTTGTCAATGACCTCTAAATAAAGTAGACCCGGCATTTCATTCATCAAAAGAGGAAGATCAGAATCAGACATTCGTTTCTTGTTCTGTGCGAGTGGGAACAAGACGGGCTGATCGCAGTCATGAAGGATTCCCGAGAGAATGGCAACGCTGTTCAGAGATCTTGAGAATGTGTGCCAGTGGCGTAGTTACTTTGATTTTAATATATAATTTAATATTATATTCTCGTAAATATAATTTTTGGATACGATATATTGTTGTGCTAGATGGCTCTTCAAATTTTGAAAATGACTACTTCTATACTCCAATCACTTCTATACGATTATAACTAATTGAAATTATGATATGCACATTTCCATAGTAATGTCTGTAAATTGCTCCAGTAGTAATATAATCCATCAAGCGTTCAATGAATACGAGCCGAAGACGACTTTTATAAAACATTTATGTGAATTAATGGTATTATTTTGATTGAAGCAACGGTGAAAAATGAGAATATTTTAAAACTGTCGTGACGAATTGCAATTTAATATTAGGTATAAAAATATTACTATTTATAACAACAATAATAAAGATCTTTGTTAAACAAAAGAAAATTTCTAAAATATTTACTTATTTCTGGCTCAGTTTCTTCGCGGATAATCGGGACCTTGTACTGAATAAATAATTAACTATTCAATAAAACATATCAAACAAAGACGCATTCATCTTTTAAACCATATATTTTTTTTAGTCTTAATCAACAAAACAAAAAATACATTCCTCTATTACAAAAATTATACTATCAAAAAAAAACGGCGTCAAAAATGACAATCGGTGATAATTTTGGCAAGGTGATGTCATGACCCCTACTCTTGTTTATTTTTTAATGACACTTACTGGCAGTAGTACGCCTTAAGGTTGTATTTGATTTTTAAATGGTGTAATATAAATTCGAAATTTTTTTTTTTGGATATCGATTTGTGTTTCTGGAAACGTTCTATCCTTTTATAATTTTTCTATAATCAGTATTAGTTTTTGACAAGTTTAATGTCAATTTTTAATAAATGACATCTAGAAATAGACCTCGCCAAAATTATATTCGTTTGTTATTCCCAGCAGTCTTTGACGCCGTTTTTTTTTTCGATCATACGGTATTTATGATTTAATATCCATTATACAAATCTATTTTGATTTTACACTTAAAAAATCATCTTTAATAACTAAAAATCCTAATAACAATCAGTATGATCGAAAAAAAGGCGTCCAGTTGGCTTAGAAATGAACATCGATGACATTCCCCATATACGCCGTTTTTTTTTCGATCATATGGTATATCACTATTGAACATTTTTCGTAATTGTGACATCTTTAATTTTTTTATATATTTTTTCAACAAATTAATATTCGCATTTGTATACTTGGTTTTGATAATATTTAAATATTATGATCATGATATTCAATAAAACCAAACGTGACGAAACTAACTTAATGTAATAGTTCGTTACTTATAACGGTACATTCCAAAACTGTGTGATTTACTAATATTTCCAAAGATTTTTTCCTATTTTACCTTTCGGCACCGCACTGATGTAACATAACCTTACTCACCTTCGATATCAAACTTCTAGGTTTAAATCGTCTCTATTTTTGCAAATTAAGCAAGTTCGCACCATTGTCTTATTGTTTCTGAATAAAATCACTAAAAATAATACCACAAAACACTAAAATATCTGGAAATCACCTCATAAAACATTTCGAAAAACCACAACACATTGGCAACGCCGTAAAGCAATTTATGAACGAATTCGAACTGGATGTTTTGTTGGCTGCCTGAATTTAGGAGTAAAGATAGTAAAATGCGTACGTTTTCAGTATCAGCTGGCGTTGCGACGTTGTCGATTGTTTTATGTTAAATTTCTTAAAATCTAAAAATTATAATTACAGAAGATTTAAATAACGGCTAATGCTGATTGGGAGTAGTTCGTGATACTAGGCTACCTTTAATTATTATCGGTTTAAAGTATTCTACGACGTAATCTATATTTGGAATTCGTGGTTTACAATGTGGGATGTGGGTTAGCTATCCCCGTACGTATACGTAGGTAAGATTTCATTTTAAATGCGGCCGAAGTGGAAATTTGGCATACATGCAATTTTCTAAGGCAATGATGGATTTCGCCAAAATGTAAGTCGCCGGGTCTAATTTATTTCGATGTCGTTGGTTGTTGTCTTTTAATTTTTATGACAATCTGGATGTTTTATTTACAAATGGATTTTAAGTTTTTTTTTTATTTCTAACATTTTGTTCGATTTTCAGCAACAAATGATTGGTGAAATGCTACGTTGGCGTGCCCAGAGCACGTCAGATCATATCCTCTTCACCCTGTTGAACAACAAAGGCGCAGTGGCCAGGGCCGTATCCTGCTCAGAACTTCACAAGAAGGCCGAACGAATCGGCAACTTGCTGGTGGAAAAAGGGAGAATTAACACCGGCGATCACGTAGCTTTAATTTTCCCACCCGGTATCGATCTGATCTGCGCTTTCTATGGCTGTATATACGTGGGAGCTGTAAGTAACAAACTATATATGGCATAGACTTAAAATAAAATATAGACTGAGCATCTCATTCATAAATAGCTGGAACATGCGGTCAGACACTGTCTTGTTATTGTTTTAGGTTATAACGAGTGCGACACGAGCGATAGATAGGTTGTCTCTGTCGTAACGGTCGTTCCCTGACGACTCTGCCGAGAAACACAACACTGTCTTTCGTTTCTCAAGTACACCTGAACTCTCCGTATCATAGCCGGGTAATTTTTTTATTTTAATGAAGCTATAATTAAATTAAAAATATATCGTATTTAAACTTTTTTATATTTTATTAAGATTTAAGACAGGTTTTTTAAATAAAAGTTTAGAAAAAACAATTTAGAGTCCAAAAAGGATAAAAATAATAAAATACACATTATAGAAGAAATTTTATAATCGAAATTAGGTAATTTTTGAAATTAATAATAAATTATTAATTTTAGTCAAACATTTACAACCCCTAATATTAATCAAAACAGGATCTATTCCACAGATATAATAGAATCGGCGACAGGGAGAGAAAAAAATATGATTGTTGTAATTTTTTTTCTGGTTAAGTGATGTCTTATTATGTAAATTAGAGAAAACATAAATCTGTTCCATTAAAGCAAGGAAGGTGATAGGAAGTGGATAAAATAAAAACTACATTTATTTAACTCGGTACTGTCTTTATTATACCGGGTGCGTCTCAAAAGTGACTCATCTCCATATTTTTTTTATATTTTCAAATAAAAAAACACTATATGTATGAGTATGTTAGTATTTGAAATAAAGTAGGATTGATTGACGCATTCAATTGTTTTTGGTCACTTCCTGTTTCACCGGAAATGACTATAACTTTTAATTTTTAAACGGCACCCTCGGTATATTTCTACTTTATTCGATAGAAAATGACACTCTGAATAGAATGACATATCATATGTCAACTTTTGACATTTTCGCATATGGTTTAATTGTAATTGTAACACGCGGTTCATAACGACAATTTGACTCGAAATACCAAGTCTGTGGTATCAATATATTCATAAAAAAATGCTTTTTCCAAATATGCTAATGAGTCACACCTTGAAAAAATTGACATATGTATGATTAAAAATACGATTTGTACATCTTTTAACCGGCCTAGACAAGACACGAAACCTATTAGACGATCAAAACTATTTTTCCAAGGCTCCTTGATTAAAACTTAGTGGATTGAAAAAAACTGGATTGAAATTTAAAATATATATGTTCTTAAGCGACAATGTCAAAAGTTGACATATGATATGTCATTCTATTCAGAGTGTCATTTTTTATCGAATAAAGTAGCAATATACCGAGGGTGCCTTTAAAAATCAAAAGATGTAATCATTTCGGTGAAACAGGAAGAGACCAAAAACAATTGAATACGTCAATAAATCCTAATTTATGTCATATACCTACTAACATACAAATCTGTTTTTTTTATCTGAAAAAATAAAAAAAGTTATAGGGTTGAGTCACTTTTGAGACGACCCGGTATATTAAAAAATATTGTTTCATAATGTAATATCATTTTAAAATTCTTGTATGTTATTTTAGATTCTGAAGATAATTTTAGAATAAACCGGAATATATTTTTAATAAAAACATTATTAATTATTAACAGGGTTATAATTATGATTTTGTTACAATGTAAGTAAGTAAATAATGTAATGTAAGAGAAAAAATTCAGATTTTACATTTTACTAAAATATTATCTAAATAAGCGCCTTTCTACAACAACGCCACTGACTCCCAATGGGTAAATTGAGAGTTGCCTACCGGTCAAAAGTCGTTTCAAGACTTAAATGGATTATTTAAGTCAAATTTCTTGCAAATTTGGCACTGGCGAACCATATTTTATAGTTCTTGAACAGAAAAAGTCAATAAAATAAACACTTAAGCACTACAAGCTAAGAAAATGCGTTAATACAGCCGGGGAGATAGCGGCAACAAAGCTTTACCGCACACGTGCGACACGTACTACAAGGTAATAAATGAATGAATAGGCTCCCTCGCCTCTAATCGGTGTTGTCATATTGTAAAGAACTTATCCTTTTTAAACAGTATCCGACTTATAATTTAGTAGTATAAGGACTATTTAATACATCTCTGGAATATTAAAACCTACTTTATTAAACTGTAGTATTAATATCTCAATATATGTGTATAACAAGAAAAAAAATATTGATAATATTAAAGACGTGACAACATAGGCTGGATGAGGAAGGCTCGGTCGACTGTACCCAGAAGTAAACATGTGTACAAAAAAGGTTGTTTATCCGCGTTGAGATGTAAATAGTGTAGTCTATATTTTATTTTAAGTCTATGATATATGGTAATTGTAAAACATTTTCCGATGCACGTCATCAATCATATCGACATTGACACTAAAGTCTATAAACCTGACTAAATGAAATTTTGGCAAAAATGTTTAAATTTGTTGCATAATTTAAGATACCGAGCAGCTCTTCATTTTACTTTATAGAGCAAAGGATTGTAACAGATATTTTATTTAGATTAAAGCTGCAAAAATTAGTTTAAACCGAATTTTATTATCGGTATGTTGGTCACATTGCGCCGTGTTCAGCAATGTTGTCCTTTATTGTTTGACAATTATCCTAGTGTCAGTCATTATTTTGTATAATATCGTGTTGTTGTTGAATCTTTGTGAGTACATAATCCGGAGTTTAACCAAATTTATTGCAAATAATTAATCTTCATACAATTTTATGACACCCGTCTTTTTTTATTTTACTTCAATTTTATCCCATTTTATAAAAAAAATTAATCAAAATTAAGAATTTTAAATTTTCACTTTTGCAATCTCTGACGTCACCTATCAAAAGTGTCACGGTTTGCCACCAGGTACAATGATAAATAAAAACCATTTTTCTAAATGTATTTTAAAGCAAATAAAATTAATTGTAAAATAAAACTTAAGAAGCTTACGTTAAAATGATCTTTACAGCAAAATCTCGTACTTTTGCTGACATATTGTTGTCTTGCCGCTTCAAACCAGGCTCTTCGACGGCTTTCATCCAACGGAACAGTTATAAAAACTTTTTCTGAAGAGCTTTCAGAGTTATTTAGACAGCCCTTCACAAAACAAACTTTAACACCCTTCATTACAAAAATAATAAAGAGGGTACAATAAAACAAAATTGAAAACTCAAATTATTTAACACCAAACGCAAAATCCACAAAATACAAATCTAACCTCGAACCCTCGAACATCCGAACAACTTTGGTTTGGTAATTATAAAAATTTAAGTTTAAATTTCTAGTAGTAAAATATATAAAAGTTAATTTAATATTGGGGTAATAAAGAATAATCTCACATAAAAACGTATTTTTAACGATCTTAATAAAAATTGAAAAATCTAACGTGATTTTAAGATATATGGTGTAAATACGGCAGCAGAGAACTAGACACGCCATAATATTATTATTCAGAGGCTCGCGCCCTCTGTCAACTATTCAGTGAAATGCTGATAGGTGACGTCACAATTTTCTACGCATCATTTCAAACCAGTTTAAGTATTTTGAACGAGAACGTGACAATAAAGGTCTTTTAATACCCTTGACCGCATTCAGAAAAGTCAGCTTGATTAATAAACTCGTTATACCAGTTTCAAAGTTAGTTTTTTTTAAATTCTGTGATTATTACTTTGCGTATTAATAGCACCCTCTTGTTATTACCACATACGGCGTTGTCAGATGTACACCAATAAATAAATAACCCATAATAACGCTTATAATAATCTTCATAATGGACATAGTTTTTGCCAATATGTAATATATAAGTAAAATAAGCTATAAAACAAATAAATCAATTAATCACTAAAATATTAGTTATTAAATTAAAAATAAAACGTAAAACTCTTTAAAAAATGTTATAATAAATATGTTGTTAGTCAATTTTAAATTAAGATTCATGTTATAAATCCATCACAATCTGGCAGCGCTGTCGCCATCGCTTGTCACTCAAAGTTGATCACGTGCATCGGAAATTTTTGTTTTGCGATTACCATATGAAGTGTTTCTCTTAGAATAGGTTTTGCACCCTTAAATATTAGCATTTCATTAAGGAACACCCTGTATATGTATGGTACTGCTCAGTCCATATCACTTAAAATCGATTCTAATTTGATCAATTAAAAAACGATTGTAATGATTTCATTTTCTTCTCATCTCTATAGGTGCCGGTAACGATACGACCGCCGCACCCCCAGAACCTCCAGACCACGCTGCCCACCGTCCGCATGATCGTGGACGTGTCCAAGTCGGTGCTGGTCCTCTCCATTCAGGCTGTGATCAAGATGCTGCGCTCGAAAGAGGCCAGCAACGTGGTGGACGTCAAGGCGTGGCCCGTCATCCTCGACACGGACGACATGCCCAAGAAGAAACTACCGGTGGTCTACAGGTAAAAGATTGTTATAAAGAAACTAGCATGTACCCGCGACTTCGTTCGCGTCGATTTAATCATTTGTAATGGTGATGATAAAGCAAAGCAAGAATTTCCATTAACATAAAAACTGGATAAAAATTTCTCACATCGCATGAAAAAAAAGCAATATGGCGATATTATTATATCACTTGGTAATATTTGAGGGGTAGTTTCATCTCGTTGGAATTTGACTTTCGAAAAATCCGTTTGCCAAAAATAAGCTTTTTACGTCAAGCAGTTTAAGCAGAATCGTAGTTAATCAATTACCCAACTTTTTGGAACATCCTGTATAATTTTTTAAAAAATTTCAAAATATGTAAAAAAAACAAAATAAATTATGCGTGTCCAAGCGTTTTATCGAAAGACTAACCGTTTTTTAAATAACAAATTTTGTAATATTTGAGGGGCGTTTTCACCCTCTTGGAATTTGAGAAACCCCTCCTTATCGAACCTCTACACCCCACAGTCGATCCGTTTGCCAAAAATCACCTTTAAACGTCAAGCAGTTTAAGCAGAATCGTGATTACTCATTGGTCATATTTTATGAAACACCCTGTGTACATTTTCAAAAAATCTTAAAATATGTAAAAAAACAAAATAAAATATACGTGTTTAAGGGTTTTTTCGGAATCTTTACCGTTTTTTAAATAAAAAATATTGTAATTGAGGCATGGTTTTCACCCCCTTGGAACTGGAATTTCGAAAAATCCCTTCTTATCGAACCTAGAATCAACCTGTATGTCAAAAAGTAATAATTATAATATACAGGGTCCGGCAATAGTGCGTCGGGCATCTGTAGCTCCTAGAATAAAAAACTTGAGAATTTTGTTGAAGTGCAAACCTAAAGTATGTACTAGGATGTATTTCAGGAAAATATGTAAACTTCTATAGGGTGGGTCAAAAAAGTGTGAGTGGACCTGGATGATTTTTTTTAAATGGAACACCCTGTATATTATTGCATTTTTGGCTTCCTTTCAGATCACTTTACATAACCCTAAGATATGAATAAATATATTTCGATTAGTTTCAGAGATATTAAAAAATAAATCAAAAATATATATTTTTCAGGCCTTCTTAAAAAATATATTAAAAATACAGGAACTGTTCTGAAATCAAAAGTATATTAGGTATTTACTTTAGATGGTCTGTTCTTACTTTGCTATAAATATGGAAATCGTAAATCATACAGGATGTTGAATATTCTACGCCAAACTTTCTAAAATATAAAATATTTTTTCTTTGTTTTTTTAAACGGAACACCCTGTATATTATTTTTTTATTAGATCGAGAGTTAAAAAATGAACATTTTTTGTATTTAGAGTATTTCAAAATTTTTAACGGTTTCGCAGATACACGCAGTATTATTTCATATGGTGCCTTCAATGGAAAAATACGAGAGAAAAATCATTGGGTGGCTTTGATAAAAATTTACTGTAGAAAATGCCATATGAAATATAAAACCGCAAATATCTGCAAAACCGTTAAAAATTTTGAAATACTCTAAATACAAAAAATGTTCATTTTTTAATTCTCCGTCTATTGAAAAAATAATATACAGGGTGTTCCATTTAAAAAAACGAAGAAAAATTATTTTATATTTTAGAAACTTTGGCATAGAATTTTGAACATCCTGTATGATTTACGATTTTCATATTTATAGCAAAGTAAGTACAAACCATCTAAAGTAAATACCTAAAATAGTTTTGATTTCAGAACAGTTCTTGTATTTTTAATAATTTTTTTAAGAAGGGCTGAAAAATAAATATTTTTGATTTATTTTTTAATATCTCTGACACTAATTGAAATTTATTTATTCGTATCTTAGGGTTATCTAAAGTGATCTGAAAGGAAGCCAAAATTGCAATAATATACAGGGTGTTCCATTTAAAAAAATCATCCAAGTCCACTCACACTTTTTTGAGCTACCCTATAGAAGTTAAAATATTTTCCTGAAATACATCCTGGTACATACTTTAGGTTTGCACTTAAATAAAATTCTCAAGTTTTTTATTCTAGGAGCTACAGATGCCCGACGCACTGTTGCCGGACCCTGTATAATATTATAATAGCTAAAAAGTGCCCGGTGGAGTAGAGGTACAGGCTCTCGTCTACCAATCTCAAGGTAGTGGGTTCGATTCCCACACCCGGCATTTCATCAGCCGACTATTTTTATTAAAATAAAAATAGTTTGGGTACCTAGGTCGACTCAGCCTTAAACGAGTACTTGGGATTCACAATCCTGAGGTAATAATAGGCGGTTGAAGCGTAGTGCTAGCCACATTACCTTCCTTTGTATACCGAACGGCTCTAGTATGGCAAGCTGTACCTTGCTACTCCCAAGGCGTCAAACGCTAGATGCGGGAGCTATTATTATTAATAATATTCAGCGGGAGCTATTATTATTATTAATATCAGTCACTTTCTGATCTCCTCCTATAGGCGTAAACCCAAACATGGCGACTACTATGATTGGTATTTCTGTGGACGTTCATACTCATTCTCTCTACATCTACATCTATTTTGCAAAGGCAGCATAATTACACAGAACTAATTATTTACTAATTATTGTTGTTCCAGGGCTCCAACAGCGGAAATGCTTGCCTACTTAGATTTCAGCGTTTCGACGACGGGTCTCCTCGCCGGCATCAAAATGTCTCACGCAGCTGTCACGAATTTGTGCAAGAGTATGAAGCTGGCTTGCGAACTCTACCCTAGCAGACACATAGCCCTATGTCTAGACCCGTATTGCGGCTTAGGATTTGCTTTATGGTGAATATATTAAACCGCAAATGATTGTCCATACTTAAACGTCTCTATCTTCTTTTCTCTAGGTGTTTAAGCAGTATATATTCAGGTCACCATTCCATTCTCATCCCGCCTTCTGAAGTGGAGGTGAACCCCTCGCTGTGGCTGTCCGCCGTGTCCCAGTACAAGGTGAGGGACACCTTCTGTTCCTACGGAGTGATGGAGATGTGCACGAAAGGACTGGGTTCGACAGTTAGTCAGCTGAAAAGCAGGGGAGTGAACTTGGCTTGCGTGAGGACGTGCGTGGTTGTGGCGGAGGAAAGGCCTAGGATCAACCTGACCACTAGTTTTTCAAAGTTATTTAGCGCTATAGGTAAGTAATATTTAAAAGAGCCATGCTTCTATTTTGTATTTTAACGCATTTATTTTTTTATATGTTTACTTTTAAAGTTTCGGTTTCAATAACCTAAGTTACGTTTTTATTAGTCCCTCTAATACAAAGTGATTTGAGTTTAAAACTGAACATATGGCACTTTTTCATATGTTCTCTTGTAAACCAATATTGATAATAATATCTATTCTAATACCAGTATTTATTTCTAATATGGATACTATAATTTTATTTTAAAACTGAACATATGGCATTACCTTACTTTTACTTTTAATAATATGTTCACTTCTAAACTAATTATACTTGTCAGTGCTGTCTCAGATATAGTTATATGGATACTTCTCATATACCGGGTGCGTCTCAAAAGTGGCTCACCCCTATAACTTTTTTATTTTTTCAGATAATAAAACGAGATTTGGTATATTAGTATATGACATAAATTAGGATTGATTGACGTATTCAATTGTTTTCGGTGACTTCCTGTTTCACCTGAAATGATTACAACTTTTGATTTTTAAATGGCACCCTCAGTATTTTTTTACTTTATTGGATAGAAAATGACATTCTCATATTCGAAAATGTCAAAAGTTGGCACATGATATTATGTCATTCTATTTAGAGTGTCATTTTCTATCAAATAAAACAACAAAACACCGAGGGTACCATTTAAAAATCAAAAGTTGTAGTCATTTCCGGTGTCTGTTAGTGTAATTTATGTCATATATTAATATACCAAATCTCGATTTTTTATCTGAAAAAATAAAAAAGTTATATGGGTGAGCCACTTTTGAGACGCACCCGGTATACACTTATTCATTTATTGTATAACTGAACATATGAAACATGTCACATTGCGTTACTTTTCATATGTTCACTTGTAAATAAATAATGATAAGATAATAATCTATATTCTAATACCAACACTTACTTCTAACATACTATGGTTTGATTTTAAAACTGAACATATGACATCACCTCATTTTTTGTATGTTCACTTTTTGAACTAAATATACTATCAATCTTATATTATTATGATTATGTTTCAAATCCGGTTCATTTTATAACAGAACATATAGAACATGTGAAATAACTTTACTTTTCATATGTTCACTTGTAAGTAAATATGAATAATAATCTATATCAACATTAGCTTATAGAATACTGAAAAAAAGTATTTGTATATGTTCATTTTTAAGTTATTTCTAAAGTACACATTTGATATTACCTTATTTTTCATATGTTTACTTTAATTAGGTATTGCTCTCTATTAGAGCTATTTTATAGTCAAGGTCCACTAAAATCGACATTTCTCACAGACTTGGCTTGAATTTTAAAAGAGAACATATGAAACCACTATATTTTTCATATGTTCACTGTATAAAATATGTATTGATAAACATCTAAGTTCTTCTAAACAATATTAACTTCTCATTTACAATGCCTTTATTTAAAATTGAACACGTGACATAACACACTACTTTACTTTTCATATGTTCCTGTTTAAAATAAGTATTACTCACAATTTTTACTCTATTATTATGACAGCTTCTCAAATACAGAGCCTTGTTGTTAAAGCTATGAAGAATGAAGAGTCGGCATAATATGACATTATTTTATTTTTCATATGTTCATTTTAGTTAAGCTTTTCCAATTATCTATTAGCTATTATATTGTCAAGGCCAATTAAAAGCGACATTCCTCATATACGTTCCTTTAATTTTAAAACAGAACATATGAAACCACTATATTTTTCATATGTTCACTGGATAAAGTAAGTCTTGATCATGTCTTGATAAACATCTAAGTTCTTGTAACTTCTCATTTACAGTGTCTTTATATACATTTCTTTAATTTTAAAACAGAACATATGAAACCACTATAGTTTTCATATGTTCACTGTATACAATAAATCTTAATAAACATCTAAGTTCTTGTAACTTCTCATTTACAGTGTCTTTATATACATTTCTTTAATTTTAAAACAGAACATATGAAACCACTATAGTTTTCATATGTTCACTGTATACAATAAATCTTAATAAACATCTAAGTTCTTGTAACTTCTCATTTACAGTGCCTTTATTTAAAACTGAACACATAACATAACACCACTTTAATTTTCATATGTTCCTGTTTAATATAAGTATTACTAACAATTTTCACTCCTTGCTTGAGCTTTGAAGAATGAACTATGAGCTATGAGCTAGCTTGCTATAAGCCTTGAACTATGAAGAGTTGACATAATATGACATATTATTTTTCATATGTTCATTTTTTGTAAGTTTAATTGATGTTATCTATACTGGTTTTATTTTAAACATGAACATAGGAAACATATGACTCTAAGTAAATTTTGCATATGTTCACATATCCTAAAAGTGTCCTAAATAAATAATTTGTTGCAGGTTTAAGTCCAAGGGCTGTATCCACATCGTTCGGGTGCAGGGTGAACGTAGCCATTTGTCTTCAAGGTGCTTCTAGTCCGGAACCTTCCACCGTCTACGTGGATTTAAGGGCATTAAGGAACGACAGGGTAACGCTGGTAGAGCGGGGAAGTCCCCACAGTTTGTGCCTGATGGAAAGCGGCAAACTGTTACCCGGAGTCAAAGTGATCATCGCCAATCCAGAATCAAAAGGTTCGTTAATCTATTTCACTAGTCCGAAAAAGTAGGAAAATAAACGTTCGGCATTTAACGTTTTATGTCAAACTGGCTAAGTATTTTTACACAAATGAAGAAGGAAATTAAAGATAAAGGATTATAGTATATCAGTATTGTAGAACATTTTTAGACAACTTCTTTATTTTTAAGATTTTGATGGTCAAACATCAACAAAATATTCCTAATGTTTGGACTGAATTTTCTCGAAAATATAGACATAATTTAAAATTCCGTTACAGTACGGAAATAGATTGAAGTTTTGTGATTACAGTGATATATAATTTATACAGTTTTGTAACAAATTGCTCGCTATTTTATGGCAAATACTGAAGCTCTGCAAACCCTAATCAAGTTTTAATCAAAGCACGTGTGTTTGGAACTTTAGGTTTGGCTTAACACGACCGGGTCGGGCTAAGCCTTAGACAGATTTCTGAAATATAATATACAGGGTGTTTCAAAACAAATGCGAAAAACTTCAGGGGGTGATTCCTTGTTCAAAATAAAGGGTAGTTTGCTTCATAAACGTTGGGTCAAAAGTCAACCATTAGGGAGATATTGCGGTACAAAGATGGCGGAAAAATAATGTTTTTATTTTTTTTATCTTGAAAACGAAAATAGATAGACTAATAAAATTTTATGGAAGCATTACTGTTGAAACACACTTTCTGGTAATTTTTTCACTTTTTTAAAATGAGTGGAAGGGGTTGAAATAAACTACCCCTATCATTCTTGTTAACGAAATTTAAAGAAAAATCTTACCAAACACATGCAGAAAAATTAATTTGGATAGTTTAGTTTGTTTAGAAACTTTTTTATCTCTTGTATTTTTTTGATAAAACTCACCGATTTGAAATTAAAAAATAAAATGTAAAGCATTACATGTCAGGACAAAAAAAATTTTCTGATAAAGAATCTAGTGGGCTGCTGTAATTTTTTTAGGAAAAAATCTAGTCTGCCGCTGTTACTTTTAGGATGTTCCTGATATTATTTTATTTGACATTACTCTACTGCAATACGTTATTATCTAGATGATTATTATTATCGTTATTATCACTAGATTCTTAATCTAAAAATGTTTTTTGTCCTGACATGTAATGCTTTACATTTTATTTTTTAATTTCAAATCGGTGAGTTTTATCAAAAAAACACAAGAGATAAAAAGTTTCTAGACAAACTAAACTATCCAAATTAAAGCATTTGCATGTGTTTGATAAGATTTTTCTTTAAATTTCGTTAACAAGAATGATAGGGGTAGTTTATTTCAACCCCTTCCACTCATTTTAAAAAAGTAAAAAAATTACCTGAAAGTGTGTTTTCATAACAGTAATGCTTCCATAAAATTTCATTAGTCTATCTCTTTTCGTTTTCAAGATAAAAAATAAAAACATTATTTTTCCGCCATCTTTGTACCGCGATATCTCCCTAATGGTTAACTTTTGACCCAACGTTTATAAAGCAAACTACCCTTTATTTTGAACAAGGAATCACCCCCTAAAGTTTTTCGCATTTGTTTTGAAACACCCTGTATATTTCCTTCGGCCACACACCCGCTTTCCCCGACCCCTGAGAGCGACCCGAACAGTACAGCGTAATAGACTCTTAAAGATAGTGTGGAAAATTATTGATATTAACGCTTAAGTTCTTCGTTTTTCCTTTCTAGGACAATGTGGCGATTCTCACCTGGGCGAAATCTGGGTACAGAGTGGTCACAACGCCAGTGGCTACTTCACGATCTACGGGGACGAACCGGAATTCGCGGACCATTTCAACGCGAGACTAGTCACGGGGAATACGGGAGAGGTGTATGCCCGCACGGGATATTTAGGCTTTTTAAGAAGGACGGAGGGCACTGAACGGTAAGTCTACAGATTTTTCACAGTTGAATTTATTTACTATAATTCAATATAGTAACTCTAGATCATAAATATACAGGGTGACCTTTACCGTTTTTCAAATAAATCCAAAATAACTAGTAGTGGGAACTATCGAATGAATACTATCGAAACATTCGATAGTTGCAATTCATTCGAATAATTCGATAGCTAGTAAGAAAACATTCGTTGAAAACTATTCGAATAAAAATTATCGAATAGATGCGTCATCTGCCATGAAATATTGTATTCTAGTAATTCGGCAGCAAAAACCATTCATTTATAAAATTCATTCATTTATGAAATTCATTTATTCGTCCGGATCGATTATAATAAAATATTAACTGGATTTTAGTTGTCGCCCGGCGACGTAGGTTTCTTTCCGAGAAACCCGACAGCGGTCGGTGGCAATGCTATGAAAGAAGGCGGCATCTTTGATTTTTTGTGGAGTAGATAAAGATAAGGGCACATTATTTTTTTTATTGAGGTGCTAGTATTTACACAAAAACTACATTATGAAGGGCGCTGTTGCCATATATTGGTATTAGTTGATATTAGCAAAGAATATTATTGTCTGGCTTTAGTTAGTTAGGGATAGTACGTCTATATATTTTGCATTTTTTTTATTAATATTCTGTTGTTACACTGCAATAATACTTGTTATTTTGGATGCAGGAAAATGATTTTTAATGCTTTTAAGCAAAGACTGGTTTAATAAATAATAACAGTAATAATTTGTTATACCTATTAACGACAAAATTTAAAATCATTTAATATAAACATTTTTTTTAAGTAGTGGCAAAATATAAACAACAAATTAGATGTCAAAATTGTTTATATTAGATCCTATTTAAAAATAATATAGACTCTAAATTTTTTGGCTAGGGTTGTTTTTTAAATAATAATAATTACAGAACTAATTTGTTATATTAACAACAAATTTTAAAATCATGAAATATCAACATTTATTAATTTTCTAAGCATGCAGTGTAATGGATGGAAAATATGAATAAAAAATTAGAAATCAAAATTATTTATATTAGGTGCTTTATATTACTATTTAAAAATAATATTATTTACTTTTACTGGCATTTACTTTAAAAAATAAATGAAATATTTCTTCGCAAAAAACTACATGTAAGAGAATTAGCATAAACAAAATACAAACATCGTTAACTTTTTTTAAAATTGGCACGTGTAAAACTTTCAATTTAATTTTCTCACCCCATAGTTTGAGTTCGATAACCCCCCATTTACTTAACCACATTACTTAAATATGATTATTAAGTTCAACTAATTCATATTATTAAAACATTTAAAATACAAATATCTATTTTTAAAATTAATTGTAAGTTCATCTCATATCTCTTAAAAATTGCTACTTCTCAAAATTTTCCATTAAAAAATAGACCATATATCATATAAAATTAAATAATTGAAAGATCGGGCTACGGAAAATCACAAAAATTTTCGGAAAAATGTTGACCACCTGCACACGCACACAATCGTCAATTAAAAAAAACTACTATTCTAGTATTTTAAATATTTTAATAAACGCAAAAATAGCACAGTATTTATACGGCGAAGTTATAAAAATTTGGAAGAACTAATAATGCACTGACGCACACAAAAATCAAACGGATACTAAATTTCATTTATCAAAAGCATTCGATAGTCGTGGCTCAACGATAACCGTTTAGTGGCACGGCGAGGTTGTCACGTGTGCTTTAGTATACAAATGAATGAATGATTTTATTCGAATAAAACCATTCGATAGTTGAAATCATTCATTCAGTAACCATTCGATAGTCCAATTCATTCGATAGTTCCCATCGCTAAAAATAATCGAGTTATTTTACTTTGAAAATTTTCAAAAAAAAATATTTTTTGCTAAAATTTTGAGAACCACAACAGCTTTTCTAGATTTTCTTTCTTGTAAATTTAATCTACTACCTATGATGCCATATTATCAACAAATTATATTTTTTAACTAAAAACTAAAAAAAAATCCAAATTTTCGTTTTTTTTTCGCGAAAAAAATCTCATTCGTGTTTCTGGGTCGAAATATACTACCCCTAAAAATATTTGCACTTTGCAACAGAACTCCAAACCAAACCTTCTTATCAACACTAATAACACTTAACTTCACCTTCTAACAGCACTTAAGGGACATAAACGGTCATTACTACCGCTTTCCAATTCGAAGTATTCTGATAAGTTTGTGATGATTATTTTACGGCTATTAAGCTATCTTCGCACGTACGCATATCGTACACTTCGCACTAAAAGAGGTTCTAAAAAAACAATGTTCGACTGCAAATTCTGCTGGTACACATTTTCTTCAAGTATCACAACACAATCACAAAAACTCAAATAAATGTGGAAATTTGACATTTTTTACAGTAGAGCTACCACCTGAATGGCCAGCGGGAAATTTAGATTCCAGTTAGTCAGCCCGGCGCCGAATATTTCATGCTTGGCACCAATGAGTTTAATCGCGCCCTTAAGTAAGGCCGAGCACCGAGTACATATTACTCGGTTAAAATTCTGGCCGAGCACCGAACTACTCGGTACTCGGTGCAGCCCTATCGCAGAGTCCGCAGCAAAGACTTCCTTGATAGGTTGAGCTTGTTTTCTTTAAAATGTATGGTAATTACAAAATGGCAGTATGACGGGATCCGACAAAATATTTACTTAAATCTATTTAAAAAAAAAAGATTCAAAAATACGCGAGTTTGCGACAAAATTAATATTTTATAGTTTTCATTATATTTTCGAAGTTTTTGGCATTGATTTTTGTTTTTGTAGCTAAAAAATCTCTATATTTTTCTTAAATTTAGCCCAATCTGTGCTTCAATGTTTTTTTTCAACATTGATATGAATTTTGATATTTATATTTCAGCAGTGGCTCGGAAGAGACGATCCTAAGTCAAAGCGACAACGAATCTGTTGGTTCTTCGCATCATTTGGTGCCCACGGACACTTCCGAACTACACGACGCTGTGTTCGTGGTGGGTGCTCTGGACGAAACCATAATGCTTAGAGGAATGAGGTACCATCCCATCGATATCGAAAATTCGGTTCTGCGATGCCATAAGAAAATAGCAGAATGGTGAGTATAGAGATTCCAACAATTTAAACTACTCGTATATTTAACAACATCAACACATTTAAACTATATCTAATAACAATAAAAATAAATAGCAATCCAAGACATGAGATTTTCCGACATATGTGGGGGTGAAAGATACTCTCGCATAACCGCTAACTACTTCTAATTCTTGTCTAGATTATACAGGCAATTTAAAAATAAGAACCTTTATTCTTCTGCAAAGATAAAAATCCATAGGCACTAAGTCCGGCGGCCTCGACGGCCAACGGCTAGAATCTTGGTTACCTATTCAATTATTCTAAAAATTGGCTGAAAAAATTTGCTGATAATTTCAGCGTTCTGAGGCGGTACCTCGTCTTGCTGGAAAAATATGTTTTCGAGTTCCATTAGGGGCAGATCATCAATCAGGGGTCCAAAACCTACTAGTTAAAAGTTGCAAACAAAATAACAAGTGTGTTATATTTTTGGAAATATAACACACTTGTTATATTTCAAACGTAACTCCGAAACGATAACAGATATCGATGTGCGGCTTCCACCGTCATGTTTTTGGCAAAGATTGAGCTACAGACACCGACATTAGTTTTCGTCTATCTCCTATAGAAAGGTGTGTTTCCCTTTAAAAGCGTCCAATTTGACCCACCCTGTACAGATCCGTCAATTTTATTTATTTTTTATCTTTTCTTATTACCATTTTTCCTTTTCTTTTTTCAGTGCCGTCTTCACGTGGACGAACCTCTTGGTAGTCGTGGTCGAACTCGACGGCAACGAAAGCGAAGCCCTAGACCTAGTACCGCTGGTAACCAACACGGTACTCGAAGAACACCACCTCATAGTCGGCGTGGTCGTCGTGGTGGACCCGGGCATCGTACCCATCAATTCCCGGGGCGAGAAGCAACGGATGCACCTGAGGGACGGTTTCTTAGCCGATCAGCTTGATCCCATATACGTGGCGTACAACATGTAACGAAAAGCTCACAATTTCTGTGCCAAGCACGGAAAGAAACGACTCAAACAGATGTCTGTGTAAAGGGGGCACTTTGTATAGACCGAAACTTTGGATTATGTAGATTGACTCACTGTTGTGTACTATTATGAAGCATTGGGTCACCCTGTATAGCGAGGAGTGTGCGGTCCAAGAAAAAAAAACATCATCGAAATAGGACATCATCTCCCTTGTTTTTCTCTATAACCTTACAAGGAAAAAAACACATTCACAAAGATTCTACTGCCCATTCAGTTGACTGTTTTTGATTTTTTTTACGTTGTAAGTAGTTGAAATTGCTAGCGAAATAAAACCCCAATAATGTAGATTTTTGTTACTGCAAGAATGTATAAACTGTATTTGTAACGACTGCAACCTTCTAGGAATATCGTTAAAAATCACAGATAAGTTTTTTTTGTAAAAAGTAACCCACTGATTTATGAATCCAGGGAGACAAATTTCTCATTAGTTCTTTACTTAAACACAAATTTCATTAAACAACAGAAACGTCTCTTCTATTCAGACACTAAGATATAAAAAGCAATAAAATGAGAACAATTTAAAAACTTCTTAACAAATATAACTGTTATGAGAACACATTAATAAAATTTAAACAGATATAACTGTTAATGAGAACACTTTAAATGCTTGCTAACTGATATAACTGTTAATGAGAACACTTTAAATACTTGTTAACTGGTACAACTATCAATGAGAACACTTTAAATACTTTTTCACAAGTATAACTGTTGATGAGAACACTTAATAATTTTTGACAAATATATTAACTGTTAATTAGAAAAGGTTCAATACTTTTTAACATAAATAGCTGTTAACGAAAACACCAAATCCTTGTCAAGAGGTAATGAAAAAAGGTTTAAAAACATTTTATTGATATAACTGTTAATAAGAGCACATTAAAAACGTTTAAACAGATATAACTATTAATAAGAACACTTTAACTGCTTGCTAACAGATATAACTGTTAATGAGAACACTTTAAATACTTGTTAACTGGTACAACTATCAATGAGAACACTTTAAATACTTTTTCACAAGTATAACTGTTGATGAGAACACTTAATAATTTTTGACAAATATATTAACTGTTAATTAGAAAACGTTCAATACTTTTTAACATAAATAGCTGTTAATGAAAACACTAAATCCTTGTCATGTATAACTGTTAATGAAAAAAGGTTTAAAAACATTTTACTGATATAACTGTTAATAAGAACCACATTAAAACGTTTAAACAGGTATAACTGTTAATGAGAACACTTTAAACGCTTGCTAACAGATATAACTATTAATGAGAACACTTTAAATGCTTTTTCACGAGTATAACTACTGTTGATGAGAACACTTAATAATTTTTTTAACAAATATAACTGTTAATTAGAAAAGGTTTAATACTTTTTAACATAAATAGCTGTTAACGAAAACACTAAATCCTTGTCAAGAGGTATAACTGTTAATGAAAAAAGGTTTAAAAACACTTAACTGATATAATTGTTAATGAGAAAAAAATTAATACTTTTTAGCATAAATAGCTGCTAATGAGAACACTTTATATCCTTTTTAAGAGGTATGAAAAAAATTTAATACTTTTTAAAAGATATAACTGTTAGTGAGAACACTTCGTATATTTTAACAGTTATAAATCTATAAATAAAAACACTTTAAATAGGTTTCTTACACATATAATTCATGAGCATACTTTAAATATTTTCTAGCTGTTAAAAAGTATTTAAAGTGTTCTGATTTATAGTTTTAACTGTTAAAATATATTTCAACTGTTCTAGTTTTAGTTGATTTTTATATTTTAACATGTTTTGTCTTTTAATCGCTGTTCATGATCATGTTCTGTCGGAGATTAAGAAGTGTATTAAATTACTGGTGCAAATTTGTGTTCTAGAAAAGAACCAATGAGAAATTATATTGTAATTTTTATATTATGTTGTAGATGTAATATTGCTAGAAGATTGTGGTATGAACCGGCCACAGAAATCTAGACATTGCTTGTATTTGTAATGTTTAATATTATCTGGTTCAAAAAGCACAAAGACACACAGTGAATGATTTAAATTAGGCCAGAATTGAAACAATAAAAAAATATACAGGGTGTAGAAAATATTTCGGTTTTATTTAACCAAGTTTCGTCTTATATTATTTCATTTACCTATGATATCTTACTATTTTGAAAATATAGTTTTTCAACAACTACGTGGAACGCACTACGCAAAGTTAAGCGACGTTAGGCTAGGTGAACTTTTGGACGGGCGATCGTCTAAAATACGTTTATAAATATTTTTTTTCAACTCTGGTCAATTCTAACCTAATTTATTCGACTCTACAATAGTTTCAGCACAACAAACATTCCTTCTTAAACTACATAACCTCTAAATAGTGTTTTTTCGTTTGTTAAAAGCACTTTTTTGTTCATATAGATCGAGTCTAAGCGAGCAATATCTATCCAGTTAAACAAATAGGTTCTAAAACGGATAAAATATATGTATATGTTTATCCTATCCACCTCTGCCATATTTATTTTAATACGTGTATACCGAAAAAATTGTTAATGTTTTATAGTTTCGCACTATTAAGACTATATATTACTCTCTATCATCCGATTGGTTGTTTTAACGCATGTGTATTGCGAGGAAAAAAAACGTTTTTTTTTTTTGCGGTTGATGTAGAAGTTTTGTATATATAAATAAATGTATTATTTCTCTTTAGTTTTAACGAAAAACAAAAAAAAATAATAGGAAAATTTATTGGAATAATGAAAAAGAAAGTGTGTTTAGATAGAATTCGGCTCAATAATAAAAAAAATTAGGATGTTTCGGAAATACTTGGGTAAAATCGGTTTGTGAATATACAGAAACAATTAAGAGTGAATAATATTGAAAATTAACTACACAGTTTCAGTGTCACACATAAACTCAACCACAATAAAATTTAGTAAAAAATAAAACGTTAAGGTGCGTTCATACCGGCTGCGCCGCGCCGCGCAAAGCATTTTTTTAATGTACTGTACTTTTGAATTGAATAATTGAACGTCAATAACTCGGAAACGGTTGGTTGGAGGTACATTGTGTGTAATTCGATTTCTGCTTAGAATTGAAGTAAAAATTGAAATATGCAATAATATACTATTTAAAAAAATGAAACTGTTATGTGCCACGACTTTATGACCGACCCTGTGTACTTAAATTTATTACTCGCTAATAGATATTTAAAAATCATATAACTTTTGTATTAAATTTATGCGATACCTAAAAACGGTAAACTAATAGGATTGCTCATCCCCATAAGACGTACGTTCGCCTCTTCCCGCGCTTCAGCTGACAGTTGTGACGTCATAGTAGTCCTTGTCATGATAGTGTGTATTATTAGTTGCCTATGGTAAACTTATAAAAATAACAGCTGAGAAATTTTGAGTTAATTATTTTGTCAATTTTAAATGTGAAAAAGGTGTTTTTAAAGTTTTTAGAGCTATAGAGTGTATAAATACGTTCATTTTGTGTTGTGGATTGTGAATGCATACATATGTGTTTAAATAAATAAACTAAGTAATGAACGTTTGGCATCCGGCAACCAATAATGCACGTGTGTGTATTATTGGTTGCCGGATAAGGACTAATAACCATGACAAGGACTACAGTGACGTCACAAAGCGAGGAGTTTTCGCATGCACCTGGCAGACACTTTTGGCTGAATGGGCAGTGCTATTAGGTTAACTGTTCTTGGCGATACCTCCTATATTTTAGCTAATAATCGACCGTTTCCATACATAACAGCGACCCTGTATACTTCAAAGAAGCCGAAACTTACTGTAACTTCTGTGACCACGGTATTCTGCGAGGTATATTAAAATTTCAAAACAAAATACATTATTTTAGAACAAAGAAATCTTTTTATGTGGGACACTAACACAAAAATTATTTTTGTATATTTAAATTCGACAAATTCAACAAAAGAAAACGGTTGTTTGAAGTGAATAAAATGTTTTAAATGTATATGTGAACACATTTAGACACAACCCCTCCCCCTATGTATAGTTCTTTATGTAATATTTAGAAACAAAAAAAATGTGTACAGTTGTTCTTTATTTCTCTTAATATCATCTTCTGATTAAATTTAATTGTGCAATACTTTTACGTTTTTCAAATTTTCCAAAAAACATCACTACTACTCTTTTGTGTTTTTTTTTTGTTTATAATATTATTTTTACTATTATCTTGTATGTTTTTATTTGTATACTGTTTCTAGTCCTCAGTTTATATTCCTTTAGAAATTAAATTAACGTTTTGTTTATATTCGTTTATTTAGGAAAAAAATAATAATTTATATCAACGCGACAAGAAATTTTTCGAGAAAAAAACTGACTGTTTGATGCTTTATTATTTCTTGCACAAACCTTGAGTGTGACAATAGATTTTTATTTTGTATATATTAGTTTAATTTAAATATAGTCACTTAGGAGATTTAGTATGATAAAATGTCTTTTCGATTCTTATTGTTCTCTTTCCTTTTTTGTTATTATCATCATGATGAAATCGATAAATTATCTACTTATTGTGGACACGTTGCAAATAATAAATGTATCTTTATAACCAGGTGTTTTATTTATTAAAACCATTGAATAAAAGAAAAAACTACAAACAGAATGAACCTAGCAAAATAAAACACTAAATCACCACACTGACGATGCTAACATTGTTAGCGAAACGCGCGTCCAGTGCAAAAGTAAAGCGTTTTAGTGTATTTTAGTGATTTAGTGTTTTATTTTGCTATTGTAACACCAAAGGTTCCGACCCCAAACTGTAACCAAACCTGCCCAAAAATTAGTTTTAAGAAAAGACTTGATTCATAGTATTACATTTTTAGTTTCTATGATTAAAATAAATCTAAATTTTATTAATGTTTATCACACCTTACCGTTTTTGAAATATTTTCAATTTTGTGAAATTGCAGTAAAAATTTTAAGGCTTCGTTTCTCCAAGGGTATTAAAATGTTTCATACTAAATATTTACTGAAGTTTATTTATTGATCAGTTATTGTATTGCAATAATAAAAATGATACTACCTCATTCAGAGTGTCTAAAAATGTATTTTAAATAATTTCTAGCTTTAAACGGCAATAACTTGTTTAATTTAAATAGAACATTCCATGTTTTAGGAGAATTAGATGCACAACTTAATTGTCTATCAACTTGTATTATACCATTTTTTACAAAAAATAACTATTTTATTTTGTAGATTTTCTTGCAGTGCAGTGGCGAAATACCCATATAGGATTTTTTGGAGAGATGAATCCGCCACATAGGTATAGAAATTTTTACCATTTTTTGCCTATCGCTTCAAGTTTCGTAGAAAATGCATTTTCTTATAATTTGGACTTCATTTATTATTTACTCATATTTATATACCCATGGAAGTAGGCATGGGGACACTTGAGCCCAAAATTTTTCACTAAATTTAGGGAAAAATTTTGGGCTCAAGTGCCCCCATGCATGTAAATCTTATAACATGGGTTATATGTAAATTCCCTAAATCTACTGATTTTTAGATTTGGCAACGTCGCATTTCTCTAAACACACAGCAAACAGACAGCAAAACACAGCAAACAGACAGCAAACACACAGCAAAATACAGCAAACACACAGCAAAATACAGCAAACAGACAGCAAACAGACAGCAAAATACAGCAAAATACAGCAAACAGACAGCAAACACACAGCAAAATACAGCAAACAGACAGCAAACAGATACAGATACAGATACAGGTACAGATACAGATGCAGATACAAATACAGACGTAAGGTATTTGACAGATGATCGGGTGGTTACACTGTTGCCGTGTGTTTAGAGAAATGCGACGTTGCCAAATCTAAAAATCAGTAGATTTAGGGAATTTACATATAACCCATGTTATAAGATTTACATGCATGGGGGAACTTGAGCCCAAAATTTTTCCCTAAATTTAGGGAAAAATTTTGGGCTCAAGTGTCCCCATGCCTACTCATGGAATATTGACATTTTAGATTGTTTTCAAAGCAACAATTGTGCAAAATGTACAGGTGCTAAAAACGATAAAATATTTGTATACAGCCCATTTGTATACAAAAAGAAAACTATTTAAATCTTTATAAAAGAGTATACCACCATTATTTCCGCCCAAATATTAATTAATTACATACTTATTTGTGTTAGTTAATAAATTACTCTAAATAAATGTGGATTTGAATCAGAAATCAATATAACAATAAGTTATGAAAATGAACGTCTCGGTTGTTATAAATAAGAATTCGTAAAAAAATTAAATAAAATTTTTAAGTTGTAAACAATATTAGTATATGTACTCTTTAAACATTTGTTACATCTTTAAAAATAATCTAAAATGTCAATTTCCATGGGTATAAATGAGGTATAAATTATAAGAAAATACATTTTCTATGAAAACTTGAAGAGATAAGTAGAAAATGGTATAATACAGTTTGATAGACAATTAAATTGGGCATCTGATTCTCATAAAATATATTAGGTGTTCCGATTAAATTAAACAAGTGATTGCCGTTTAAAGCTAGTAAGTATTTAAAATAAATTTTTACACACTCTGTATGAGGTAGTATTATTTTTATTATTGCAACACAATAACTGATCAATAAATATACTTCAGTAAATATTTAATATTAAAAACTTTGATACCTTTGGAGAAATGAAGCCTTAAAATTTTGACTGCAATTTCACAAAATTGAAAATATTTCAAAAACGGTAAGGTTTAAGTGTAATAAACCTTAATCAAATTTACCTTTGTTTTAATCGTAAAAACGTAATAATATACAGGGTGTTCCATTTAAAAAAATACAATTTTTATATTTTTTATTTATTTGGGACACTGTTTCTTGTAAAAATATTTTTAAATTGTAGCTCTAACAGTCCTTCAACGAACCCAAAACATACAATTTGCAAAAATCTAATCGTTTAGCTACAACACTCCGTGTCGTATGTGGTGAACAACCCTGTATACTCCTTCCTTCCTCTTTTTTTTAATAAATATACAAAATATTAAAATTATAGATTTCTCTAATTAAATATAATCAGAAATCTCAATTTTATTGCACCTTATAAGTAATACTGAAAAAAAAAATCTTTACACTAATACATTTTTTTTTAAATTATTTATCTGTATCACAATCGCTAAATATCACATTGTATTCGTTAATATAGCTGACAACTCTGTCATCTAAAAAAAAACAAAAAAAGATCATTAAGTATGCAACTAACAACACGCTAAATCCTACAACACATATAGGATTCGGTATAATATTGGTTGCATACTTTATGACATCGTATCTTATTGGGTGAAACTTTGAATAAGAAGACTAAGGAAGAAGCATAATGCTATCCATGTATTCATGCATGGTGGGCGGAAAAGCGACCATAAAAGCTCTCTAGGGTTGGGATCCTTGACAGTTCTGTTTGACGATTCATTTGACACATTTGAATTTGATTTGAAATTTTGTGGATTTGTCAGTCTTTACGGAGCTTATTTTATGTTATTTATTATTTATTCTACTACTGATAGTTGTATAAAGGTAGTAAATCTAGATGGAAATTGTGGCAGAACTTAAATTAACAGTGACACTATCGCGATTTATCGAAAAAGACTCTAAAATAGTTGGTTGTGTAGCGTGGGGTAGATCTCGGCAAAAATTGAGTGAAATAATGGAACAACTTTTCGCTAGTAAGTGACTATATAATATACATACGTGTAGTAAACTGATCATTTATGAAATTCACTTAAATTAACTAAATTATATATTTTTCTTGCATTTTAGCTTTTATTTATTACTTGTTAAAGATTAGATGTCAAAGAATTTAGATACGTTAATTTGACTTACCTGCTTCAGTAGCGTATCGGATGTTTGTGTTAATAAATACTTATTATAACTTATCTATTTTTATTAGAATTATATATTTTTTAACAATTTTAATAACTACCAACATTTATTGACAACGTAAAATAAAACAACAAATTATTGAGTCTACCCCACGTCTACCCTACATCATAGTTTTACATTTTTTAAATAAAATTAGAACGACACTGATAAACCGGAATTTAAGTCGGCCATATTTGAGGCCCATCGCGGTGCACCTAAGATTTTTGATATGCTCCTTCCTTAGTCTTCTTATTCAAAGGGGTGAAATAATCAATTTTTTAAGTTACCTTGTTTAAGTTTAGCTGCAAAATTTGGGTTGTTCCGGAAATAATAAATGACCGAATGGAATAAAGTGGAATCGTCTGCGTTTTTCGCAGCGTTTAGAAATTTTCTTGGTTGGGCAGTGTCGTCTGCTATTTTTAAAGCTGACAAAACTTGACCCTCGCTTAGCAAAACCTGGAAAAAATATATTATATGCCGTAAAGTCTGTCCAATGAGAAAATACACGACAGTAGGTCTGTTCTCAGAAAAATCCCTGACTAGTCAGCACGTTTCTCATTAGTTAAAATGCGTAGAAACCTGATTGATAGTCTGATTTCTACACCTTTCAACCAATAAGAAACGCGCTGACTAGTCAGGGATTCTTCTGAGAACAGAGCCAGTGACAGTTACTGTCTGTAATTTTAGTTCACAGAAAAATTGTATTTTGTGACATTTTTTGGCTGTCGTCTGTCGAAATACTCCCTGGGTAAACGAAATGTTTCGCGAGTGTGTTTAGGACAACGAACATACGTTTCGGGCCCCAAGCGGAAACAAGTGGTGAGCCGCCAGTTTGCGCGAGACAATGATTCTTGGTCCATTTCTGGCGCGAAACACACGATGCCCGTTCACACTCCGAGCAACACGGAAGACGAAGCTCTTTTGATGGACGAACGAAAACTAACTGACACAAAACACATACACAAGAAGTGCGAGCGCCTTGCTAAATATTGGAAAGTGAAATTGACGTTTAAATTTGACACTGTTGACAAGTTTACTGCTACTAGCGCCCCCAATTTCGCTTGTAGGAACTACGGACTAAATTGTCACGCATGGCGGGAAGTTTAAAAAGATAAAAAAATTTATTTCTTCATTTATTTTTAATTATGACATACACAAAACCACAAAAAATACACCATTTTTTAAAAATATGTTTAATATCAATATCAAATATACAACAGAAATTAATTTCACCACAATAAATTAATAAAATTAAAAGAATAATGTTACAAGTAGATCAAGAGACAAAATTAATTACAACAAAACTGAAAAAAATGGCGTCATAGATGGCTTAGAAATAAAAGATATATCATAATTTTGAAAGTAAAATTATATGGGAAATGTCTTCGATCATCATTTTTAAGCCAACTGGACGATTATTTCAAACATACAAGCTGAGTTCGTTCATAGTGCTCTGAGAAATCTAGATAAACAAAGAATAATAAATTAAAAGTATTCCAGGGGAAAAGAGAGGAAAAACCTGTATCGTCTCTGATATCTGTCAGGGTATTGTTGAAAGTGTCATCTTTTTGCTCGAAGTTTTCAGGTCGATCAAAAAGATGACATTTACAACAATACTTTGCTGTAACTTTCACAAATATCAGAGAGAGTACATACAGGTATTGCCTCTCTTTTCCTCTGGGATGCTTTATATCTGTTGTTCTTTGTTTATCTATATTTCTCAGAGCATAATGCCGAACACGACTACAGTATATAATAATTTCAATATCCGAAGTGGAAAGAAAAAAGATCACCTTTCTGTTTTGTACTATGGTCCCTTTCTTCCGATGGCTCATCTCGTTGATATTTAGGAAGGATAAATAGGAAGGAAAATATAAAATTCAATTTGATTTGATGATCCTTTTCTGTCACCTAAAATCAGGAGAACGACAATGAGCATGTTAAGATGAACAAAAAATTATCAACACTTACCTACACGTTAGTCCGAGGAGTTTTATTAAAAACCTATATATTTGCCTAAATAATTTATGTATTAAATTTGCAAAGCAAAATGCAGCGTGTAAACAAAAGAAATAAAATGGCGACAGGTCAACGTCAACGACCCGACAAGGAGAAAAGTGGTGTTCGAATAACAAATTATGGGTCACCAAAAATTGTTTTTGTCTCCTTTCAACGCACACTTTAGAAAGAAAAAGAGATGAACTGGAATACTGAAAGAACGTCAAGGTTTTATCTGTCACTCTTGTCAATAATTTATCGGTAAGGAAGATTCCTAGAAAATCGCTTGTATTCAAGTTTTCAAACATTGCCAGTTCTCCCATAAGAAGTGTCATCCACCTGCTAACTGACGCTAGCTCACTTCGAAACATATTCGCGAAACGAGTTTCGGGCTGAGTACGAAGTATACACGAAGCGAGGCTATTTTCGCGAAACAGTTTCGCGCAGTGACAACCCGGCTTTACGTCAAAACTGTCATAGGGACACGTGTCGTACAGTAGGTCTTTCCGTTCTGTAGCTACGGGGTATCCGTGAGAGGGGAAACGATATTCTCTCGATGTTTTTCGTAAAAAAATAGACGACGCGTCCCATCAATAAAAATTCGACAAATTTGCAAGTAGCCAATAAAATGAGTGGGCGGAGCGATTTGCGGTGACGTACCCGTCAAGTCGGCGTATAAAATATATTGCTGTTTATTTAAATGTTTTTTGTCCGCATTCCTTTCATAGACACAGATCCAGCAGACGTACTGTATGTTCTCATATATTATAAAGATAATATTATGTTTTTTAATAATCTGCTTGATGCACTGTAGAAGTAAGGTGTTTTGGTGTCTTGTGGTGAATTAGTGTTTTATTTTGCTGTTGTAACACCCCAATGATAAATATTAATGAAACAGCTTTAATATTATAATTATAAACAGCTGATAAATATTAGAATTTTTCTTAAAATTGTTTTACTTAAAACACACTTTCAAATATTAATTTCGAAGCAAACAATATTATCAGATAGGATTTAAAAATGTCTCTCTAAAAGGAATAGGTTAGAAATCGCGGTCACAAATCGCGGAAACCCGTTAAATCTTAAAAGATAGTTATTATTCAATATGATTCCTAAATATTTCTAATATACTTTTTACTGAACACATGTTTTTTCAGTGTACAGCTTTTCTTATTTCTTTTGCCTTCATTGAATTCCTCTCAGTGTAGCTATAAACATAAACTACTATAAACATGCTATCTGTCACGTACGCCAATTTGAAGGTGACAAAATTTGGTCCCCCCTATTCCAATAGTGCCGACGGTTTTTGTCGCTTCTCTACGATTGTTCTTCTCTGGTTTCGTAGTGCACGAAACGTTGCCAAGATATCATGAAAAGATTCCGAGATTCAGCCCCCTAACTCACATAGGGCCCTAGTTACGACGCTCCGTCGTAACCTCCGATCGTTACCACTTTTCCTGACGCTAGCTGGTGTGTCACGGCCTTGAATTTTTACTCCCAACGCGCGTAAAGAAGGTTCATTTCAAAAACTGTCCTGACTTTTAATGATCTTTTAGCAATGGTAAATATCACTAAAAGTGGTAATAAGTCACGGTTTTCTTTACGCAGCGTATCAACTATCAAGTGATTTTGCCGTCACTTAATTGTCACATCTGCATTTCTAACAAAACAAAAAATTACACAAAGGCTGTGTTATCTTTTTATCTATTCAGAAATGTTTATAAAACATTTCTATGGTAATCGCAAAACAATTTCCGATACACGTGATCAACTTTGAGTGATAAGCGATGGCGACAGCGGTGCCAAATTGTGATGGATTTATGAGATGAATCTTAATTTAAAACTGACAAACAACATATTTATGATCATTTTTTAAAGAGTTTTACGTTTTATTTTTAATTTAATAACTAATATTTTAGTAATTAATTGATTTAATTTTTTTGTACTTTATTTTACTTATTGGCAAAAACCAGCCCATTATGAAGATTATTATAAGCGTTATGGATTATTTATTTATTGATGTACATCTTTGATGTGCATCTTTTAACGCCATAAGTGGTAATAACAAGTAAGAGGCTGCTATTAATACACAACTAATAATCACAGAATTTAATAAAAACTAACTTTGAGAGTGGTCAGGGAAACTACAAGCTCATTGATTTGACTGTTTAAATGCTTTAGCATATTTTCAACACACAGTTTCAAGAAATGCAATACAAAATCTAGAAAATTTAGTTCCTAAAAGAACTGTTTGTGCTTAAAAGTGCAATTTTTAAAAAAACACTATGAAAATAGGCAAAAAACGAAAATTACTCACAAAGATTCAACAACAACACGATACGAGGCTGGGCTGAGAAATAATCGGCCTCGGCAAGAGTTGGCGGCGCTAGGAACAAATGCAATTGTTTTTCGTAAAAACTATCTTTCAAGTGACTTCTGTCAAATTTTCAGCGAGCTGCGTCACTTAGTTTGTACTTGACAGTGATTGAACACGAACAGATTTTGCATTTTTACAAAAATGAATAAAATCGAATACCGCGATGAGATCAAAATCGAACTGGGTGATGTGTATGAGGACTCTGTACCTTCGTTATCAACAATAAAATATTGGACTGCCGAATTTAAACGCGGTCGTACGATAATTTTTGATGATGAGCGTCCAGGCCGTCCAAGAGAGGTCACCACATCAGAAGTGGTCGATAAAATCCATGGTATGGTATTTGACGATCGACGGGTAAGAGTGTGCGAAATTGCTGAGGTTGTGGGCATGTCACGTGAACGAGTGGAAAATATATTGCACGAATATTTGGGAATGAGGAAGCTCGCTGCCAGATGGGTGATGGGTGCCGCATTTGCTCAATGCCGACAACAAGCGAAACCGTGTGACAATTTCAAAGGAGTGTTTGGCAATGTTTAACCACAATAAGAAGGACTTTTTGTGCCGTTTTGTAACCGTGGATGAAACTTGGATCCATCACAATACGCCAGAGACGAAGGAACAGTCAAAGCAGTGGGTTTCTCAGGGCGAGTCAAAGCCAAAGAAAGCCAAGGTGTGTCTGGCTGCCAACAAGGTCATGGCTACAGTTTTTTGGGATGAACACGGTATTATTCATATCGATTACCTTGAAAAGGGCAAAACGATCACCGGCGAATATTACTCAAAGCTGCTGGACCGATTCGACGCCGATTTGAAGCAAAAACGACCGCACTTAGCGAAGAAGAAAGTGCTCTTCCACCAGGACAACGCATCGGCGCATAAATGTGCAGTCGCAATGGCAAAACTGTATGAATTGCGTTACGAATTGGTTCCTCATCCGCCATACTCACCAGATTTGGCGCCCAGCGACTATTATCTGTTTCCAGACTTGGAAAAATGGCTCGGTGGTAAGAGATTTGAGCCAAATGGGGAGGTCATCGCTGCGACAGAGGCCTATTTTAAGGACTTCGAAAAATCGTATTGTTCGAAGGGCATCGAAAAATTGGAGAATCGTTGGACAAAGTGTATAGAGCTTAACGGGGACTACGTTGAGAAATAAATTGAGTTTTGCCGAAAAAAGTTGTATTTTCTTACATAGGCCGATTATTTTTCAGCCCAGCCTTGTATTATACAAAATAGTGACCGACACTAGGATAATTGTCAAATAATACAGCGCAACATTGCTGAACACGGCGCAATGTGACCGACATAGCGATAATAAAATTCGGTTTAAACTAATTTTTGCAGCTTTAATATAAATAAAATATCTGTTATAATCATTTGCTCTATAAAGTAAAATGAAGAGCTGCTCGGTATCTTAAATTATACAACAAATTTAAAGATTTTTACCAAAATTTCATTTAGTCAGGTTCATAGACTTTAGTGTCAATGTCGATGATTGATGACGTGCATCGGAAAATGTTTTGCCAATAGAATATTAAACATATCAAATCTCACCTCTTGAATTTCCTCTTTTGCATCAAGTCTAGCCAACATATCCAACGCCATCTGGTTGGATGAAGCATGCATATTTCCCAATGACAGCAAAAACACAGCCAATGGTTTTGAATCGGATATCACCCCGTATTGAACCAGCTGTTGCAAGGCTGTAAACTTCTCTTGCTTAGCCTGAAATAAAAATTTTAATAAAAAAATTACAATGTTCACTAACAATAACAATTTACCAAAGTCGTGACCAGTAACTTATTGAGGTTATATTGAGCACTGATACCGTATTCGGCCAAAGAACTCAAATAACTCGTGAGGATTCGTTCGGTTTTCGTCAGATCGTCTTCCGAGTTGATTTTCTGGAAGATTTCCTCGGTCATACAGTTCTGGTCGATGAACACTCTGGGTTGGTTATTGGTTTTTGATTCGGGAAGAGGTACACTGGGCGGTGACGATGCCAAGGTGCTCTGCAATTCGTTTTCCGCCCAGTCGCGATAAACGAAATTGATGTGGTTAAACGATTCGTTTAGTTTCTCTAGAGGAGGTTTATCTTGAGTTATTGTGTCCAAAAGTAGCTAGAAATGAAATAATAATAAACAGAGATCACCTCAAGTGGATTAGCACCGGTTATTATTGAAATATGTGTTATTTAACAACTGTTATTTATAAAAAATAGTTCAAAGTCGCTTCCAAAAATAACAGTTATAATATCACGATGCCCTTAACAAGGATTATTAAGTCACAATGTAAAAATAAATAAATTAAAAATACACAAATATACAAAAAATCATTATTAAAATATACTTTGTTTTTATTTACTATATACTGTGTAGAATGTTATAATAAATAATAGAAACCTGTTATTTTACGCTGTTAGTTTAAAAAAGGGTAAGATTTCCAACTGTCATTTGTAAAAACTGTTTCTTTCTCTAAACCTGTTGATTTAAAATAACAGTAAGATTTACAACTATTACTTTAAAATAACAATAAGATTTCCAACTGATATTTTAAAATAATAGGTTACTTTAAAATAACAGTAAGACTTCCAACTGTTATTTAAAAAGAAATAAATTTAAAAGAACAGTAAGATTTTCATATGTTATTTTAGAATAACAGTTAAATTTGCGACAGTTACTTTAAAATAACAGTATGATTTACAACTGTTATTTATAAAAAACAATAAAATTTCTAACTGTTATTTTAAATAACAGCAAGACTTCCAACTGTTATTACAAAATAACAATATTTCCAACTAGTATTTTTAAATAACAGTATGATTTCCAACTGTTATTTTAAAATAACAGTCAAATTCGCAACTGTTACTTTAAGATAACAGTATGATTTACAACTGTCAGTTTAAAATAACAGTAAAATTTGCAACTGTTATTTATAAAAAAAAACAGTAAGATTTCTAACTGTTAGTGTAAAATAACAGTAATATTTTGAACTGCTACTTTAAATATCAGCAAGACATCCAACTGTTATTATAAATGACAGCTATAGAATAACAGTAATATTTTGAACTATTATTTTTAAATAACAGTATGCTTTCCAACTGATATTGTAAAATAACTATTATTTTAGAATATCAGTAAAATTTGGCAACTGATATTTTAAAATAACAATAAGTTACTTTAAAATAACAGTAAGACTTCCAACTGTTATTTAAAAAGAAATAGATTTAAAAAAACAGTAAGATTTTCAACTGTTACTTTAGAATATCAGTAAAATTTGTAACTGTTACTTTAAAATAACAGTATGATTTACAACTTTTATTTATAAGAAAAAAACAATAAGATTTCTAACTGTTATTTTAAAATGACAGTAAGATTTTGAACTGTTATTTTAAATAACAGCAAGACTTTCAACTACTATTATAAAATAACAATAATAGTTTCAACTATTATTTTTAAATAACAGTATGATTTCCAACTGTTATTTTAAAAAGCAGTGAAATTTGCAACTGTTACTTTAAAATAACAGCATGATTTTCAACTGTTATTTTAAATATACGCAAGACTTTTTCAAATGTTATTATAAAATAACATTAATAGTTTCAACTATTATTTTTAAATAACAGTATGATTTCCAACTGTTATTTTAAAAAGCAGTCAAATTTGCAACTGTTACTTTAAAATAACAGCATGATTTTCAACTGTTATTTTAAATATACGCAAGACTTTTTCAAATGTTATTATAAAATAACATTAATAGTTTCAACTATTATTTTTAAATAACAGTATGATTTCCAACTGTTATTTTAAAATAACAGGAAAATTAACTTTCAACCGTTATTTAAAAAAAAACAGTAAGATCTTCAACTGTTATTTGTAAAAACCTTTTACTTACCTTTAATAAAACAGGTTTACCATCACTTCTTTTCAGTGCTAGTTGCGTACAAACACCCAAATCTTTGATCTGATCGCACAACTCTTCTAAACAAATCGATATATGCCACAAGCATCCTAGTTTAGCATCTATCACAATATTCGGCTGAAAAACCACCCAATTTGGGGAATCTTAATGTAGCGTTAAGAAAATTTATCAAATAAATATTAATCTTACAGTCTCAAGAGATATTAGTAAATTGTAGGGCTTGTAAAAAATGTGTAACAAAGGATACAAAGTTCACAAATATGCGCTTCGGACTCGACCAATCCGGGCAAGACTATACTGGTCGGTTTAAACGATTTCGCTGGTGCTATGGGCGTGTGGTACTTTACACTACCGTCGCTTTCGCCAGGCAAAGCTATATCAAACAGCTGAGAGCTTCTTGAAGCCTAGAATCATAGAAATATGAGATTAGATAAATGAAAATGAGATTAATAGATAAATGAAACAAGTTTAGATTGGAGAGTGGCCATAAGGACAATGTAAACACTGTTTGGCGTTATTCTTGTAACGGTCGCGACCCAAAGCTTTTGAAAATTTCGGAGCGGTTCGGCTTTTTCCGGAATTATATCGCCAAATATTATTTATTCAAATTTATTATTATTTTCTTTTAATTTTATAAATAAAATACAGTGTGTTGCATACAAGAAACTTTATTTTATATAAGGACATGTATGAAACACCTATGAGACATCGGAAACCGACGTTATGCCACGATCCACGATGGTTTTTGCAGTTCACAGTTCACAGCGCAGCTTTTTAAATTTTTAATGCCACTTTTTTACAATTATCACGGGTTTGAGTAAATAAAACTTAAATTAAACTCACAAGATAGCAATAATTACATTGAAAATGGACGCTTTAAACACTTTTCGGATTTTTTTCAATGAGAGCGGTTGAGATCATGTTGAGATATTGAAAGCTTTTATAATTTTTGAAGATTCTGAATTTGACAAGAGAAAATGATTTCTGTTTTTGTTTGCCGTTGTTCTTAGCAACCGCTATAGCAGCGCCAGATCGCGTACAACGGTCGCGACACAAAATAATTTCGCCCAAAATTTTCACAGGCATTCCCTTTGAATAAGAAGACTAAGGAAGGAGCATATCAAAAATCTTAGGTACACCGCGATGGGCCTCAAATATGGCCGACTTAAATTCCGGTTTATCAGTGTCGTTATAATTTTATTTAAAAAATGTAAAACTATGATGTAGGGTAGACGTGGGGTAGACTCAATAATTTGTTGTTTTATTTTACGTTGTGAATAAATGTTGGTAGTTATTAAAATTGTTATAAAAATATATAATTCTAATAAAAATAGATAAGTTATAATAAGTATTTATTAACACAAACATCCGATACGCTACTGAAGCAGGTAAGTCAAATTAACGTATCTAAATTCTTTGACATCTAATCTTTGACAAGTAATAAATAAAAGCTAAAATGCAAGAAAAATATATAATTTAGTTAATTTAAGTGAATTTCATAAATGATCGATTTACTACACGTATGTATATTATATAGTCACTTACTAGCGAAAAGTTGTTCCATTATTTCACTCAATTTTTGCCGAGATCTACCGCACGCTACACAACCAACTATTTTAGAGTCTTTTTCGATAAATCGCGATAGTGTCACTGTTAATTCAAGTTCTGCCACAATTTCCATCTAGATTTACTACCTTTATACAACTATCAGTAGTAGAATAAATAATAAATAACATAAAATAAGCTCCGTAAAGACTGACAAATCCACAAAATTTCAAATCAAATTCAAATGTGTCAAATGAATCGTCAAACAGAACTGTCAAGGATCCCCACCCTAGAGAGCTTTTATGGCGGCTTTTCCGCCCACCATGCATGAATACATGGATAGCATTATGCTCCTTCCTTAGTCTTCTTATTCAAAGGGCATTCCCAAAGGCATTCCAATCTAAATTTATTTCCTTTATCTATGGTTAGATTAAATTTGTCAAAAAAGTGTCAAAACGTCCGTTATCGTACGATCTTTCTCCGTTGACGGGCTGGAGTAAAACATTTACAGATGGAAAGTGGCGCGAAAACGCCATATGACCAGTAAGAGCGCCGTCGTACCATCGTATCAACGGATAACGGACGCATGAAAATCAAGCAGAGACTTAAAGTACAACCAAATAACGCTTAATAATGAGTTTTACCTGATGGTGTACTAGTACTAAATCGTCCACTAGATTTATAGCAAATCGTCCGGACAGTCCCAACTTTAACACGTGCGATTTAACGGGTGCTTGTCCAGCACCGTTCAACATATGCACGTGGACTTCCGCAGTTTGGGGGCCACTTTGGTGTCTTAAAATTAGAAGTACCGGCGTACTGTATAGAGTGGCTAATGTTACATCGCGTTCTAATGCCATACGTCCCGACTCGGCTACAAAATTATGGTTAATATCTTTTTAATATACAGGGTCTTGCAACAGTGCGTCCAGCATCTTTAGCACCTATTATAAAAAACTTAGAAATTTTGTTTCAGTACAAACCTAAAGTGTACTTCCATGTATTTCAGGAAAATATTTTAACTTCTACGGGGCGGCTCAAAAATGTGTGAGTGGATCAATATGATTTTTTTTTAATAGAACACCCTGTGTATTAGTGCATTTTTGGCATCCTTTCTGATCACTTTATATTATCCTAAGATATTATTAAATTTATTTTGGTAGTTTCAGAGACTTTAATAAATAAAAAAATACATTTTTCAACCTTTTTAAAAAAAAAATTATTAAAAATATAAGAAATGCCCTAGAATCAAAACTATACTAGGTATTAATTATAGTTGGTCCTTACCTTGCTATAAATTTCGTAATATTAAATCATACAGGCTGTTCAAAATTCCACGTCAAACTTTCTTAAATATAAAGGTGCGTACTCACTAGAGCATTTTGGTCCGAACGAACCAAGCGAGCCGAGCGCGCACGAACGAACTCAATAAGGAAAAGATCGCGATGTTGAGAGTGCTTCTTGCGTTCGCTGTGTTCCCACGTTCAGTTGTATTTAATTTTTATTCACGCTTTGAATCTCTAGGTCACCGTTAACAAATTAGCAGCATTAGTGTACCCGAAAATGCTTTTGGTTCAGTTGCTGGAAATATTTAAAAATTTGACACATGCCAAAATTTTCCAAAAATATATATTTTTTTCATATATTTATTTATACATCTGAAATTATCAAAACAAATTTAATAATATCTTAGAACTATGTAAAGTAATTAAGGATGCAGCCAAAAACGCAATAACATACAGGGTGTTTGTTACAACTTTTAAAACAAAATTCCTGTTCTTTTTTATAGGATCTGTTGCAGGACCCTGTATATCTAACTACATACTTTCAACTTTGGGTAATTTATTTATGGAGCCTTGCTTAATAGCAACTGGTTGTAATTGTGAACCATGTGCAGAAGCTAGAATAGCTATTTTGTTAGCGGGGCACCATACAAACCATTGTACTGTAGCCGATATGGTTTTTAACTGTTTAAATGACTTTTTTCCTGGTATAACACTATAAAGTTCGATACCATGATCTGTAACAATAGCTAAAAAATGAAGAAGATAATAAATATATACTTTAAAACTTAAAACCTTAACAAACCTAATTCGTTTAAAAAAGACCAAACAAATCCCAATATATTAGAGTTCTTTTTACAACTAACTGAATACTCAGAATCTAAAGTCTCGTCACTGAAATTCATCAATTCTATTGAATTGCTGACCCTCTGAACAGCTAAAATTTTATGATCTAACGAGAATTTAATTGACAATACAGTGCCTCGGTCTTCCATGCGAAAATTTAAGGGCTTCGTCCCTTTTGGGCCTTTTACAACAACTCCCATTACCCCACCAGATCGAACTGCAAACACATCTTTATTGGAGTCATCGAAAAAAACATTAGTCAACTGATTCACAGCCTCAAAACGAATGGGATCTGAGGATAATTCTAAATAACAGTCTGAATGGTTGGTTTCGGCCATTTTTGCTAGTTAAACTACAATGAGAAAGAAATTAAATCAACTAGAAAGAATAAAACATAAAAACTTTTGATTACTTATCAAATAAAATCTAGGAATAATCCCAAAAACAAAACATATTTTGACAGATAATTTGTAAACAAAACACATAACCTAACTTTTTTAGGGACTTACGTTTTTGGGCGTTGCTGATCCTTCGCTAAACGGATAAATAAAATAAATTAATTGTCCGTTTTTATACAGAATCTGGGTGTCAAATTTTGCAAACAAAATGATTGATATTTTGTATAAAAAATCTTAAGAATAACTACTATCCGATAGCCAAGCAGCATTAAAAACGATCAACTCAATAACCATCAATTCGAAGTTGGTCAAAGAATGCCTAGAGAAGCTAAGCAAATTAGGCAAAGAAAATTCTCATTTTCTGTGGGGAAAATGGGAAACACGAGATCATATCATCACTGAATGCGCCGAGTCGACAACCATTTATAAACTTTGGTACGACTGATATCGGAGATGGAGAACTGTAACTGGCTTTTGTCAAAGCCCTGAGACTGTATAATGAGTTATAACTTAAGAAATGGAGACCTGGAGACACAATAGATCTGTAAGGTTGCGGTGATTAACCCCTTTTTGAATAATAGTTCAATATTTTTAAAGCTTTGTTTTATATAACCGAACAATTAATTTATTTTACGGACCCGATTAACGGACCGCTAGACACACAAATTTTTCTTAGGGACTTTTGTTTTCTGCCATTTGACAATTCAATTCCGAATAATTTGACGTCAGACGTCCTCAATTTTCAGTTTTTTTGAGGTTTATCAATAATTTTCCTCTATTAATAAGTTAAAAGATAACATTTCCAGTATTATTTCCACATATGGACGATGTTGCCTAACAATATGCAACACCAGTTCTGGGTAACCAAGAAAAGCGTTTTAAGGAAACTAGGAGGCAAAGAAGACGACTGTATAGTCTCTTCAGACGCTGAACTAGATGCAAAACTAGAACTATTCAAATCCATTAACGAGACGTGTATTCATCTCCAGAGAATTATAGATTTGTACCAGGAGAAATTATGTTTCTTAGCTCAGGAAGAAAATACCTTGGGAAGGTCAGATTTTTTGTTATTTTAGTGTGTATAACTTTACATGATTTTTTTTAACAGATACCTCAAAGAATGTGGTAAAAACGAGAAGAACGCTAATGCCAGTCAACTGATGACTACAGCGGGAAAAGCACTAGCTTATACAGGTCATCAAAGGCTCACAGTCAGGCCACCTTTATTAAGACTCCATCACGAAGTAGAAACCTTTCGAGGACAAGCTGTCTCTGATACTAGGTGCTTTTTATCAAATAATACATACTTTATCCACTATATTATGCTTTAAATTTGTAGGATAACTGTATCAGAAATGGAAAAAGCAAGGACAGAGTACCGAGCAGCTCTGAGTTGGATGAAATCTGCCTCGAGCCAGTTAGATCCTGATACAGGATACGGCTTGGAGAAGTTCAGAAAAGCTCAGTCATATGTAAAAACTAGTAAGACTAAATTTGATAGGTATACGTTGGCGTGTCTGCAAAAAGTAGATTTATTAGCAGCAGCAAGGTTAGTGGTATTTAATCATTTGTTAATGTGGTATCAAAAAAATATTTTTTTAGGTGCAACATGTTCTCCCATGCCCTAGTTCCTTACCAGAATGCCTTACAGGCATTCGCAACAAAAGCCTCAGAAACCCTAACTCTAGCCGCCGTAAAACTTGGCAAAGTTGAACCGTACGATTATAGTATAGTTACAGAACTTGTTGAATCTCCTTTGAAAACTGTAGATAAAAATGAAACCACTGAGAAGAAAGATAACTTAGATACAGACAAAGATAGAAACACCTTCTTCAATGCCGAGTATAGCGATAAAACTGATAAACCAAATGACCAACTCGGGAACGGTATATTAAATGATAAGTGAGTGAATATTTTATAAATGGGTTCATTTTAAAGTTAATTTTTGTAGGGAAAAATCAAACCTACCTCCAAACAACGAAACCGAATCTGTAATGAACTTACTGGGTGAAGATTTTAGTGCACCTGCCTCAAATTTCGGTCTGTTAGAACCAAAAGAAGCTAAACCAAGTTCAGCCTTAATTGATCTAGATCTAGGTAGACCGGCGGAAAATTTCTTTGGTTTGTTTTCAGGCAGTGCCAATTTTATGCCTTCGAACCTGATGATGCAGAACGAAGCGGGACTTAATTTTGACTTTGAAAAACCTGTTAAAGCTGATGAAATTGTGGGTAAAAAGCCTGTTACGAGCAGTAGTTTAGGCAAGAGTAAAGGTAAGACAGAGAGTCAGATGTCTTGGTTGAGTTTATTCGCCGAATTAGATCCTCTAGCTCAGGAAGTCACCGAAAATAACATGGCCGGTGATAGGGCATAAGTAACCCAAAATAATGTACAACTATAATATGAGAAAAATTATTTTGTTAGCTTGATTTCGCCCAGAATATATTATACTATAGGACGTTATTTTTAGTTTTAAATCGTATTCCGTTCACTTGTGATTTTGATTTATTTTGCACAGTCTAGTCGTAACATTCCAAAGATTAATTTTTTAAGTGTAATTTTTAATAAATATGCCCGAAGGTTTTCAGGTTATATTAGATATAGAAAATATTTGTTTTTATAGTTATATACACTGTGTTTTTTTTCTGTTTATATAGATTGTAACAGTACACATATAAAAATATAATTTAAATAAATATTTACCAGCAGTTTACGTAGTTTTTATTATAAACCTGTGCATAATCCAAATAGCTGCACTAACTTATGAACACAAAAAATGGGAATTTATTTCATTTTAACTGTATAAAGTTGTCTATGATTTAAAAGCAACCAATTACAATAATTTAAATGGTTAAATTGGTAACGTAAATAGAGAAAAAGGATTTAAGACCATTGGGACTGTTAATTTAAATTATTTTTTTGTTCTGAATAGTTAATCGTTGCAAAAATTTTAAATTTTCTTGATTGTTATGCAACCAACAATACACGAGTCATTTGAACTAAAATCTCTTGAAAAATGTCTTTTCTTCAAATAAATACCGTGTATGATTGAATCAAAGGATTGAATAAAAACGGCGTCAGCGATGGCCAAGAAATGAAGATCGCTGTCATTTTATATGTAAAATTATATGGGAAATGTCATCAATTGTCATTTCCAAGCCAACTGGACGCCGTCTTTTTTCGATCATACGGTATTTACCAGCAATTTAGGTAGTTTTTATTATAAACCTGTGCATATATCTACACTAACTTATGAACATATAAAACAAAGGAATTATATACGAATTCGACGTCTAATTTTGACGCGGTACTTTATATTCGCGATACTGAAACATGGCTGCTTTGAGCTTATCCATTTCACGATTTTCGTCGTTTATATCTGCTTTACATGACTCTATTTGTTCGTAAAAATCATCAGTTAACTTTTTTAGCATTTCTGAATCCTACAAAACAACAAGTAATCAATAATAATGAAAGTACGCTAATTAAAAATTAACTAACCATACGTAAATCTTCGTTCTTTATTTTCGTTAAGATATGCTCGCTAAATTTGATTTGCTTTTCGCTAGAACAAAGGATTTGTTATCAAATATAAAATAAATTAATATACCTATCACTTACATTCTCGTGGTTCTGTCGGTTTTAACGGACTTATCGTTGAGATTGTTTACGTGAAACCCCAACTGCGCCCGGTCCGTATTGACCAGCTGAAATTTTTCGTGTAATTTCCACTTGATTTGGGACTGTATCTCTTCGGCGTCGAACACTTCCTGTTTGGCCTTCTGTAAACTCTTCACGGCTTCCGCGTATTCGGCATTTTTGTTTTCGAGCTCTTGCGTTTTCTGCTCGATGACCGGTTCCTGCTTCTTGAACACGCCGAATACGGCATCGTAGTGATGCGTTTCGATCATTTTGTCCATCGGGAGAATGCAGGATTTTGTATAAATAAAAGGAACGCGATCTCTCGTAAATTAACGACAAATTGTACAAAAGCGTCGCGAAACAAATGAATATCAAATGTCATGAATTTATTTCATTTCAACTGCATTAAATTTGATTTAAGAATTACTAATTATAATAAATTAAACGGTTAAATTGGCATTGTAAATCGAGAAAAAGGATTTGGGACTATTAATTTAAATTATTTTTGTTCTAAATAGTTAATCGTTAAAAGATTTTAAATTTTGTTGATTGTTATGCAACCAACAATACACGAGTCATTTGAACTGAAATGCTAAAGCAGTGCCTTCTATTAAAAGATCAGCCTACGGGCGGACTTTTGTTTGCTTCATCAGCTGTACATACTTAGATATTGGGTTAGATTCCGTTTCATATTTTGTCGGTTGATTTTTGGTTTTAACTCTTTGATTTTTGGTATTATTTATTATTGTAGTGCAAAAAACGAATTATTTTGGTGTTGAAGTGACATAAACTACTACCAGATATATGGTCACTCTCGGTTTCGCATAAAAAAATAGAAATTTTAAAAATTACATGTTGTGTAAGTGATTTAACCTAAAAGTGCCCATACATTTTTTACTTATCGTGATTTTTGTGTGTGTTTTTAAGACTCTAACAATTCATCAATAAAGCTTAAGTGGAGTGTGTTTTTGGTGCTATGCCTCATCTTTGTTGTGTTCCTGGTGGAAAGGATAGTTACTAAGGATAGTTATTATACTAGGCAGCCTAAAGTGTCCGGAAGAGCAAGAAAAGTGGGTAACGAGTTATAAATCAAGAGAATTTTATTGAAAATATTTTTAATAAATTTAAAAATAATATTCTCCCATGATGGTATTAATGAAAACTGGACAATTATGTTTATTTTATTCATATTGTGGAATCTTCACTCCAAGTGTTGCTGGTTCAGCTTCGATAGATTCAAACACGTAAGTAGGTATTATGATCTAGGGAAAAATAAAGAATATGTGTATTAGAGATCATGAAAAGATTATTATTTTGAGTTCAAATTTTAAAAAAGATTTTTGTAAAGACAAGACTGATACAGTTTAAAAGAAGAATGTGTTTTTGTTTGATAATATATAATGTATGTTAAGCATAACATATATTTGTTCAGTAATTTTTAATGAATAGTATTGATTATTTATAATACCAAATTAATATCAAATATTTAAGTGATGGCTGAATACAATATGAATAAAATAACAATAAAATTGGTATATTTGCATAATACATAATTAAGTTTTAAGAATAAAGGTGTTACTAAAATACTAAGAAATTCATATTTCTTTGTTTTAATTGGTCTAATGTTATTTACATTTTACGTAAGAATTATACCGTATCATCGAAAAAAATCGGCGTCTAGTTGGCTTGGAAATGAACATCGATGACATTCCCTAAATAACTGTACACATAAAATAATTAACTAGAATTTTACAATCTTGGAAAATTTGATATTCTTGAACCTTGATTCTAAATATTCTAAATTTTTTGATTTTCTTGGAATTTAGGTTCGGGAAAAACGCTGATTGATTTTTCATTTGGTTTTTCATTATTTTTATTTGGTTTAAAAAAAACGGTTCGGCTAACATTATAGCCTCCATCAGTGTTGTGTCATATGAAAAAAATAGTGTCGAATATAATCCAAAAATTGCATATAAAATATTCACACCACGCACATAATGTTTACTGCGTACTCCATAGTCAATGTAGATAATTTTAGTGTTAAGAATAATAATTTTAAAAAATATGTGGTCAACTTTTGATAAGTTTATATTAGTTTATTAATTGCAGTAAACATTATGAGGTGTGAATTATATTGTATATGTAATTTTTTGGATTATATTCGACACTATTTTTCTCATATGACACAACACTGTGAAGGCTATAGTTAGCCGAAACGTTTTTTTTTAAACCAAATAAAAATAATGAAAACCCAAATGAAAACTTAATCAGCGTTTTTCCCGAACCTAAAAATCCCAAGAAAATCAAAAATTTTAAAATAATTTAACATATAAAATGCCAGCGATCTTCATTTCATAGCCATCGCAGACGCCTTTTTTTAGATAATATTGTATTATTTGTAAATATAATTTTTCGAACATTGATACTTGCAAAATATACATATAAATTTTGTGAATGCAAATAATAATACATCACTATTAGTAGATATTAAATGTTTTTTGTTAAATTAGATCGATTTTCAAACCCCAAAATTTAAAATATATTTACATTTTACCCATTATCTTATGTACCTATACATTATTTGTACATTGTAAAACATTTGCTGCATTTGTATGGTTCATAGTTTATTTGCCAAAGTATTTATTACTATAAATAGGTATATATGTTGTAGTTATTAGCTGTATATTATGTATATTTCATTGAAACTATATCATTTTTAAAATACAAACCAAAAATCTGAGGAATAATTATGTTTTCCATGTATTCTACAACATATTTATTAATCCGTTATATCTAACTAGCGTGACGTCATAAATCTCGCCCGGAGGCTGATCTTTTAATAGAAGGCACTGGCTAAAGCTAAAATTTTCGTTAGTATATTCTGTGGCTAAAATCCAACCTCAAAAAAATGTCCTTTCATGGTTTGAAAAAAAATAAACTGGACTATCAAAACGTAGTTTATTACAGAAAATCATCAAAAACACAATATAGAAACCATATAAAACCTCTTCGAGGTAATTACTTTACTTTATTCAATCCATATTACTTCTAAAACATTAATTCGCACAAACCAAGCATAAATAAACCTCCATGTTCTATTAGCTTTATTTCGAACCGTATATTTTCGTACATTATTTAGAGCCGTTCGTAAATATACAGGTAACCTAGGTCTTTGGGCGGATGTTCGGACAGGGCAACTTTGCTGTCGTTGAAGATGACCCACTGCCCTTCCTTTTGAATGTGGGCAACGTAGTGGCCTACCATCGTGGACGTTCCCATGTGGGAGATGAACGCTATTAACTTATATTCTGAAAAGGAAGAACCCTGTATGTACCTTTCCCAAATAAACCATTCGAAAAATACTTACTGCCATTCCCATCCCTGAATTTAGGCCTGTGACTCGCCGTCGCCGCCGCCGCCTCATCGTTCTCCTCCGTATCCATATCGTCGACGTGCGAAAAAATCCAGTCCATGGCCCGTTCCACGTTGTTATCCGTGTTCTTCAGCGCCTTGGACGCCTGGTTCTCCGTGAATCCCATGGAAATAATCGTGGCCAACGCTTCCGGGTTCGGCGCGAACGAGGACTTGGATGGTTCCGTGCCGGGCGGGATGAAAGGATCCGTGAAATCGGGATCGGTAATGTGCTCCATGATCCAGGCCGTCGCCACTTCCACGCCTTTGTTTCCCGTTTGGTATAGGGCTCTTTTACAGGATTCTAACGGGAAACCTGTAAAATTGGTCAGTTAACGTATAGCTAATTAGTAGGGATGTGCGTTTTATGCAAAATTATCGATATTTTGATGTATCGAATTTCGGTATTTTTGAACCAGTCTCAGTTGGAAGCAAACTCCATTTGGAGCTACAATATTTCTAGAAAAATAAAACTATTTATTTAAATGCTTTAGATTATTATGCGGACAAAATATTTCCGGACAATGCTCGTATATATCGATATTTCAAAATATCGATTTTTATGTACATCTCTAGTAACAAATATCAATATCTAGTTAAATCTGAATTTAAATATGGCAGGATTGTGCATTTTTCTTACGGTACTACCAAAAATGCCAATGATACTAAATAATTGATACTTTTTTTTTAAATTAAAGATTATTAAATAGTCATTTTTTTCATATACTTATTTTCAGCTGAAAAAATTCCAACTTCGATTCGTATACCGGATGCGTCTCAAAAGTGGCTCACCCCTATAATTTTTGTATTTCTTCAGATAAAAAAACGAGATTTGGTATGTTAGTATATGACATAAATTAGGATTGATTGACGTATTCAATTGTTTTTGGTCACTTCCTGTTTCACCGGAAATGACTACAACTTTTGATTTTTGCACCCTCGGTATTTTTTTGCTTTATTCGATAAAAAATGACATTCTGAATAGAATGACATATCATATGTCAACTTTTCACATTCTCGCTTAATAAAAAATCGTATTTTAAAATTCAATCTGGAGTGCCATGGCTATGTTAAAAACACTAATCCTTAATCAAGGAGCCTTAGAAAAATAGATTTGATCGTCTAATGCTTTTAGTGGCATGTCCTGGCCAGTTAGAAAATGCTCAAATCGTATTTTTAATCATATCTCAATTTTTTCAAATAGAACGAGGGTGGCGCATTAGCATATTTGGAAAAAGCATTTTTTTACGAATAATTTGATACCACACACTTGGTATTTCTAGTCAAATTTTCGTAACGAACCGCAAGTTATAATTTCAAATAAATCATATGCGAAAATGTCAAAAGTTGACATATGATATGTCAGTGTATTCAGAGTGTTATTTTCTATCGAATAAAGTAAAAAAATACCAAGGATGCCATTTAAAAATCAAGTTGTAGTCATTTCCGGTGAAACAGGAAGCGACCGAAAACAATTGAATACGTCAATCAATCCTAATTTATGTCATATACTAACATTTAAATCTGAATTTAAATATCATAGAACTGAGTAATATTCTATTATACCAATTTTTAAAATATCGATATTTGAATATATCGATGTTTTATGAACATTCCTACAAATCAACAGACAATTGAAGAATGATTAAAACTGACTATTCAATCACAATCACAACCTAACCTAACCTTTCCACTTTTTTATAATTTTCAGCTAAAAAAGTTGTCTACAAATTCGATTTGTATAACATCATCATTTTTAAATTATCGATATTTTAATATATTGATATTAATGAACATCCCTTCTAAGAAATAACACATAGAAAATTTAAAATTATTCATAATGGATATAACTGTTGTGGAATTGTGTAAGAGTTACAGATTATTAAATACCTTGTTACTTTTTTTATTATTATGTACACTCTCGAGAATCGATATTTCAAAATATCGATCTTTATGAACATCCCTACTAAAAATCATCAATAGATTTTGAGAAATGATTAAATCCTACAGGATTGTCCGTTTATCTATTGTTTCGCCATAAATACCAGTTCTAACCTAAATTTTACCAAATTATCGCATTTTTCTTTAAATTAAACATAATTAAATTAGCTTACCCATGTCGCAGAGCTGAGCTAGCACAGCCTCATCGAATTGAGGCGCGGGAGGCGCAGTGTCGGGCTCGGGTAGGAGCTCTTCCCCGGGCTGCGGTCCTGTACCTCTCAGAACTGAAATATCCAACACATCGGGCATTTCCACGGAAACGTCCAACTTTATCGGCACCCAGTCCTCCCTCAGAGTGAATTTTTTCAGTTGGATCACCAAATAGTCCGGGAAAGTTGCCAATCTCGTCGTTCTAGAATAATTTTTTAAAGAAAAAAAAATTAAACAGGGTGCTGAACTTTGAATAAGAAGACTAAGGAAGGAGCATATCAAAAATCTTAGGTACACCGCGATGGGCCTCAAATATGGCCGACTTAAATTCCGGTTTATCAGTGTCGTTCTAATTTTATTTAAAAAATGTAAAACTATGATGTAGGGTAGACGTGGGGTAGACTCAATAATTTGTTGTTTTATTTTACGTTGTGAATAAATGTTGGTAGTTATTAAAATTGTTATAAAAATATATAATTCTAATAAAAATAGATAAGTTATAATAAGTATTTATTAACACAAACATCCGATACGCTACTGAAGCAGGTAAGTCAAATTAACGTATCTAAATTCTTTGACATCTAATCTTTGACAAGTAATAAATAAAAGCTAAAATGCAAGAAAAATATATAATTTAGTTAATTTAAGTGAATTTCATAAATGATGGGTTTACTACACGTATGTATATTATATAGTCACTTACTAGCAAAAAGTTGTTCCATTATTGCACACATTTTTGCCGAGATCTACCGCACGTTACACAAACAACTATTTTAGAGTCTTTTTCGATAAATCGCGATAGTGTTACTGTTAATTTAAGTTCTGCCACAATTTCCATCTAGATTTACTACCTTTATACAACTATCAGTAGTAGAATAAATAATAAATAACATAAAATAAGCTCCGTAAAGACTGACAAATCCACAAAATTTCAAATCAAATTCAAATGTGTCAAATGAATCGTCAAACAGAACTGTCAAGGATCCCCACCCTAGAGTGCTTTTTCCGCCCACCATGCATGAATACAGTACGTCTGCTGGACCTGTGGCTATGAAAGGAATGCGGACAAAAACATTTAAATAAACAGCAATATATTTTATACGTCGACTTGACGAGTACGTCACCGCAAATCGCTCTGCCCACTCATTTTATTGGCTACTTGGAAATTTGTCGAATTTTTATTGATGGGACGCGTCGTCTATCTTTTTACGAAAAATATCGAGAGAATATCGTTTCCCCTCTCACGGATATCCCGTAGCTACAGAACGGACAGACGTACTGTACATGGATAGCATTATGCTCCTTCCTTAGTCTTCTTATTCAAAGGTGCTGAACCAAGGATACTATATAGAGATAAGGATAGTTCGATTCCTATCTTCCTGCACTGTCAGTTTCTTTACGTCATCTACTGACCGAGTTGAAGTTGGCGCTAAAGATGTTAGACAGTGACAGTTATTTTTGCATTTGACGGAGGAGCGCACAGTAATTCAGAATTCAATACATCGAAAACAGCCCGACGAATAATCAATTCATTTTTGTTTTGTTTATTTCCTTTCATGTTTCTCTGTTTTATTTTTAAAATTTAATACGAATTTGATTGCTTCGAATGTCTTGAATTTGAAATTGTTGTAACTACGGCAACGTTGCTTAACATCGTCGTCTGACGCAAGACGCAAGCCCGCCACGACGGCGCGGCGACCGGCGACTCAAAGGACCAGTTCACACGCGGCAGTTCTTGGTTGACGGTTAGGCTGTCGATGGAATTGTCGAAATACATCGAAAAAATAGGGAAAAAACAAAATACGTTGTCAATAATTGTTGAGTGAAACATGTATTTTCTTAGATTGAAAGTAGTTCGTAAAGTGGCGATAAGAGACAATAATTCTCAACATTTATTCATTCAGAAAGGTATTCAAAGTAATGTGCGCTTTTCAAGGTGTTTTGTAAAACAGTGGTTCAAATAAAATAGAGAAACATGAAAGAAAACAAACAAAACAAAAATGAATCGATTATTCGTTGGGCTGTTTTCTAAATTTCTTGAATTGTATTCTAAATTACGATAAACATTTTGGGAATTTCTTTTTGTGACCTGATTGTGAATAATATGAATCATTTTATTAAATTTATTCCAAAATAAAGTTATTTTGCAGCATAACACAGATTTTCGTAAACGTCATAAACGTAATGTTTTAGTTAATTTTCGGTGGTTTTTGTTAAGTTTTCATTGAAAGGGTAAGTACTAAAAATAATTAATGTGTTTTTTTTTCTATAATTATTAATAATGAGCACTGATAAAAGATTAAATTTAACATTCCTAATTTTTTGAGTAGAAATTTGTCTATGAATTTATAAATGTAGAACTATGTTCAGCCGAACTATGTAGAATGTGGATAACATAAGAGGTTGCAACACTGCAAGGTTTAGATACACCATAGGGAAATCTCAGGTGAATAAACAAGTGGCACTAAAAAGTTTTTTCAAATTTCCCGGAAAAACATTTTTTTTTCGCAAAAAAACCTCATAGTCGTGTTTCTGGGGTTGAACTATACTACATACTACCAGTTAAAATATTTGCACTTATTTCTGGGACACCCTGTATAACAATGTCGGAACAACGACTTGTTGGACTTTGCATGATGAGCGTCCATCGAAAAAGAGTTTTAAACGCGAAGGATCAGTATGAAAAAGAAATTTTGTCCAAGTTTAGCCAGAACTCGAGAAAGTTAATGCTAAAATAAAATACTTACAAATTACAAACCCAACATGTTTTTTTAATAAATTTTTTATGTTATGATGAATTTCCTTGTTTTCTTGCCCCACCCTGGGAAACACCCTGGCTACGCCCATGCTAGTGTCAGTCATTATTTTGTATAATGCCCTTTTAAGCACAAACAGTTCTTTTAAGAACTAAATTTTCGAGTTTTTGTATTGCATTTGTTGAAATTGTGTGTTGAAAATACGCCGAAGCATTGTAGCTTTCCTGATAAACTATTTTGAACGAGAACGTGAAAATAAAGATCCTTTAATAAGCTTGACTGCAGTCCGAAAAGTAAGTTTGGTTGATAAGCACATAATACCACTTTCAAAGTTAGTTTTTATTAAATTCTGTGATTATTAGTTTATGCATTAATAGCACCCTCTTACTTGTTATTACCACTTATGGTGTTGTAAGATGTACATCAATAAATAAATAACCCATAATAACGCTTATAATAATCTTCATAATCGACTAGTTTTGGCCAACATGTAATAAGTAAAATACGCTATAAAACAAATAAATCAATTAATCACTAAAATATTAGTTATTAAATTAAAAATAAAACGGAAAACTCTTTAAAAAATGATATAATAAATATGTTGTTTGTCAATTTTAAATTAAGACTCATCTCATAAATCCATCACAATCTGGCAGCGCTGTCGCCATCGCTTATTAATCAAAGTTGATCACGTGCATCGGAAACTGTTTTGCGATTACCATATTTCAATCGCTCTGTATAATTGTATACACTGCTGGCAAAGGAATATTAGCAATAGGAGGTTTTCAATGCGATAAAAAAAGATGGTAAGGCTGCAAAATACACTGCAGTGCAACAGAGACGGATAAAGTGTCTTTTCCCTACCATTGTATAGGGGAAGTGATCATAGAAGTGATACGACGATAGAGCCCCTGCGAGAGGGGGCGCCGGGCGGGTCTTTAAGACGCTTGTGTGGGGGCTACCGCCTACTAATAGAACAGAATCGAAAAAATAGAAACAGGACGGACAGTGTTGCCATTCAATTAAATCGAAATTATGTTGGCTTGTCAAAATCCTAAATCTTCTAATCCCATTATCTTGCCTACTTAATGAAATATTAAATAAAGTACGAAACAATTTTAAGAATGTTTTCTCTAGGCACATAACTTCTTTCTAAAACGAAAAGTAACATGCAAAACTTTGAAATCATTTCTAAAATAGCAAGTGCAATTCTATGAAATGGCAATACTGTACGATCTTCCTAGCAGTCGCCCCGACACAGTCGGTCGGCGGCGGCGCTTGACAAAGCCGCGGCTGTGACAAAGGAATTAGGCCGAAAAAAACTTTATAAGGAGTAGCCGAACAGGGTTGCCGGGTTGGTTAGATTATAATTCCATACGAGAACAAAATTCTCGGTAGATCTTCAACAAAAATTAAAAGTACAGAAACGAAATAAAATATAATATTTAAGTCCAAAATTAGCATTCCTATGTGTCGTAATAATAGATCACTCAAATAAAATACAAATATAATAAATATAACAAGAATTAGAAATAGCTAGGTATATTATTTGATATTAAAAAAAATATTGAATTAAATAATATTAATATATTAATAAAAACATATAAAACTATAACAAGTAGGGATAGCAGTCACAAATTAGTGTAGCAGTCACTTTTTACCTTTGTACAAATTTTGATCAGTGATATCTAAAATTAATTTCATTTCAATGGGAAAGCTGTAGCAACTCTCAACTCTTTTTTCATATTAATATATTTTTTTACGGGAAAATCAGTAAAATATTTGTCCGAATTTAGGTTGTTTCTTAACTTAAATTTTGTTTTTTGTTTACATTTTTTGGGGAAAATATGGGTTCAACTTTAGTAGATGAATGAAATAAAATCTTTTCAAAAGATATCAACTTCTTCGGGCATGTCGCCAATACCGCGCCTAATAAGGAGTAATAAGGAGTAATAAGGATTTTTAGGAATATCTCTGTAACTCTGCAACTAGACAGAACGATGACCTGTATGTGTGTTATTACTAAATAAAATTTAATGAAACAATAATAAAGTCAAATTATACAGATTCCAACACGGCAGTCGCTTAATTTTTAGTCAAATAAGTCAGCTTTTTATAAGTGCTTCTATTGTAAAAACTAAAGACGCAGTTGAATATATCGTTAGATTTTTCTTTAAATCGGTAGATCGGTAGCTTACAGACGAAACCGGTAGACCTGGCAACTCTGTGATGAACTGACGGGAGTCAGAATAGCGAGGTGCGGAGGCGCGGGAAGGGAAATAAAATAATGGCGATAAATAAAGGGCAGGGAGATGGGTATCATGAGTGGATGGGAGGTGGCGGAATTTCCAAAATTTGTTATCTTATTGGAGTTTGTCTAAGTAGACAGTCGTAGTGGAAGTGGAAACGGGGAAGTTGTTGTCCATCTCTGTTTAAGCATAGACTTTTTATAGGCGTTTCATTCCAATGCATGTAATTCCTATGCCTAGAGATCCATTGCCGGGCCTGTATAGTGTGTGCCAAAAGAAGTTATAAACTTACTTTCTGGCAGAAACGTTGCCGTTGACAGCCGAACTGAAGAAACTGTTGATAACTTCGGACTGTGTGAAAGACTCCAGGCAGGAGAAAAATTTAATCTTTGGTCTAACAATCGATTCAGGATCTAATCTTTTACCGTGAGATTCTGCCTCTGATTTCCTTGCTTCATAATTCGCCACCTACAAATATATTACTCCAGTATACCCCCGTATTATAAAAATACAAATAACGTATGATCGAAAAAAAAACGACGTCAAAGGCGGCTCGGAATTGGCAATCGATGGTAATTTTGGCGAGGTAGCAATCTCTAGACGTCATTTACTAACAGTTGACATAAAACTTGTCAAAAATTAACACTAATTTATAATAACTTAGATTTCCAAAAAAATATTTTTTCTCGAATTTTAAACTACTTAATTTAAATTCATTTTATCTCTATAAAAATGAATTACAACCTGCTTAAGGCCGACTGGCAGTAGGCGCCCTTAAAAAATATAGAAGAAAACGGACCAAGTAAACGTCAGCCCTTTTGACGCCGTTTTTCTTCGATCGTGTGATAGAAATTATATATTTACCTCCTCCTTGTTGATTGCCGCGTCCATAGGAATGTTTAAACTCAGACAGACCTCGCTCCTAGTGATGTACTTCACCATTTTACTTTGGCCACACTGAAAACGTTCCTCCACTTCGAATTTGAAACACTCGCCAGGGTTGAAACTGTTGTTATTGTGCCGTTCCAACAATGTGAGCAGATGTAACAAAAACTCTTGGACATCCTGTAAAATACTACTATAGTCTGTCCAGCAAAAAAATACATATAAACTTACGTGCATAGAAATCGGCCCACTGTGAACTTTTGGTTTTAACTGTCTTTTAGAATCTATTTATCATGGCAAGTAAAAAATATGAGCTGTTTCAAGACAATTTCACATGCTTTAATATGAGCATAAATTTATTCAGGGTACTTATCGTTTATATGCGTACCAACGGGTAAACAAATAAAAGGTATTTGTGTTGTGGTGACAATAAGAATAACAAACTTGTCAAATATTGCAATTACTACCTTTGTAATCGAAATTTTCACATTGTTCTTTTATTCTTTGATTAGTTGTGTTTCATTGTTTGATTAGTGTTTCAATTTAATGCATACATTACCGGAAAAGCCGCCCAAGTAATCGCTTTAATCGAAAATGGGCTTAAACAGAGAGCTGTAGCTCGGCAACTACATATGACACGCGGAGCGGTTTGAACAGTGTGTGAACGATATGAGGAGACTCGATCCTTTCGTAGTCGACCTGGAACTGGTAGAAAGAGATATACAACGGACCGTGATGGCCGCTTTATTGTGTCAACAATGTTAAGAAATCGGCGTCTTAATGCTATTCAGGTGCAACAGCAGCTCCGTGAAACACGAGGAGTGACTATTAGTCAGTGGACAGTAAGACGAAGATTGAACGAAAGTAACATGACCCCCAAAACACCCGCAATTGGTCCAAAACTTACCCAGCTCATCGTCAAGCACGCCTGCGTTTTGCACTGGAACATCTGAATTGGACACTAGAACAATGGGAATCTGTTTTATTCTCAGATGAGACCAGGATATGCCTCTATGGTAGCGACCAAAGAAGAAAAGTGTACCGGAGGCCAGGTGAGCGATTCGCAGAATGCTGCATTGAGGAGCGGATTGCTTATGGAGGTGGTTCCTGCATGATCTGGGATGCAATTTCTATGACTGCGCGAACTGACCCAGTTTTCATCCGTTGGGGCGACCGTCGGCACGGGAGAGGAGGTTTAACTGGTGCTAGGTATATTGAGGAGATTTTAGCAGTTCATGTGGTACCTTACGTCGACTACATTGGAAGCTAATTCGCTTTTATGCATGACAATGCGAAGGCACACGGGTCGGATTTCGGGTTATGGAATGGCCAACATGCAGTCCAGACTTAAACCCGATAGAACGTTTATGGGATGAGCTAAAACGAAGAATTCGTACTAGACGAAGAGTCCCAACTTCTATCCCAGAGCTCATTGTTGCAGTAGAGGAAGAGTGGCTTAACATCCCGCAAGAAACAATATCAAATTTGATCGAATCTATGCCAAAGAGATGTTGTTAGAGCAAGAGGGGGTCATACCCATTATCGAAAATTTAGTTTAGTTAATTGTCCATAAATAAATAAATATATAATAACATACCTCTTAGTAATAAAAAACGATAATTTGTTTCATGCATTAATTTAATAACTTTAATTCAAAGAAACCAAAATACAAATTAATATCTCTAAACTCTTTTCAAAGAATATAAAATTGTCTTTCAACCAGCATGTATTTTTTCTTAATCTGACAAATAGATTCTAAAAAATATATAGCTAACTTTAAAATTTTGCCTTGGGCCGATTTCTATGCACGCAAGTGTATACGCCAATCTTGTTTGTTTTATTTCGTATGTCAACTGTCAAAATTAATTAACCTGGCTGGTTTAAATTGCAGTTCATAAGTTATATTTAAGTTAGTATGATTCAAATACCTGCTGTTTTTTGGTGGAAAATTCTGGATGGCCTTTTCCCACCAACGTTTTGAACATGTGTGGAGTTATACCGGGAGGATCGGCATCAACGGGCACTCCAGAGTCTGGAGGTACAGAATAATCACCGGAAAGCAGCCCATATGCTAATTTAGCCCTAATTTAAAATTCGTTTTACAGAGTGCGTTTAAAAAATTAAACACATATAGGCTAGAAAGTTTACTTTTAAGTTACTCTAAAAAACAAAGAAACAGAATAAAAAGTGGAAGAAATGGCATTTCTCTTCCTTCCCAACCTTACTTTCAATTATTTCAATAAAAAATAAACTTTTATCCATATGTATCCAAATATATTAAACACACTGTATATTATAGATAGTTTTAAACGATTAGTCTTACATTTGTACAGAAAAATCCTCAGCTGGGTTACCACAAGCCTTGTCAAATATCCCTTCGCATCCTTCAAAGTACTTCGAAACAAAATCGGGAATCCTATAATCAAATTTATTTATTTAAAAAAATCTCAATAATTAATATTGTGATCTTTTCACAGAGATTCACCTGTATATAACCTGCATAATACTGTTCAAATAACACGAATTTCCCATATTTTGCATCCCCGTATAACCCGGACCGTAGATGGGTTTGAGCTTGCCACCGCTTTCACACAGAGCAGACCATTCGTTGGTTTTCTGATTCAGCTCCAACTCCAATTCGACCATAGATTTCTCGGTTTTCTCCATTTGTGAAATGTTTATACCTAAAGAATTAATTTATTTCTTATACAGGGCGCCAAACGTGACGGAAAGCAAAATTATCTCGTTTTGAATTAAATACAGGGTGTTTCAAAAAACATGTGCCATCTGTCATGGGGATATTCTTTTCGTAAAAATAAGATTTATTTTTCATATCAACATAGGTCCGATTCTGCTTTGTTTCGTAGCTACAGAGTGTTAAAATCTTAATCTTTTTTTGATTTATTATGATTTTCTTCCAAGTACTTTTAGTGATTCTAACGAAATTTTGAGGGTAAAAGTTACTATAAGTGCTACATATTTTAATGCTAAAAAAGTGTAGATAAATTCATCAAGGACGTGCATATGGGTTATCGCTGGAATATTTTTCAAAAAAAAATACACGTGCGCCACTGATTTTTTTCTTTTGATATCAAAATTGTATAGGCCGTTTAATGCCAATTAAAAGTTATCTCTTGATATTTTGTCGAATTCGGCCTCCTTGATGAGATAAACGCAATTTTATTAATAACAATTTATAAAATTGAAATAAAAATAAAGTTAATAAATTATACATATTTTACCTAATTTATTATTAATTATTAAGTATTATTACTATCAGTTATTATTACTATTAGTTATTATTACTATTAGTCCAATCTACAGCAATTTCAAATAAAAAAATAATGGTATTTAAGATAATTACAAAAAACTAATTTTACAATTTTTTAACATCCTCTAACTCTAAAACTATGCATTTCTATACCCATGTTTATAGGAACTTGTTTATCATATTATTTGATGATGAATCAATGAGTACCACATGAATCTCCATACTTATGCTACACGTAACAAAAATTATTTAAATTTAAAAAGTTGGCGTTTAAAAAGATGTCAAGACGACTTGGAATACATTTTTTTAATAAAATTCCACATTCTATTAGAGATTTGCCCATCACAAAATTTAAGTCTGTTCTGAAGACACACTCTTCGTTAATCGGGCGTTTTATTCTCTTAGTGAGTTTCTAGAATGTGATATTAGCAGCATTATGTAGAAATTTGAATTTCAAAAGCTTGTTAATGTTTAGTTTTTAATTGTCTTTTAAATATTGTGTTTGTATATTTTAGTGGTTTTTATTTAAACTTTGTAATTTTGTAATATCTTTTATCAATTTTACTTTCGTATTTTGTTTTTTTAATGACAATTTTGATATTTAGCACTATTTGAATTTGAAATTTGAAAACGACAAATCCCTTAAAACATAAAACGAAAATGGGACACCCTATATAGGGCGATCCAAAAGATAATTTTCATACCGAAATGTTGCAAGTGCTGAGCCAACAACGGATCCTCCACCATATCGTCCTCGCTATAACTGAACACGTCGGCCTTGCCGTCTTTGGTAATGGTACCCAGTTTCACCGCCAACGGATAATTGGTCACGCTGTAGTGTTCTATAGCGTGATTGTTGCCCCCAGAGCCGTCGAAAAACTTCCGACCGCAAAGCACAGAGCCGTCGCTCAAATTCAGCCACAGGTTCTCAGTCTTGTCGCACTTTTCGCATGTCCACCCTGTAGGCGGGATTTTTTTACCGTTCTCCAGCTGGACCAGGCTCTGGGCGTGTTTGGAGACTTGCCTCGTCTCGCCGTCCCACGTCCCGCTCAGCGCCTCTAATTCTGCCAATTTGCTCGCCGAAGGTAAGTCGATTATTGCTTTGACTGAGAGAAGTACCTTAAAAATAGGATTTTAGAAAATTAAAAAAGAACAAATCAAAAAATATAGTTTTTTTTATCAGATTCTTTAACCTGTGATTTTTTGTTATTGTTGTGTTTTATTTTAATTTTTCTTTAGTGTGGTTCTTATTTGTATTTTTAATTTTTTTGAGTTTATTTATTTGTGTATTATTAAATTTGTGTTGTTTAATTGTGTTCTTTTTGGTTTGGTTTTAATTTGTGTAATAACTATCTTTATTTTTTTTTAATTTGTATTTGTGTTTTGTTTATTTCAAATTTGAATTTTTTTAATTTGTGTTTTAAATGTTTTTTTTTAAATTTTTTTGTTTTTTTTTTCTGTGTTATGTTTTTAAACTGTTTTTTAAGTGTGTTTTTTAAATTTGTATGGGATTTTTTTATTTGCAAGTGTTTTTAATTTGTGTTTGTTCAAAAAAATTAAAAAACACTAATTTTTTTATTTGATTCTTTAATCCGTGATTTTTTATTATTCTTGGGTTTTATTTTAATTTTTCTTTATTGTGGTATTTATTTGTATTTTTAATTTTTTGGAGTTTATTTTTTATTTGTTTTTTTTAATTTTTCATTTTTTTATTTGTATATTATTAAATTTGTGGTCTTTTTGGTTTGGTTTTAATTTATGTAATAAGTATTTTTATTTTTTTTTTGAATTCGTGTTTTATTTTAATGTGTTTTGTTTATTTCAAATTTGAGTTTTTTTAATTTATTTTAATTTTTGTTTTTTAAATGTCTTTTATTTTTTGTGTGATTTTTTTCTTTGTGTTATGTTTTTAAACTGTTTTTAAGTGTATTTTTTAATTTGTATGTGCTTTTTTATTTGCATATTTTTTAATTTGTGTTTGTTAAAAAATATAAAAAACGTGATTTTTTGTTATATTCTTGTGTTTTATTTTAATTTTTCTTTATTTTTTGTTTGTGATTTTTATTGGTACTTTTTAATTTTTTTGTTTTATTTTAAAATTTTTTGTTTATTTTTAATTGTTTTTTTAAATTTCTTAATTTGTTTATTATTGAATTTATGTTGTTTAATTGTGTTTGTTGGCTTAGTTTTAATTTGTGTTGTATTTTAATTTTTTTTGGAATTTGTGTTTTATTTTTTAACGTGTTTTTTTTTCAATTTTGAGTTATTTAATTTGTGTTTTTTAAAGTTGTGTTTGATTTTTATTTGTATGTTTTTCTCTTTTTTTAATTGTTTTTTTTTAATGTATTTTTTAAATTCCTATGTGATTTTTTATTTGTATGTGTTTTTTAATTTGTGTTTTCTTAATTTGTTAACTGTGGTATGTACATGTTTTTACACCCTCTATATTTATATTCGTTTAATTCGAACTTTTTCATTCATTTGCATTTTTGTGTTTAAAAAAAAATTAAAAAAAAATACAAAATAAATATACAGGGTGTAAAAAATAGTATACCAAACTTCAGTGGCCGATTCTACAGATAAAAATAAAAGAAACATTTCCTATGAACAGGGTTGGGTAGGTAGAAAATTTTACATATTCTGCTGTATTTTCTACAGGCGGCATATTATTTTTCAATGCCAAGTATCTACAATTTTCTACATGTCCAAATGTAGAAATTAGTTTTGTATATTGAAAGCCATTTTTGGTGTTTATATTTGTCTTAAATACTTTAACACAATGATTATTACAAGAAATAAATTAATAATAATAATAACTCTCATTGTTACTTATTATTAAAAAAATGGATAATATGTCACAAAAGCTTAACTATGAATTTTTATATTATTTGAAATAGAGGTTTCAATGGAAGGATCCAACAGTGACAGTTGTGTCTGTCATTATAATTTACAGGGATATTGTATTTTCTGCTTTTTTATGTTGTCTGTCAAAATCTTCCCTGATTCGTTGGAGAGATTACTATTATCTAATATAATAAATATATAGTAAGTAAATAATAATAGTTGGCAATTTCAGAGTTATAGTAAGTTTTAGATTTAACAAACACTACTTTTTAATAGGAAAACTCAAACAGAACAAGAAAAAAAAATGATAACACCTAACATAATGATAAAAATAAGAACTAAAAACAACAATTATTATTACATGTAAGTATATAGTTTATAAAACCAGGATTCTTTGGTAAAATTAACAAAATAGAACAACCAAAACTGGTAATATAAAATCAGACTTTTCTACAGTCTTCAGGTTAATTAGTAAATAATCTAATAATCTTCAGATCAGTTACTGTCTCTTATCTTCTGCAGTTAGTACCTTCACAGGATAGAAAATTAATTTTCTACGTGTCATTACCCAACCCTGGTAGATACATACCTTGATTATTTTCAAGATATGTTTCAAGTGCGGACTGTAACTTCCTCAGAAACCATCTTAGGACAACTTTGTTTTTTCTTTTATTTTTATCCGTTATACAATTATTATTTATTACACAATGAACTTACTACTTCTGGAAATTCCAACTTAGGCCACGAAATCTCCAGAAATCCCGGCAAAATAACAATCTTATAGCTATCCTCAAACTCAAACTTCTTCTTCCCCGATTCGGGATCGAAACCCCCCTCCACGCCGATGGCCAGGCGGGTGATTTTCTTTTCCGGACCATCGCCCTGTGTTGGTGATGAAACCTGATGTTGATTAACATACCAAAACAATGAATACCTCGTTCGTGGAGAACATTTTGTTAAAATACATCACCTCTCTACATATCCTCTTCAAATGTAAATACACAGCCTCGCCAGTCTTTTTAAAATGCCTCTCGACGTGATTCCGGCCTAGGCCAATGAACGTGGTTAAACCAATATACAATCCGGTTGGGCTTTCCTTAAAAATAATTAGATTTTAAAGTAGTTTTAATTGTAGTTTAATAGCGTTCTGATTTGCAGATTTTTCTAACCTAAAGATGATCTACTTACGGGACTATCGAACGAGTAGACACACTCGTCTTTGTAAACTTTGTCGTTTTCAGTCGGTATTTTAATGTTTTTCACATGAGGCTGTAGTTGCTCCATGATATACTCGCGAATTTTAGCTATTAATAAATACTTCATAGACGTAAATCAACGTAAATACACGCCAAATTGTTGTTTTGTTTTAAGATTTGACATTGACAAAAATGACCTCTAAAAATGACACATACTAGAATGTTTTCGGATCAGAGATATAGAGGTGGGGAGAAGGGGTATGAAAGTGCGCAGAAGGATCACATACATTCAGAAAATTTAATTTTACTCCACAACAGTGCTTAAGTACCAACTTGTGTTTGTAATTCGTGATCGTTTTTAAGATTATTTTGAAAGTTTTGTAATATAATTGATTTTAAGTGGAAAATTAAAAAATATGTTTTTAAGTGTCGAATGGCTGTGATGTCCAAAAGCCAACTCTAGAGTTAAGAAGAAGAACGGATTCTAACATTCTAACCCGATTTTATTTGTTTTCAATCAAAGTTTTCAATTTTTGGAGGAAAAACTATTTTTTGCTAGAAACGTTTACGATAAAAATTGGCTTTAATTGAATAAATGCACAAATTACAAAGATGAAACCGAAAATTAGTACTGGATACTTTACTCCTCAAGGATCGAAAACAAAGAAGAAAACGAAGAACTTATCCGGCTCTAAAGACGATGAAAACTCAAACGCAGAATTTAACAACAAATTGTTCGAATCTATGATGAAAAATCCAGAAAAAAAGAAATTGGTACTGCAGCTGTTGGCTCTTAACAAAGATGCCATAAAAGAATATCAGGAGAAAGAGGTGGTAAAGACTCCCGATTCTGTAAAGAAAGTTAAGAAGAAAGTAGCCTGTGAAAGTCCAACGGCTTTGTATAGAAGAAGGGCTTTAGAGCATATGAACAGAGCCTCCGATAGGTATTTGTGTTTATTTGGATATTATTTTAAAACCTAATTTTGTGTGATTTTTAGCCCCTGTTCTTCACCTAAAGTAAGTTCTAAAACATCAGATGTTTCGGTCGATTCTTCTCACCCTGTAGATCCTGATAAAGTCTTTGAAGGGGTAACAGCATTTGTCGAAGTACTAAGCAATGGGCAGGACCGATCTGAAGGTGTTAAATCAATTTTACGCAAGATGGGAGCCAAGGTTAAAGATAGAATATCCAGCGATGTTACCCACGTTATTTTTAAGGTAAAATATCTGTTTACTTTTTTAAAACTGTTATAATAGGCTTAATATTTAAACAGGGTGGATCTTTTACAACATATAATAAAGCAAATATAATTAAGGCACATATTGTATCGATTTTGTGGGTGGAAACTTCAAGGAAGGCCTTGCAGAAACAAGATGAGGAATTGTACCATGCCATTAGGAACCGAATTTATGATGATGAAAGCTCTTTTGTCTGTTCGGTGAGTACTTAGTTTTAGGGTACTAGTACAGGGTCACCTAGTATTTAAAGATATCTAGGTAGAATCAATACTTGGAATATAACCTGAGTATTCATGTGTAATTTTTGACCTTGTCTCAATTTTTTTGACCTTGAAGCAGTGTTGCCAGAAATTTTCCAGGGAATTTCTTTAACGAACAGCTTTAAAAAATCGTCATATTCCTTGAACTTCACAAACCATTCCAGATCTTGTGAAAAACCACCGAATTTCGTGTATTTTACCTATTTTATAATTAGGAGAAAATTTTTAAAAACTCATTTCTGGTAATTTTTGGACACAGATGTATTTAAATAAACTTTTTATTAAAAAATTGCCACAATCAAAAATGCTGTGATTCTGTGATAGATACTCGACAGCAGTATTATAAAGTATGTTTCAAAAAATTCAGTGCTTACAATGATTGCTTGAAACGAGAATAATTAATCATGCCATGATCAGCTGACTTATTAGATATTAGATATGTTTTCCGTTTACCTATTTATTTAATTTCAACATCAAGAACTTGGATTTAATTATGGTATGCGTGTGATAAGATGTGTTGCTAGATAAAAATGTATCTACTAATTCTTTGTTACATGTTAAAATCTTTCAAATTGTGGACTTTTTGACAGCAACATTGCTTTGAACTGAGGCATCCTTAACTAAACACCGTTAAAGTGAAATAATAGATGTAGCAAAAGCAATAAATATTCCTACTAGATATTTTAACAATTTTTATTTTCCAAAACTGCCAGAAACTTTCTTATTGTCTTTTTTTTTGGATAAAAATCCTTCAGCCCTTCAGTAATCGACGAAATTTGACTGTAAAATCCTTGAAATCTGGCAACACTGCCCCGAAGTCACATATTTTGACAATACTCCCTTGTACACTGCAAAAAATGTCTGGAAATTTATTGAAATAAATATTTAAATACACTGAGAAAAATAATTACTGAATACAACTGTTTTATTGTGACATTTTATTTTTTTCTTATTTTTTTTGAGTTTTGATGTAAAATAATGTTAAAAAATGTGTTTATTTTCCTTCCCAACCTATATTTTCTATATTTTTGAAATTATTCAGCATAAATATCGAGTTTCAAGGAAATAAATTAAATTTTTACAAGGAAAATTAACAGAAAACAGCTTGCTTAAAGGAGCTTTACTTATTTCTAGCATTAGCGTAATCAAAGAATATACCTAGCTAGAAAAGCGTAACTAGCAATTCATACGGGGGGGGGGGTTCGCCCAGGGGGGGCCTAGTGCTTTTGTTTTTTAAAAAATGAAGAATAATTTAAAATAAAAGGTTTACATGAGTTTTTCTATCAATAAATTTCATAGACAGGTTATCAAACCGTGTTCCCGTAGATTACTTAAATACCTACAAATTTTCTAAAATAATAAAAATTAACATATTTTTGAAAACAACAAAATAATATTAACTAAACAAAACTAGAAAAAGTAATTTTTACTACATCACAAGCAAATAAAAATTAATACGTTGCCAAAAGTGATAATTCAAGATTTCTCTGTGGGGTGCTCAGCAGTACTTGGGGGGTCCCGGCACCCCCGGGCACCACTGTAATTACGCCAATGATTTTTAGAAGTATATTTGGCCTTTCATAAAATATTTTATACACACAAAAAAAATTGCTTTTTACATTACTTTTTTACACATTCGTACCTGATATGAAATGAAACTTTAGTATGAAATTATTTTTCAGCCATGCTGTACAGGGTGGGTCAAATTCGACGCTTTCAAATGGAAACATCCTTTTCTATACGAGATAGACGAAAACTAATATCGGTGTCTGGAGCTCAATTTTCATCAAAAACATGATGGTGAAAACCGCACATCAATATCTGCTACCGTTTCGGAGTTACGGGGTGTTTTTCAAAAATGTGCATTTTTAACAAATCGCTGTAACTTTTTTGCTATGGAAAATTTTGTATTTCTATGAAAACATTTCCAAAGCACCTTCTTACGTAGAATTTAATGGTTTAAGTATAATTTTTTTAAAATTAATAATTTAAGAGTTATCAACAGAAAATATGATTTTTTATTTGGGACACCCTCTATATTTTTAATTAACTGAAAAGAATTTAAAATTACCTTTCCAAGAATATAGCACACTTGATATTTTGTTATAATCCCCTTTGAAATACAGAATTTTTAAAAGTTCGCCACTTTTAACTAGTAGGCTTTGGACCCCTTATTGATTATATGCCCTTAATGGAACTCGAAAACATATTTTTCCAGCAAGACGACGCACCGCCTCTGAACGCTGAAGTTATCAGCAAATTTTTGCAGCCAATTTCAAGAATAATTCAATAGCTAACCAAGATCCCAGCCGTTGGCCGTCGAGGCCGCCTGATTTAGTGCCCATGGATCTAATCCTATGGATATATTTGCGGAAGAATAAAAGTTCCTTATTCTTCCTTATAATCTAGACAAGAATTAGAAATACTTAGCAATTATGAGAGGGTATCTTTCACCCCCACTGAGTTAATGAATTCCGCGAGAAATGTTCAAAAACTACCCCGTCTGTCCATAACAGAAGGCGGTTGATCTGTCGAACACCTGTAGCAAAATCTCTTGAAAAAATGTCTTGGTTTGCTATTTATTTTTATTGTTATTAGATATAGTTTAAATGTGTTGATGTTGATTAAATATATTTTAAATTGTTATAAAATTCTGCATCTCTCATTGCAAATATTGTTTTCATTTTAATTGATGCTCACAGCTAGAATTTTTTTGCATTACAGCCGGTGCCCTTCAAAGCCTACTTATTTAAAGCGGGCGAATTTTTATATACTCTTTATCTCGAAGAGGAATCGAGCAAAATATCAAGTGTTATATTTTTGGAAAGGTAATTTTAAATTATTTTCAATAAATTAAAAATATACAGGGTGTCCCATATAAAAAATCAATTTTTTTGTTGATAATTCTTAAATTATTAATTTAAAAAAAAATATACTGAAACCATTAAATTCTACGTAAAAAGGTGCTTTGGAAACGTTTTCACAAAAATACAAAATTTTCCATAGCAAAAAAGTTACAGCGATTTGTAAAAAATGCATATTTTTGAAAAACACCCCGTATCTCCGAAACGGCAACAGATATCGATATGCGGTTTTCACCATCACGTTTTTGACAAAAATTGAGCTCCAGACACCGATATTAGTTTTTCTCTATCTCCTATAGAAAAGGGTGTTTCCATTTAAAAGCGTCGAATTTTACCCACCCTGTACATCTGTGAAAATATTACTACTACTAGTAGTAGTAAGTACTAAACCAGGTGTTTCTCAAAAATGGCTCACCCCTATATTTTTTTTATTTTTACTTGATTTAATAGAAAATGCAACTCCAAATAGCATGACATATATTATCAACTGTTAAATAAAACAGCCTGACGATCAATTCACAATCTTCTTTAGAAAATAATAACAAATTATAACAATTTTGACAACTCCAAAACTTATTCTTACATATGTCAATACTACTAATCTACCTTGATATAAGGTAAAGGTAAAATCATGAATATTGTATGTTTAACATCAACTTTTGACATTTTCGATAAAAAAAATTCTATTTTATATTAAATCTAGAGTCCCGTGTATTAAAGACAAGTTTGTATATTCAAACAAAATCAATTAAATTAGATTAATCATTTTTGTTTTTGTTAATCAGCAAATTGAAAAAGAATACGAAGACCTGATTAGGGAAGAATATAAAAAAAGCCTCGCAGAAGGCACTCCCTTGCCTTCAACTGAATCCCTGATTAATAGGAGAAGAACAATGATGGCACCTTCAGCCTCTAGCAATGCCTCGTTTTATAGTGCCAGAGCAAGCGTATCACCACAGAAATCAAGTTTTAATAACAATTCACAGTCGCAGGAGAATAAGAGACTGACCTCTAATAATATTGATTCTTCTGATATGGAATTGACCGTCATTAATGGTTCTAAACCAATACTATCTGGGAGTATTAAAGAAAAAAGTGATGAGATATTTGCCGAACCCTCGCTAAGGTCAAATAAAAGAAGCGTGATAGATAAAAGAAGAACTATTTGTAGCATTGTAACGGATTCAGACAAGACACCATCTGATCTGGCTTTGAATAGCTCGGATAATCCGAAAATGTCAGACACTATTCTCAATGAACTATCCAACTCGAATGAGTCTATTGTGTTTGGTAAAAATTCTGTTAAAGTTTCTAAAAAATTTATTCCAACCACAATTGAGTTATCAAGTGGTAACTCTAAAGAGTCAGCAATGTCATCTTTGAGAGTTTCATCTTTAGGAGGTTCTAAAAAAAATTCGTCAAACCCATCAATTTTGGAATCGTCCAGTACAATGTCTAAGTTAAACTTATCCAGTGGTAACACCAAGGAATCATCTATGTCTTCATTAAAACTTTCATCTGTTGAACATAGTTCTTCTTTGAAGAATTCAGGGAAGAATGAAAATTCTAAAAAAGTTTCAGCAAACCCAACAATCTTGGAGTCGTCCAGTACAATGTCAAAATTAAACTTATCCAGTGGTAACACCAAAGAATCATCTATGTCTTCATTAAAACTTTCATCTGTTGAACATAGTTCTTCTTTGAAGAATTCAGGGACGAATGAAAATTCTAAAAAAGTTTCAGCAAACCCAACAATCTTGGAGTCGTCCAGTACAATGTCAAAATTAAACTTATCCAGTGGTAACACCAAAGAATCATCTATGTCTTCATTAAAACTTTCATCTGTAGAACATAGTTCTTCTTTAAAGAATCCAGGGAAGCATGAAAATTCTAAAAAAGATTCATCAAATTCACTGTCTAATTCAAACTTATCCAGCGCAAACACCAAAGAATCTTCCATGTCTTCTTTAAGAGTTTCTTCTTTGGAACAACGTGTTTCCTTACAGAATTCAACAGAAAGTGACAGAGTTAGTTTTGCTTCAAGCGAAGGAAATAGCTCGGGAGCAATGAGCAAAGTTGTTGATGATATTGTAAGGATTTTAGTTACACCAAAGCCTCAGAAAGATGATATGATGGATGATTCTGTTGATACCGATGACTCAGAGATAGTATCGCCTGCTAGAAAAGGTATTAGAAAGTCAGTGTTTCCTTCTGGTAGTGATGGTTTAAAAGAAAATGTACTGAAAAGTAATAAAAAAGAGGGAAAGAACTCAGAGGGAGGTTCTACTGTTAAAAAGGGTACTAGAAAGTCATTGTTTCCATCTCATATTGATGATTTAAAAGAAAATGAACTGCAGAGTAATAATACAAAGGAGACAAGTAGTTCAGAGGAAGACTCGTCTATTAAAAAAAGGACCAGAAAATCAATATTTCCATCTGATAATGATGGTCCGCAAGATAAAGTACTGAAAAGTAACAAAAAAGCACCAAAGAATTTAGAAAGATCTGTACCTGTTAGAAAAAGTACTAGGAAATCATTATTTCCATCTGGTGATGATGGTCCACAAGAAAAAGTACTTAAAAGTAATAAAAAGGGACCAAAGAATTTAGAGGAATCTGCATCTGTTAAAAAAAGTACCAGGAAGGCATTATTTCCATCTGGTGATGATGACCAACAAGAAAAACTGCTTAAAAGTAATAAAAAGGGACCAAAGGATGTAGAGGAATCTTCAGCTGTTAAAAAAAGTACCAGGAAATCATTATTTCCATCTGGTGATGATGGTCCACAAGAAAAACTGCTTAAAAGTAATAAAAAGGGACCAAAGGATGTAGAGGAAGCTTCACCTGTTAAAAAAAGTACCAGGAAATCATTATTTCCATCTGGTGATGATGCTCCACAAGAAAAAGTGCTTAAAAGTAATAAAAAGGGACCAAAGGATTTGCAGGAAAATTCACCTGTTAAAAAGAGGACCAGGAAATCATTATTTCTTCAAGTTAATGATGATTTAAAAGAAACCATTTCGAAAACTAACAAGAAAAACGATCCAAGAAATTTAAAATCTTCAACCAGCTATTCCAGTGGCGAATCGGACCCAAACAAGCAGGATTCGGGTAAAAAATCCAGAAGAAAACGTAGGCTGTACGATCCAGACGACCCGGTACCTCCGGTGGAGGTGAACGACGATGAAGAGCGCGAAGCAAGAAGATTGGAAATTTTAAGCAAGAAAAAACCCGGAAATTTAACCAGTCCAATTGAAGATTCAGCATCTCCAAATAAATTTGATAACATCACGAGGAGAAAATCCAAAAGACCGAGTACTACTCAAAGAGAAAATGTGTCTGAGAGTTCGTCAGATGAAGAAATTTATAGGGCCGGTAAACCAAAGAAAGCTAGAAAAGTGAAAAGAGTTCCCCAACAAGATAAAACGGTTGATTTCGATAGTTCGGCCGATGAACAGCGTGAATTGTTGAAGGAGGTTGAATCAAGGAAAGTTGGGGAGACTGAGAGTCAGATGACAGGTCGTAGAAGATCGATGAGGGTGTTTAAACCGCCTAGAAAATACGGGTATGAGGATGATGATGATTATGGGACACCCCGTACGCAGAACAGGAGGAGTACCATCGATTTTAATCCGCCCACGCAGAGAAGTACTATGAGGAAAGCTAAGAAGAACAATGGTAGGATGTCGACGATCGTTTGTACGAAGTTGCACAGGGCTGAAGTTCAAGTAAGTAAACAGCAAAACAAAAAGATATTTAAAATATTCTAATACACTCTCTACACTATTCGGAGAATAGAACGAAACAGATCGAGGTCGCGTTTCGTCGTCTAATTTTATTGGATCTCGGCTAATCTCCGGTTGTCTTGACCTATTTCGGTTTGTCTCGACCTACTTTCGCTTCTTAAAAGCGCCTCAAAACTATTCGTGAAATTGCGGAGAAGGGCGTGAGGAGATTTTTTAGCGTTTCCTGTTGCCCCGTTCAACCTTGTTTTGTTTCGAACTATTTCCAAAACGTGTCGGTATCTATACCCGAGGCAAAGGACTTTTTTCCATAAATTTCAGTGAAATAAGTAAACCGAGACTTAATAATGTTACTGTCTCACAATGTACCGTTTGTGTCGGGGAAGGGATCATTGTTTCATAGCTGTCGATTTTCGAAAGAAATCAGTACGTGTATATTATTTCGTATATTTTTCATTTTATTGATTTTATGGAAAGCACTGTTCATTAAAATGTTGTATCCTATGTTATAGGGCTTGTTTCTCTCTACAATTTCCTGTCTCACAATGTACCGTTTGTGTCCGGGAAGGGTTCATAGTTTCATAGTTGTCGATTTTCGAAAAAATTCAGTACATTTATATTATTTCGTATATTTTTCTTTTTATTGATTTTATGGAAAGCACTGTTCATTAAAATGTTGTATCCTATGTTATAGGACTTGTTTCTCTCTACAGTTTCCTGTCTCACAAAGTACAGTTTGTGTCGGGGAAGGGATCATAGTTTCATAGTTGCATAAAAGTGCTTCAAAACTACTCTTGCAATTGCGGAGAAGGGCGTGGGGGGATTTTTTTTAGCGTTTCCTGTTGTCTCGTTCAACCTTGTTTTGTTTCGAACTATTTCCAAAACCTGTCGGTATCTATACCCGAGGCAAAGGACTTTTTTCCATAAATTTCAGTGAAATAAGTAAACCGAGACTTAATAATGTTAGACAATGATTAAAACTAAGTATTCTTGTGTAACCATAGAGGAATAGCCAATTTAATCTACCACCGGTAACTGTTTTCTAAATGTACGGTTTTTGATTTTTCATATCAATTTAATATAGTGGTATTACATTACACTCCATTACAAACTAATGGTATTTATTCATACTCCATGTTTACTTATTTTTCTGAAGCCATCACAAAGTTTGACCTCGATTGCTTCGCGAAGTAGTACGATAAATATAAACGCGTGTTTTTGAGTTTATTTAGAAAAAAGAAAGTATTTTCAGAAATATTTCGTGAAACATTTCGGGCATAGTGTAGAGGGTGTTTTACATTATTAAAGTTTTAATATTTTTTATTTTTATATTGTTCCTTTATCGTCATTATTTGCTTATTAGGTGTTCACAGAGGCAGTGAAAAAATTAGGCAGATTTACTGTAGAGAATGTGGTGGGCAATAATACTAGCCATTTAGTTGCTGGCGAAGCCAAAAGAACATTGAATATGATGAAAGCAGTGGCTAGGGGTTGTTGGGTGTTAAATTATGATTGGGTAAGTTTAAAAATATATTTCTTAGTAAGTTAAATACGTACTTTTGTTTTCTTTTGTGTTAGATTCTAGTCCAGTTATTTTTTATAGTGTTTTTTATATTGTTTTTTTACTACTGAAACTTAAATATACAGAGCGTTTTTTTAGTAAGTGCAAATGTTTTCCGACACTTTAACTGGTCCGAAATGATTGTAATAGTTGGCTATTCTGGGTTTGCTTATTTGATTGACAATTATTATTCGTGAGTTGCTTTTTCCGCTTTTTTTGAATTTTCGGAAAGTGTCGTAAACAAAAGAAAATTGCATAATAAGTTAAGTATCAAACATCAATGAGGAGTTGGAAATCAATAATAAAAGTTCAAAATTACATACAATATATTGCAACTTTTTCAGAGTTCTCCAATAACGGAGTTACGGGGGCTGTCCCAAATTGCAAAATTTTTAAAAAGACCCTGTAGCTCAGAAACGAAGAGCGCTATGAAAATTTTGTTTACGGCATCTTCCGTTTGACAAAAAAGTGGGACAGGTTTGTGCAAACCGCGCCCTTCTAATTTCACTAATAACGGAGATACCCTATGATTTCAACCAAAATGGGACACCCTGTACGGGTGACCATTTTGGTTGTTTCTATAGGGTATCTAGGAAACCGTAAGAAATATTCAAATTTTGATATTGTAGTCTCGGGTTCTTTTTTTGAAAAAAATCACAATGCCGCAAACGGTGGCTATTTTGATCGGTTTCGAAGCTACAGGGGGATTCTCAAATTTTGTACTTTTTGAAGATGTTCGATAGTTTGTTTATTTCAGCAACTACGCAAAAATGAATTATACATTCTCAAGGCACTTTTCTGTGTAGAATACAGTGGTGTAGTCAGACTTTTTTCGAAAAAAATATTTTTTTAGATATTAACTATACTTCTGTTTTTTTAAATAGAACCCCCTGTATATTTTTAAATTTCCTGATTCAGCTTGGCATGGGCTTCTTGAAAATATATAACACTCTATATTTATTTTCAGTATTAACCTCAACATTTCAAATTTTTCTTAAAATATCCAGTTAGTAGTAGGCCGCGCCGAGTAACAAAGTAAACGGTTGTCATGGTGATCAAGACATACCTTTCTGAAAAACGAAATTTATCGAAATGCAAATAGAACATTAGAAGAGTTACAAAATAGTTTTCTTGTGGATTTACAAAGTGTAACCAACATACACAAAAAAAAACCCTCGATTAACCCTGTATAATATGCCAAATACTGAAATTTATAAAAAAAAACTTAGTTTACGAATTAAAGTTCATATAATTATATACAGTTTGCTAAAAAATTCATGAAAATAGGGCTAAAAATAAAAAAAATATGACACTTTAAATTTGACAAAAATTTTCTCCGTTGCATTTATTTTGCATTATTTTTATCCTTCAACAGATTTTACAATCCCTGAAATCCGGCAAGTGGCTTCCCGAAGTAGACTTCGAAGTGACCGACTTCGCGCCGGTAGTTCAAACGTCCCGCCTCCAACGCCAAGCGTTCGGCCACAAATACACGCTGGACGTGTTCCAGAGATGCGGCCCCATTTATGTCGCACCCGACACCAACCCCAAATGCCCGGAACTGCGCGATTTAATAGTGCTGTGCAAGGGCCAGGTGGTGAACACCAAGCGAAGAGCTCGTATCATTGTTGGAGAGACAGGGTCTGACGATGAGGCGACTTGCGTCACCGAAACGTGGGTCCTGGACTGCGTGACGTCCAACAGGAAGATGCCGTTTAAAGAGAAGTATTTGCTGAAGAGGGATAACAACAAGAAAAGAGTCAGTTTAGTGGTGTAAGCGTTAGAGGCTGTTTTGTAATTATTGTTTACTAGTTTATTTTTATATTCTAATTTATTAAGATTTATATCGATTTAGGTTTACTTATATATTGAATAAAATTATTTTTGTAAAATTGAATGATGAATCGAATATATTATAGTTGTTTGTCTTGTTAAGTGATTTTTTTAATAAATCCAGGATTGACAAAAGTTTTTACCAATGACTGAAGAATACCAAAAAAGGAAAGGACCAACACAAAATGTACAGGTGCGTAGACCGATAATTTTACTAGCCTATTTGTTTTCAAAAAGAAAACTATTTAAATCTTTGTAAAAGAGTATATTAATTAGATATACCACCCTTATTTCCGCCCAAAAATTAATTAATTACATACTTAATTGTGTTAGTTAATAAATGATTACAGTTGAGGGTTGGAACCTTTGGTGTTACACAGCAAAATAAAAAACACTAAATCACCACAACACACCAAAACACTTTTACTTTTACACTGGACGCGCGTTTCGCTAACCATGTTAGCATCATATTATTGAGATCTATACAATGTTTTTATCAAGAATATAATCAGCGCAATATTTATTGTCTACCATTTCTTATTTGAGCTAAATGTTCTTTAAATCTAGTTAATATTGATCTTCTAGTTTGCCCAACATATTTCTGATTACAATCTTTACAAGAAATTTCATAAATACCCGACCTTTCCAGTGGAGATGTTTTATCCTTTGGATTACCTAATAATTGTTGTAATTAGTACTAATAATAAATTACAACAATTATTAGGTAATCCAAAGGATAAAACATCTCCACTGGAAAGGTCGGGTATTTATGAAATTTCTTGTAAAGATTGTAATCAGAAATATGTTGGGCAAACTAGAAGATCAATATTAACTAAATTTAAAGAACATTTAGCTCAGATAAGATATGGTAGACCGGATAAATCTTGCGTTGCCGAACATATTGTTGATAAAGAACATTGTATAGATCTTAATAATTTAAAATTAATTAAACAAGTCTCAAATTACAGACAATTAGATGCATATGAAAGCATCTGACGGTCCAATTCCTTCAAGTTCTTTGTTCCTACTACTCTAGTGGCGCAAATCTAACTGTTACGCTTGGTAGGTTCTGACTCGGTTGGCTAGATTTTGCCACGCCCACTCGGTGCCCACTGGGCGGGTATATAAACGCTCAACTTGTAGATTGTACTTTAGTTTATAATCATCTGCTGATGATGCTAACATGGTTAGCGAAACGCGCGTCCAGTGTAAAAGTAAAAGTGTTTTGGTGTATTGTGGTGATTTAGTGTTTTTATTTTGCAGTTAATAAATGATTCTAAATAAATGTGGATTTGAGGCAGAAATCAATATAATAATAAATTATGAATGTGATCGTCTCTGTTGTTATAAATAAGCACTTGTCAAAAAATGAAATACAATTTACAAGGTGTTACTCTTTAACACACTATCTAACACACATACAAAATTAAGTTTTTTTAGTATTTGGAGCAATTATTAATCAACCCAAATAATCACTTAATGTATATAGTTTGAATACTGGGATCACATTATATACAGTCTGACAAACGGATCTGAAACAACGGGGCAACGGCAAGGGGATCGCAATTTTCTAAAATCATGACCGATTTCATTCATAAAATATCCACGAGCGTGCAGGGTTTCATAAAAATATATCAGGAATTTTTATAATATTTTCCAGTAAAGTTTATAATATTATTTTACTTTAAATGTACCTACATTTTGTTTAGTCATTTGCCAAATTTTGTAATATTTGTTAAAACGCGTGTACTAATTACAATAAACACAAATCAAGTTAAAGATATAAAACACAATACAATAACACCCCCACTGGATTTTTCAATAGTAGTTCTCGACCAATACGACTGGTCGAATCCGGGATGCCATGATAAATTTTGTCAGCGTTGCCAGCTTACCTAAGCGGACCTTATCTTAAGGAAATACTTTACCTTTTATAATAGGCAGAATGAACGAAATCAGTTAATTAGATAAATATACATTATTACAATAAGAACTACGTCAACATATTAGCATATATATAATTATGTATGCTGAAATGAACTAAAATGTATTCAATTTATGGTAATCTCGAGCAACTTTGCTTTTCTATAATTAAACGTGACAACATCGACTTTTTTTGCCCGCATTCCTTCCGCTGTTTTAGATTCGTTTGTCAGATATTAGTTTGTCCTCTTTTACAAATATTTAAGCAGTTTTTTTTTATTTTTTATTGAAATAAGCGAACTACTACGACAATATTAGTATCTGGTACGCTTTGAAAAGTTGTTACATCTTTAAAAATATTCTAAAATGTCAATATTCCATGGGTAAATTACGAAAACTTGAAGAGATACGTAAAAAATGGTATAATACAATTTGATAAACAATTAAATTATGCATCTGATTCTCATAAAGTATACAGGGTGTTCCATTTAAATTAAACAAGTTATTTCCAGTTAAAAATTATAAAAAATAAGGGTAAAAATTATAAGAAAATGCATTTTCTACGAAAACTTGAAGAGATGGGTAAAAAATGGCATAATACAATTTGATAGACAATTAAATTGTTCATCTGATTCTCGTAAAATATACAGGGTGTTCCATTTAAATTATTATTGCCGGTGAGAGTTTTGTATTTTTTTTTTGGTATTTTACTAAGAGTGAGTCCCAGGTGGGACCCTCCACTGAGGCCGCGAGGGCCTATTGTGGCTCAGTTTCTACAAGCTCTTTAATAGAAAAAGAGCATTAAAGTTCGCCCTCAAGACCCAGCCTTTCAACATAGGCCGTTATGTCCGAGGGTGACATGTCTTCTAGGTCTGATAAGTATAGCGTGGGTTTGCCAAACACCTCACACCTGGTCCTGCCCCCAACGGGGCAGGTACACATAACGTGCTTCATTGTTTCGTCATCTTCCATACAGAGTCGGCATTCGGCGTCTTCCACCAGTCCCATCCTCTGTAGGTGTGATCTCAGCCGGCAGTGGCCCGTGTATACTGCAGTAAGCGTACGCGCTCCTTTCCTACCAGCCTTTAGGAGTTCATTTGTTCTACGTTTGGATGGCCCTGCTAGGATTGTTTTGGCATAGGATTGCTAGGTAGGATTGACTGTCATACCAGTCCCAAGCGTTACACCCCTAACCCATTCACAGAGCCTGTCTCTTGCGAGATTTTTTGGTACGCTAAGTGTCGGTTCTGGGCCCACGAATGGCGAGCCTGCACCAGTTTTGGCGAGGGAATCAGCACGTTCATTTCCCTCTAGGCCGAAATGTCCCGGTATCCATATTAGCGACACTTTGTTTCCATCTAATATATTGAGTAGTTTCTTACAATGAAGAATCGTCCTGGACGTACTTTTCGTTTTTCGTTGCCTCAAGTGCTTTCAACGCGGCTTGACTATCCGAAAATATGCTTATTGTTTTCCCGGTGTATTGCTGTTCTACCAGCAGTTGCACACAGGTTTCAATCGCATATAGCTCGGCTTGGAAAATAGTGGCGTGTTTTCCAAGACTCTGGTAGATCTCAGTCTTTGGACTGCTGCAGTAAATTCCTGCGCCAGATCCTTTATTGTTTTTGGATCCGTCCGTGTACCAACACATTTCCGCAAATAATAAGCCGTTTCTCGGCTTATCCCATTCGTCCCTATTCGGAAACAGGACGTTGTAGGTGCGCGTCAAGAGTTGGATTGGTGCTGTGAGATCCGAGACCATTCCCAGAATCTCATCCGATTGTAGTTCGTCTACTAGTCGGTTTTGTATGAACATGATTGTTCCTTGGCTCTCTCGTGCCATATTTAGAAACCTATATGTAGCCCATCTCGCCTCCCTCTCAAAAATAATTTGAAGAGGAGGTAAGTCGAGTAGGGTTTCCATAGCTTTTGACGGCGTAGAATGAAAGGCACCAGTCACCGCTAAGCATGCTTGTCGTTGTAATTTTGACAGTTTATTCTTTGCCGTTGTTTGGTTGGCTTTCTGCCACCAGGCAACTGCGCCATACGTGATAATAGGTCTGATGGCTGTCACGTATAGCCAGTACATATTTTTGGGGTTTAATCCCCAGTTTCTACCACAAATTCGGCGGCATGCCCATAGAGCATAGCAAGCCTTTTTTGATATTTTTTCCAGATGGGAGTTCCAGCTAAGTTTTTTGTCCAGGTTTAATCCTAGATACTTAACTTCCTCCGCAAACGGAATTGTCTCACCAAGAAGAGTGGACGGTTTTAGTTTGTCTGTTTTCCTTCTTCTGGTGAATGGTATGATGACGGTTTTCTGTGGGTTTACACTTAATTGTTCCAGTGTGCACCAGCCGTGACGGTTAGAGTTAGTAATTATTTAAAATAAATGTTTGGACACTCTGTATAAGGTATTATTTTTATTATTGCAACACAAAATTCAGTAAATAGAAAAAACTTCAGTATAAAATCGGGTCATTTATTTAGTATATAAAAAATAATTTTATTTCAAATACAATTAAATCTGGTACTTATTATTAATTATACTGTACTATAATAAATTTCCTTAAGAACGCAGGCTCCTTGTGGTGTCCTGCATGATATATTATCACACCAACAACCGCCTACTAACAGTGGTGTGCAATCTGTGTTAAAAGTTACGCAGTTATTCCCGCATTCGTTGTGATATCTGGAAACTTCACCGTTCGTGGCATTGCAAGGACATTGGACAGCATCGACGCATCTGTTGGTTGCTTCGTTTAAATAGTAGTTTTGTTTACAGAAACATCGCTGGACCATGTATCTACCAATATCGGGCTGGAAACAGAAACCTGAGAAAAAAATGATAAATTTGAAAAATATGACAAAAATAACAAAGAAATAAATACTTCCTCTCTTACTTAATTCATTTTTAAATATCTAATAAAAACAATTATTTTATGCTTATTAACTGTATAATAGGCGTGCATTCTCCGCCGGTGCTGCCACCGTCGGGGAATATTGTAAACAACTAATCCTTACAAAATACACGGGTTTAAATAGCGAGAATACGAAAAATGTATTATTTAATTATTCTAAAAGTGTTAGGAAGTATAATTTGTGAAAATTCTAAAAATAAAAATAAAAAAGTAAATATTTTCATATCTTCGGAAGGTCTAACTTGTATTATAATTTATTATTCCAGTTAAAAAAACTTTTTAGATGAATTCAACTACGGTAGCCTGCATAGTTTTAATTACCAGTTTTGTTAGTGGGGCATAATTGGGGGTATTTCTTCTATAACGAATTTTTTAAAGGTAGATAATTATAATTTTAGATGTTCATAAAACATTTAATTACTAGTTGATTAAAAAAAGTACATATACCATTAATCTCGCCATTAATATTGCAAATTATATTTTATCCTCTCATAGTATATGTCTATTTAATTTTTTGATTACGTAATGGGCACTTTGTTTACTTATTTGTTTCGTCGAACTGCTTGAATCCATTTTTGCTTTTGATCAAATCGGTGTGAAAAACTATGAAACTATAAAATGCTAAAATGGTGTAGGCTTTCACGGCCGGTATTATGAATTATGACTAATAACGGTTTTGCGGGCTGTTAGGCCGTGGTCAAGAGTGGTTGGCTCCATAGCTTTCGACTGCATCTGCGGCAGTCTTTATCAGTGGCGTAGAGGTCGAGGGCGAAGTGAACAACTCGGAAAGGTGTATCGGAAAAACACCCATACCGATCGCTACCTGTACAATAATTCAAATCACCATCCCTGTCAAAAAAGAGGGTTCATAAAAACACTTGTTGACAGAGCCCGCCGAATCTGTGAACCTCTACACATCACTGAGGAATTAGAACACCTAGACAGAGCCTTACAAGCCAATGGATACCGAGAGCAGACGATCAGACGAGCCATAAGACCTAGGAGACCTTTTGAAAAGCAAGAGGGAGAAAATACACCTCCCAGTGGGGTAGCATTTCTTCCGTACATCAGAGGGGTCACTGACCGCATTGGAAAATTATTAAGAAAGAGGAACATAAAACCGATCCTCAAACCCACTCGAAAGATACAAGAACATCTCCGCTGGGCTAAAGACCCACGAGATCCACTCTCCTCCGCTGGGGTCTATAGAATTCCGTGTTCTTGTGGCTCAGTATATGTTGGTACTACGAAACGTAGTATTAATTATTAATACGCGTTTGACTGAGCACAAAAGATCTTGCCGTCTCGGACAAACAGAGAAATCAGCCCTGGCCGAACACACAATAACACAGGAAGATCATCAAATTCTGTTCAATAATACGGAAGTCCTTTCAACAGGGAATCATTACTTTGCAAGACTACATTGTGAAGCGATTGAAATCCACAAACATAAGAACAACTTCAACAGAAAAGAAGAAGGGCTTTACGTTAACAAAATATGGTACACGCTGCTCGATAATACAGAAATAAAACGTCCCTTCACCAGCGATCACAAGCAAACCACGCCCCCTGCACACCGCCTGGGCTAAAAAAAGGCTCCCGTCCGTATCAGTACCTTCACATCCGATATCCCCAAATCCCTGGAGACTCGTCTTGCGTTATTCGCAGACGACACCTGTCTCTACTCCACTACCTCGAGCAATGGAATTCAGAGCAGGCTCCAACCCCACATCGCCCAGCTGCTTGATTGGTTCTCCCACTGGAAAATCAAAATCAATGCAGCAAAAACCCAAACCTTGTTCGTCTCCGGACGAATGAGGCTCCCACTACCTCCTCCGCTAGTCATAGACGACGAAGAGATCCCTTGGGGGGAAACCGCCAAGTATCTCGGAGTCACACTAGACCGACGGCTATCATGGATCATATCGACAAAAAAATTTCTGGTGCCCGTGCCACTTATGCTAGCCTTCATGGCCTCTTCAGCAAAAAGAGCACCCTCTCCCTCTCAAATAAAGTCCTACTTTTCAGAACAGTCATTCGCCCTCAGCTCCTCTATGCAGCCCCAGTATGGTGTAGAGCTTCCGACAGCCAAATCCACAGACTCCAAGTTTGTGAAAACAAAATCCTCCGCTATATCACCAGAGCTCCCTGGTATATACGCAACTCTGACATCCGTACCGACCTACGCATCGACCCCATCCCCAAATACCTTCGAGATCGTGCCTTGAAGTTCTACGAGAAAATCGGTACTATCCCCAATAGTACCCTAAAAATCTTCGATTACAATCCTGGAGGACTATAGAAACTTCAAATACTCCCATCTTAAAACCATTCTGCTAGACAATTAATTTTGTCCCCCCCTTCTCATAATATAGTCCTCCCATCACCCCACAACACTTCCCCTTTTTCTTCCCCACATATTAGCAGGAATAATAGCTGACCATTCTTCGGCAGCTGATTCCTCGGAGGTGGACTTTTTTTAGTGGGTATCAACACCGAGCCCCACACTGTCTAGGGGTTATTTCTATGACCGTCTCCCTCGAGATGGTTATGGAAATGATCACTATTCGTCTATAAAAGATTTTTCAACCACCACCTCACAAAAAAAAAGTACCAGTCCAGTCGTCGAGTCCTTCACTTCGCCCTCGACCTCTACGCCACTGATGAACACTGCCGCAGATGCAGTTGAAAGCTATGGAGCCAACCACTCTTGACCACGGCCTAACAGACAAAACCACGATTTTAATATTATTTCAATGCGATCGACATGAACGGTAAAGGGACTGCGTGAAACATTTTGGTACTTCTAATTTTAGCCGCATCGAGCGCTGCGGTCGGAATTTTTAAAATCAACTGAAATGCACCAAGCCTAATGTCAAGGTATGTGTGGCGACATCTGTCGGAGAAGTATTTTTTTACATTTGAGCGTGTATTGCTGGTAGAGGTTTCATCTTTAATACAGGACATTGCAATGACTAAAGAATATAAGGACATGTAACGCCCCCTATATGGGGGCTGCAGCAGAATTTGTGACCTTAGACGCCTTTTCTTTTGTTGGCAAACAATGAGTTATCAGCTGGTCACCAGCGACAATTTTTGCGATTTTTAATAACTAGTTGTGTGTAGTGAACTTTGTATAAACTTTATTACAATGGTAATTTGTTAAGCTTTCAAGTGTAAAAGGCGCAATGATAAGAAAGAGCCAGGAGTTAACGTTTCATAGGTAAATAAACAGTCCACTCCAACTTTTTACCGTTTTCTTATTGGATTCGATAATTATTCTTCAATTTCAATTAACATCATAGGCGTAGTCAAAACAACTATCAAAAAATATAAATATTGCTTTAAACAGCTAGGTTAAGAAAAACATGTGCCACGGCACTGTTTGGTGCTTGGATTCTTTAGTCATTGGGACATTGTTAGAAGCGCCATCTTTTATACTCAAGTGGAAATAGATTTTACTGGAACCAGAAAGAACGTTACAGATAATTTTCGAACGTTCGACAAGCAACCGCTAGGAGGTATATAAGCGCAACCGCGCTCAGCAGTTTAGTTTAGTTTGAAATACGGTCAGTTTTGAATAGCGAATGTTGACAATTTGGCGAAGGATTTTTTCAAATAGATAATTGTGTGTTGTAATTTGTAATCAGTATAAATTGTGTGTATATAGTGAGAAAATAAATTCGTTAAGTATTTTATCGTGAGTTTAAATTAGTGGACCCACGGAATTCGTATATACATACTCTCATATCTGATGTATGTATGTATTTTAAATTGTTATATTCAAGACATCGTAAAATTAGTTTTACTTATAATTACTTGGGTTTTTCAATAGATTTCTGTTTGCAAGTCACTACACATCTAGGATGGTCAAATCTTACTTCGGCATTCGGATCTGCACATTCCTGTTGTTGTGAAAAGCCTATAGAAAACTAATTACTACAAAAAATACGATATAGTATACAAACAAAAATTATACCTAGCGAAATAAATGTAAAAATATTACCACTCCAACACACATAATAAAGTGTCTCATTTTTAACAATAATAATACACATTACAAAGGCTGACATTCAACCAACATAGATACATTTATATGTCTTATACTCGTGATAAGGAATATTTATTTAAAGTAATTTTTAAATTCACAAAAAAATTATTTTGATAAAAAGTATAGAATCCATTATTTTATGTGTTGCATTGATAAAAACAATATTTTCTAGGAATAATTATACCTACCAATATATTTATCTATAATTTTAATTATACAGGGTGTCCCAATATTCCGTGGACATAGAACTATATACTACGTATTTTTAGAATCAAACCAAGTTAATTGGACACAATTTGACAATTTATGCTTATATCACTGCAAAAAAATATTTTCATTTATACCTATTATAGGTATAATATATTGCAACATTGCAACACCTAAATTTTGTTCCTACTATCTGATTTGTAGACATTTTTTTGTGTAAAGCATCATAATTACATTCCTCATTAATTTGATATACCTCATTTACTACAATTTTTATCACTTCTATCCATCTTACCATGATTCCTTTTTTTGCAAATGAATTGAAATCTAAACAATTTCACTTAGTTTCCCTTATTTTCAAAGTTTAAAAAAAATCATTGCCATGAAATTTATTTTAGTAAACCTACTAATAATAATACCTCTAATTGTATATTCTCAGGGTAAGAAAGTATTGTTTTATTATCTTTTAAAAACAATTTGAATATTCCTCTATATTTAGATTCGCAAAATGAATCTTCAGAACAAAGTAATTTAGAAGAATCAAATGAAGAGGCTGATATTCCTACTATTGCCACTGAAACAACCAATACAAATCTGAATACAGACAATGAAGAACAAGAAAAAGAACCTACAACACCAGAATCCATGTCAGAAACAACAATAAATGATTTAACGACTGTAGAAAATATAGAAACAACCACAGAATTCGAAACTACAACTTCCATGTATCCGTGTGGTGAAAATGAACAATACGATTGCCTACCTCTTTGTATCAGGACCTGTCACAATGTTTTATCTAAAATTGTATGTGCCCCTGCACCGATGAGGATAGGTCCTTGGTGTAAAGAGGGCTGTCATTGTAAAGACGGCTTTATTAAAGACAAAACCGATGGTAAATGTGTGAAGGAATGTCCTTTTAGGAAACCCTCAACTGTTGAAGTTAATGTCAATGTTAAAAGTTGGATAAAACAGTTTGTATATACAAAAATATATAAAATATATTTAAAGATTTTTTTTTTTTTTTTTTTTTTTTAATATATTTTAGTTATTTCTTGAACCCATCTAACACAAGTTCTTCTTTTAAGTTTAACACTTCCTCTAAAAGTTCCCTATTATTCTCTTGAAGTTTTTAAATTGGTAGTTTTATATATTTTCTTCGTTAACTCTATATTTCTTTAGTAAACTGAGTGCAACACTATTTCTAGAACTATCCGTAACTAAAAGAAAAATATTTTTAACAAAGGAAATGAACTAAAATAATTCGTATTTTAAAGTTACCAATGTCCTGGTTAAACATCTCCTTCAAACGTTCATTTTCCATGTAATTTTCTTATATTATGTTCCAGCTCGTTTTGTTTTGATATATACCACAGTTTCAGTCTTTTAATTTCATCTTTAGAGTCGCATTCTTTTTTGGAAAGCTCTCTAATTTTTCTTTCCAGTTTGAAAATTTCGTTTTTTAAAGTTACAGAATTTTCTTGTGATTTTTCTAAATGTTCCTTATATCTATCCCCAACTGTCCTAAACAACAGGTTTTCACAAAAGACAGACAAATAGGCTATATTCTTACGTAGGCTTGATTATTTTTGAGATCTTTGGCTTTCCGAAGTTTTGGTTTTAATTTGGCAAAACATTCCAGTTATTATATGTACTAAACCTCTGCTACTTTTAACAACTTGCTGAAGAAGATCAGTCACAGAACCTTCTAATTTTACTATAGGTAAACCTAACGAGTCCAATTCCTAGAATAATTAATAGTAATGTTATTTGAGTAGAGAGTATTTTGGATTTTACCTTGGACAATACAATGGGGAATTTTCACCCAAACATGCTGGCACTTCAAACTGCGTGCTCGCAGTTTTCGGCGAATATTTCAGTTCAATCTCTTCCAAATCCTTTGAAATCTGATCTAAATTTATCAGAGATTCGTCACAATCCAACATCTAGAAGAAAAACATTCGTTATTTTGTTTCCAAAGGGAATCTTTTTAAAAATTCCCACCTTTTATCTAGTTTTGCTGTCATCTGTCAAAGAAATTGGAAATAGAGATCTTCAATCCATGTATTTATAGTTAGGAATAGAAAATTACCGTCATGGATTTACTTGAAAAACTGCAAAATTAAATAATATCCCTTTAGTTATAGATTTTCTATTGAATCAGTAAATTTAGTAATGTAATTTAAACGATCCTATAGTTAACATTCTGTATTTTTATTATGTTATAGAATGTTATCATATTTAGGCAACTAATAATACATCCTATTTGAATAAAATCCGATTTTTCTTGGATATTTCAGAATCAAATCAATCATAATATTTGGAATTTTATTATTTGTTATAGGTACGCATTTTATTCGCTAGAGCCAGATTGACGTACCAATTTTCGAAATCGTTTCACTCAATCAGCACAACACAGTTGCATCACGTCAGTGGGGGGTCTAAATGAAAATATACATGTACTCTTATCATGTTTTGATGTAATTAACTCTTCACCTACTGTTAGGAAAGCTCTTTATCGGGCGTTGGTTACGAAAAAACGTCTGTTTTCCTATAGTTCGGTAATTTTCCATTAGAAGTGATGGAAAATAATTGAGTTTAAATATTTTTTTTATTTTATATTAGTTTATTAATTTCAATAAATGATATAAAATATAGTTTAATACGAACACAGTTAAATTTTTGAAGTACCATACGATCGAAAACATATTGTCATTCCCAACCGTCTTTAACGCCGTTATTTTTGATCATACGGTATTTTAGTAAAGTTTCTGCATAAAAGGGATGTCACAAACTCTTCTTACATTTATTGAAATTATAGAAGTAAAAAACTTTTCCACAAATATACCGTAAATTGGGGTAATTTTTGAATTTTTGATTTTTTAGGGTTTTCATTGATATAGTCCTTGTTATATGAAATATTTTGAAAATTTTTTTTTTTTTTTTTTTTTTTTTTTGTACAGGGTGTCCCAGACACAAGTGCAAGTATTTTAACTGGGGTATAGTTCAATCCCAGAGACACGCCTATGACGTTTTTTTCGCGAAAAATAATTTTGAAAATTCAGAATGTTTTGAAAAAAAAAAAAAATTTTTGTTTTAATTTTAGTTAAAACATAATTTCTTGATATGTAGCAACATAGGTATTAGATTAAATTTACAAGAGAAAGTCAGAAAAGATTAAGTGGTTCTCAAAATTTTAGCAAAAAATATTTTTTTAGGAAATTTTCGAAGTAAAATACCTCCGTTATTTTTGGACTTGAAATGGACAAAGAAAATGGTGTTTCTTTATCAGATCTACCACCCCTTAAGAATTACTTTGCACTTATTTCTGGGACACTGTATAAATGAAGCTAAAATATATATTCTCGTAATATTAGGGCAGTAGATGTACATATGTTTCTTTTAAAAAACTGAATAAGAAGACAAGATCTTTTTACTAAAGAACGAACAAATACAGATAGCAAATAGATTATTAATTTTACAGATTCTAATGATTAAATATCCATCATAAAAATAAAAGAATATTTTTCTTAGATAGGTACAACCAAAGTTTGCGACTTATTGTCTAAAATGTGCAGTAAAATTAAGAGAAATTATTATTCTTAAATAAAAAGGCTAATGTATGTGCACCCTAATTTTGGGCTTCTAATAACTCATAAAAATATCCTTGTTTTCTCTTTTAATCTTTTGTAATTCCTTGATCTGGGTAAACGCCGAAATTTACGAGACATATTTGGTTTCCAAAGAACATTTAGGTGTACCTTTGCTTAGTACTAGTCTTAATAATTTAAATTTACCTTACAATAAACTAAAATAATAGAATTAACAAAGAAACTTCAATTACTATGTCCAAGTTTAGTAGAAAATGATATTCATACACATACTATACAAACAATTCATTAGGAGACTTTAGAGACAGTTTCAAAATTGGCCCGCGGAGATAAAATTTTGTCTAAAATATTAAAAAATGTTTTTTTTTTTTTTATAATTTAAGGAAAATAATAGTTTTAAGATATACTAACTAGTTTTTCATAGAACTTTTTACAGTTCTGTTGGTAGTATGGAAAGTATATCGTAAAATACACGTTGACTTTTTGACTTATCGAATTTATACTTATTTTTCCACGGAATGTTTGGTCACCCTGTATAGGAAACCCATACAGTGATTTAATACACTTGATATATTTTTACATACGAAAAACCATAATAGATAAGAAAACATAGAAGCATTACCGAATTAAATGTTTATAGGAGGTAAAAATAGAAAACACTTAGGCAGAAAATATTAATAATTTGAATTACGTAATTTAAAATAAATTATTTTCCAGATGATTGAAATGCCATTTGAAATTTCGTAAAATTGATTTATGAACTTTTGATAAACTTTGCAGTTATTGGTCGGGGAATATTTGTATGATGTACACTGAAAAAAATGAATAATAATCCATAAAAAATAAAAGTCAATAATTTTGTTTATGTAAAAAAAAAAAAAAATTATTATTTTATAATGTTGCAACTACTGGGTAATTCTATAGAACTCTTATACAATTCGTAATCGAATCTTCCTAATAAATACAGGAGTTAGGCAGGGATGTGTCTTAGCACCTCTCTTATTCAACATATTCATGGCAGCGCTCTCCATTATAGTGGACAGGAAACTGCAGGAGAGAGGATTGGGCATTAGATACAGATACGACGGCGGTCTGTTCAGCATAAAAAGACTCAGGGCAAAAACACGTATAAAATTCATAACAGAACTTTAAGAGTCCATTTCACTAGTCCGAAAAAGTAGCAAAATAAGCGTTCGGCATTTAACGTTTTATGTCAAACTGGCTAGGTATTTTTATACAAACGAAGAAGAAAATTAAAGATAAAGGATTATACTAAATCCGTCGTGTGGCACATTTTTAGATAACTTGTTCATTTTTAAGATTTTGATGGTCAAACATCAACAAATAAACCATATGTTTGGACTAAATTTTCACTCGAAAATAAAAATATAATTTAAAATTCTATTTAGGAGGGATATAGATTGAAGTTTTATTGATTACAGTGATATATGATTTATATGGTTTTGTAACCAAATTGCTCACTATTTTATGACAAATGCTGAGCTCTGCAAACCTTAATCTAAGGAATTTAAAATTATATATTTTTTCCTTTAAGAAGCTTGCGTGCGTTTGGAATTATGGGTGTGGCTTAACACGACAGAATCGTGCTAAGGTTTAGGCAGATTTCTGAAATCTAATACATATAAAAATTGTCTTGTCACAGTTTTAGATACCGTACTCCTCCATAACGGTTTAACCAATTTTGATGAGAAATTTTATATATGTATATTCAGTAGGTCCTAGAATAGGTTGTTATCTATTTTTTTATACCCTAAGTGACAAGGGGGTCCACCCATTTTTAAATTTTTTGGACAAAATTTTTAATTTTGTTTTTGATGTGGCATTAAAAATACATACAACACTAAATTCTCACTTTCAAATAGTTTTTTTTAATTTTTTGTTACGTACTTCTCCGTAACTTGGCTTGACCGATTTTGATGAAATTTATATGTATATTCAGTGGGTCTGAAAATGGGTTGTTATCTATTTTTTATACCCTTAAGTGACAAAGGGGGGCCCACCCCAATTCTTTCAACCAAAGCACAGCCTCCACAATAAAAGTGACAAGGGGGGCCCACCCAATTTTTATTTTTGGACAAAATATTTAATTTTGGTTTTTGATGTGGCATTAAAAATACATTTAACACTAAATTTTTACTTTCAAATAAAAAAAAAAAAAGTTGTTTTTTTTTTAATTTTTTGTTACCATGCTCCTCCGAATATCAAGAACAGCTTGACCGATTTTGATGAAATTTAATATGTATATTCAGCAATATTATACTAAAAAATATTTTTATCTTTATTTTTTTATTTTATGAGCTACAGATGCCCTGTATATTATCTAAACAAAATTTTTTGAATTTTTGTTTTGTTACGATGTGGCATTAAAAATACAAAAAAAAAAAAAAAAAAAAAAAAAAAAAAAAGAGTTTTAATTTTTTTATTTACGTACTTCTCCATGTGGCTTCACCGATTTACAGTGGGGAAATTTTTATATATGTATATTCAAGTGGGTCTGGAATTATTTGTTATCTATTTTTTATACCCTTAAGTGACAAGGGGGGGCCACCCCAATTTTTTTTATTTATTTTTGGATAAAATATTAAAATTTTGGTTTTGATGGCATTGAAAATACACGTTTAACACTAAATTTTCACTTTCAAATAGGTTTTTTTTTAATTTTTTGTTGCTATCTCCGAAACGGCTTAACCGATTTTGATGGGGAAGTTACATATGTATATTCAGTAGGTCTGAAAATAGGTTGTTATCTATTTTTTATACCCTTAAATTATAAAAAAAAAAAAAAAAAATTATTTTTGGATAAAATATTTAATTTTAGTTTTACGATGTGGCATTAAAAATACATTTAACCTAAATTTTCACATTCAAATGGGGGTTGTTTTTTAATTTTTGTTACCATACTTCTCCCGAATATCCAGAACGGCTTGACCGATTTTTGATGAAATTTAATATGTATATTCAGTAGGTCTGAGAAGAGGTTGTTATCTATTTTTTATACCTTTTTTTTTTTTTATTCTTTTTGATTCTTTTTTATTTTTTTGGACAAAATTTTTTTTTTTGTTTTTTTTAATGATGTTTTTAAAAAATACATACAACCTAAATTTTCACTTTCAAATGGGGTTTTTTAATTTTTTGTTACATTACTTCTCTCCGTAACGGCTTGGCCGATTTTTGATGAAATTTTTTGCTAATATGTATGTTCAGTAGGTCTGAGAATGGGTTGTTATCTATTTTTATACCCATAAGTGACAAGGGGGCCTACCCAATTTTTTCTTTTTAGGTAAAATGTTTAATTTTTGTTTTTTTACGATGTGGCATTAAAAGTGCCTTACGACACTAAATTTCACTTTCGATAGGGGTTGTTTTTAATTTTTTGTTACCATACTTCTCCGTAACGGCTTGTGATTTTTGATTAAATTTTATATGTCTATTCAATGGGTCAGAGAATAGGTTGTTATCTACCATTTTTGAGATTTTGATGGTCAAACAAAGTTGTATTTATTATGCCAAAAATATTGATTGAAATAAATTTAATAGTTGAATTTAATTATTAAACGATACTTTCTTATAATTTAAAAAATAAATTTTAATTTAAAGTTCAGGGTTTAATATTTTTTTTTTTCTTCAAAGAATAATCAGTACCCACATCATTCAATACGTCATTTAAAATATAAGGTTTATAAGACATGTCTATATTAGAAAGAGTATTATAAGTTAAAAATTCCGTTACAATACAGACATAAATTAAGGGTTTCTGATTACAGTTATATTTAATTTATTTTTATCAAAAAAAATATTTTTTTTTTTTTTTTTTTTCTGCTATTTGTTGTCTGTGGTCATATCGTCAGTTTCGTGTAAATTATATGTTACTTGTTCTATTGAAGCAAACTGATGGCATATTTAGTTTTTCGGTATTTTTTACTTTATTCGATGAAAATGACCTCTGAATAGAATGACATATCATATAATAACTTTGACATTTTCATATGGATTATTTGAAATTATAAAGGGAAATTATAACATGCGGTTCCTAACACGTGTTCGACAAAATACCGAGTGTGAGGTATCAAATTATTCGTAAAAAAATACTTTCAAATATGCTAATTAGCCACACCCTCGTTCTATTTGAAAAATTGAGATATGATTAAAAGTACAGTTTGAGCATTTCTAACTGGCCAGGACAAGGCACTAAAACATTAGACAATCAAATCTATTTTTCCAAGGCTACCAGTTGAAATTTAAAATTCAATTTCGTTTTAAGCGAAAGTTTCAAAGTTATTATGAAGTATATGATATGTCATTATATTCAGAATGTCATTTTCTATCGAATATAGTAAACAAAATACCAGGGGTGCCATTTAAAAGATCAAAAGTTGTAGTGTTTTCCGGTGGAAAAAAGAAGTGACCAAAACAATTGAATACGTCAATCAATCCTAATTTATGTCATATGCACCATAACATGCAAAATCTCGTTTTTTTATCTGAGAAAATAAAAGAGAGTTATAGAGATTGAGTCCTTTTGAGACGCACCAGTGTAGAAAATTAAAATACTTAAAAAAAAAAAATTTCTTTGAAAGTCAAATGTTGCCATTTTAAATTTTTATTTAAAAAAAAAAAAAAAAAAAAAATAAAATTCTTTTTGAAACCTTTGAGCACACTTTCCTGATTAAATAAACGAATTGGCAGATTAAAAAGCTTTATGTTGGTAGTCATGGCAAATATTACCGATTGCATTGAGATTTTCTTTAAAAATTGGATATTTTATCACTTTCGACTGTAATATTTTTTTTTTCTATTTGACATATGACATTTAAAATTTTTGCTCTGAGTTTTTAAAAATTTAAATTAAGTCACAATGTTTTGTGTACGTAAAACTGCGATTTTCATTTGCAATAAAATATGAAACCACTAAATAGTAGGAATCAGCGACTTGTCTCATTATACTAATCAATTAATTTGAACAGGTAAAAGGATTACAGGGAGCTCCTTTTGTCATTAAACCACGCTAGATCGAAAACATTGTTGCCTAAGTATTGTCGCTTTTATTGAAATACATAATATGCCGTATAAGATCGAAAAACGGCGTCAGAGATAGATGACTTGGAAATGACGATCAACAATATTTCCCATGCATATATAAATTACATATAATAAAACAATAATTAATAATAACCGTCTATCAAAGAATATAATCGAAATTATATTACCATGATTGCCTTTTGATTTTTAGGACTGAAAAAAATTCAACAATATACAAACAGTATGGAAATTTGGAAAAGTATAAAACAGGATTAACCATTTTTAGAACAAGCAAAATTTTTTTTATGAAGAATACATTTTCTCAAAATGTCAATAATAAAAAGTTTTCCACTTGTTTTCCACAAATCCGGGGACATTCATAGAATTATATAGAATTATTTATGTAATGGAATTATATTATTATTATTATTATTTTTTTATATTTACGGTGAAATAAGAATAATTAAAATTATAAAAAAAAAGTTTTATGATAAAATTATTCAGCTCTATTGGCAAAAGAAATACTGACTATGGAATTTGCTTGATCATATCAATTTTGTATCAATGAATTTATTAAAAATCTTTAAAATAGGATTTACAACATAAGATACCTGTTTGTCTAGATGTTAATTTATGATGTTTGCCCTTTTTCCTATTTTATCACATATCAAAATATTATAATATCAAAACCGGATTTCTGTTTAACTAGTTTTTTTGTTATTATAATATATTAATAATTGTTAATATAATATATATACAATTATTAATTAATATATTAAGCATACATCATTTTGCCTTTTTCCGCAGCATTTATGATTATGATAGTTTTAGGTTTCGTTATAATGGGATTTAAAAACCTATCATTTTTGTTTATAGTTTTCTGCAAATTAAAGAGTCGATAACTAAATAATTTATAACGTACTGATTTAACTAAATTTCAAACTGCAGGTACAATACAAATAATCAGAAATAGGCCTACGGAACATCGCGTCCGCCGTGTCGCCATATAAAATCAAAGTCTCGGGCGGCTTGAGGGTGAGTGGTCTCATACTTGCAACCTATTGTAAATAATTTGGGATAGCTAAAGAAAGTATTAGCATTAGAGAATTGTACCAAGTTCCAAAAACTTTCAATATTTTTTAATTAAAAAAAAAAAAAAAAAAAAAAAAAAAAAAAAAAAAAAAGTTTCTCGCTTACCGAAAATCATGATACAATAAAGAGTTAATGTTTGAAGTTTAATCCATTTTCCAAAAAATACACCTCACTATGGAATTTTAGTACCTCAGCTATCACCACCTATGTGTTCTCAATCGATTAAAAAAGAGTTTGTGATAAGTTGGTGGTTTAGGAGTTATCGCGTAGGAAAGATAAAAACATGGTTTACACATTTTTTGACATTTGCTAGTTAAAAATTTCGGCCCCACCCCAAAAGGTCGTAGTGGTTATTTCCACATGCACAAGGCCAACTTTAGTAATCCTGTATAGATATCATGTAGTTATACCTCAAAAGAATTTTGACACATTTTTGATATCGTTTTTACTCCACTGAAATAATATGGGAAATATTCAGATGTGATTTACACTGAATGCGTCCGACCAAAAATCAGGCGGTGGGGGATCGTGAACGGACCGCCTTCCACAGCACACCCGCTCTACCCGACCCCTGAGACCGACCCGAGCGGTGTAGCGCAAATGGACTCTTAATACGCTGGCGCTGATGACTGTGCTCTAGTTGCAAATACGTTACAGCAATTCCAAGAAATGTTGAACACATGAGGCTTTGGGACTTAAGCTGAACATCGATAAAACTAAAAGCATGTGCGATGACAACATTGCTATAAAAATCGGTGAAGAACTATTGAAATATGTAGCGGAATTCAATTACCTCGGCAGTTTAATTTCGGAAAAGGCCAATATCGACTCTGAAATTCAGCACAGGATTAGCAGCGCCTCAAGAGCATTCTGGAAATTAAAAGACAGGGTTTTCTACAATCGCGGCTTGAGCGCAAAAGCAGAACTTGCAGTGTACCGAGCAATAATAATTCCCACCATGTTATATGGAAGCGAAACCTGGGTGCCGTACGCCGACACATGAACGCATTAAACAAATTGCAACAGAGACATCTTAGACAACTCTTAATCATCAAATGGTTCCATCATGTCTCAACGCATCAGTTCTTGAAAAAGCTAACTGCGAGAGTATTGAAGTCATGATTAAAAAATCCCGACTAAGATGGGCTGGTCACGTATACGGGATGGAGAGAAAACCGCCGCAAAATCTCTTCTTACAGTGCTGCTTGTTAGACGATAAGAGGAAACCAGTTGGACAACTCAAAGGTACAATGATGTTTTCTATGACAACTTAAAGTTGATAAACATGGAGAATGAGTGGGAAAAAGCAACGCAATGGAGAGAATTTTTAAACTCAGTTAACAACAACAACCAAAAGTGATAGCCGGAGGGCTGGCGACATATTTAGAAAACATATTTTAGGCATGTTAGAATACAAAAAAAAAAATAAAGTTTAATAATTTGTGAACCCAGAATCCTAAGTCTGGCTGGGGGGCTGGGGGTATAAATGTGTTTATTCTTAAATTTTAGCATCTATTTAACCTAGAAATAAGTGTGCCAGACTTTTTTTTCGGGTTTAAAGTGTAACCAGACCATTCCAAATATGTTTAATTATTATACCTGGAAAACATACTTTGGGCATTCTAAAATTTTACAGCGTGTTTATTAGATGATATTAAAAATATGTGTTAATTTTTTTTTTTTTTTATTATTTAAGTTATTTTGATTAAACCAAAATAATAATAATTATTTTTTTTTTTTTGGTAATAAAGTCTTATGAGTATCTCTAAGCGCGATAGTTAGAGAAGTAGTACCAGTAAGAGAACATACATCATATAAAGAGCTTTCTTTTTGGTATCTAATTTTTCACACTAGAATAGGTCCTAGGAATGACATTTTAGACGTAAAAAAACTTGGCGTTTGTAGAAATACAATTTTTGGAAGTGTATGTCACATTGGCTACGTTAATAATTTTTGTTCAAGGAGTTGAGCAACATGAAATAAGTTCTGAAATCAAAACAGAATGTAATAACACACTAACTAAGATGTGGACTGTTATCTTTCTTACAATATTATTATTTGTTTTGTTAGACTTTTTTACTTAATCAGGGCCTATATATAAGAATCGGTAGTCGCTGATCTACTGTTTAGTCCTGACAGTGCTTGCAAGATCGATAAGAAACTATTTTTTTTTTAAGTGATTTTTTCGTAGAAATGTCCACTTTAAAGTTCATGAATGGCCACGGTGGTGCAAAAATAACCAACGGAACTATTAATGGAGACGCCCATGTTCATAAGGATGTATTTCATCCCGAAATAGGCCATAGGTAGGTGTCAAAATGGTATTTTGACCAAACATATTATATTAGTATTTTTAATAACTGATGTCATTTTTATGTGGTCTGTCGAAATCTTTCTTGACTAGTTGGGCGGACTTTACGCTGTGCCTCTGTTAGTGAGTCTTAACACCCTAGCATATGCCCTAGCATCACCCTACATAATATACCGGGTGCGTCTCAAAAGTGAAAGAAAAAAAAAAAAAAAAAATTTTATTTTTCAGATAAAAACGATATTTGGTTGTGAGTATGTGACATAAAGTAGGATTGATTAACATTATTCTATTGTTTTTGGTCAAATGACTACAAGTTTTGATTTTTAAGTAACATCCTCGGTATTTTTACTTTGTTGATAGAAAATGTATGTAATGACATATCACATGTCAACTTTTGACGTTTCCTTTAAAATCGTATTTTAAATTTCAATCCTAGAGTGCCATGGTCGTTTTAAAAACACTAATTTTCTAAAACACTAATAGTCTTGGAAAAATGGAATTTGATCGTCTATTGTCTTTGAGTGTCCTGTCCTGTGCAAGGGGTGGTAATTACATATTTGGAAAAAGCATTTTTTACAAAATAATTTGAATTTTCCACACTTGATATTTTCGAGTCAAATTGACGTTATGAACATGTTACAATTTCAAATGCAAAACCATATGAGAAAATTCAAAGTCGACATATGATGTGTCATTCTATTCCAGGCGTCATTTTCTATGGAATTAGAAGTAAAAAATACCGAGGAGTCTCATTAAAATCAAAAGATTTATTATTTCAGTGAAACAGGAAGTGATCAATCAATCCCTAATTATCATAAAGCTATATAAATCTTATTTTTATATCTGGTTGGGGTTGGGATGGGACGTTTGAGGTGAGACTTGGTTTGAAGTTAGAGCAGGATATTCAGAGATAACTCACTAAATGTGCGATATAAAGCGTGTTAAATTATTATTATTACCTATACCTACTTTATTATTTTTTTACTAATATATTATTAAATTAATGCCATAAAGTGATAAAAAGATTATTTTTTTTTTTTTTTTTTTGTATAAATAAAATTATAATAACACAATAAAAATTAAAATATATGTAATAATATACTATTTCTGAATAGTTTATTATGACTGTGAAAGTGTAGTAACAACCTTGCAGTATTAGTATTATTAGTACTTAGTATTTTAGTATTCAATCAACGATAGAATTAGAGTAAAAAAAATGTACCTAAGAACCTGTACCAGTAAACCTTAACCAGAAATGCAAATACAAAATTGTTTTAAAAGAATTTACTGAGAATCTTAATTTATTATAGGAGGATCTCAATTTGACTTTTAAGTAAGACTGACATTATTATTACAAATGGAACCTTCGCCGTTGAACTTAATGATAGTGCTGTTTAAAATTTTTGTTAAAAAGATGGAAGAAAGAAAAGTAGATAACAGACATCAAAGAACAAAAAGTCGTTATGTGAATATTTTCACTCAAAATCCTAACCGTTTTTACCTTTATTTTACAAATTTTTTTTTTGTTATTTTTTTATCTATTGGAGTCACTATGGAGTAACTCATAGAATTTTATTTTGCTTATTTAATAACAAAAGAAAATAAATATATTTTTTTTTTTTTTTAATTTAAGATTAGAAAAACTAATTAATTATTGGAGCTATTCATGGTCTTTTTTAAAAATATTATTATTATTACGTTTTTTTCGATACTGCCCGACATTATTCTGATAAAATATTTTTTTTTTAAGTTACTTTATTTTTTAGTTATCTGGACTTATTTATTTTAGGGTATACCTCATTTTATTTTTATTTAACAAAATATTTTTTTTTTTTTTTATATATTTTTTTTTGCTACTTGGGTTATCAATTGAATATTTTTTCGGATTATACAGGGTGAGCAGAAAGTGTTAGTAACAGGGTTATTTTAAATTTTTGAATGTGGGTGGGGGGTTAATCGCTTCGACCTTACAGATCCATTGTGTCCCCCTTTCTTGAATCATAACTCATCATACAGTCAGGGCTTTAATAAAAGCCATTATCTGGGACGGTTTTATCTGAGACTGTTTTCAAGAGGTTAGTTCTCTCCATCTCCAATATCAGTCGTACCAAAATTCATGGCACGAATGGTTTGTCGTCGGCGCACTCGGTGATAAGGTGTGGTGTTTCATCATCTTCCCACAGAATCTGCATTCTTCGTTTCTTCTTAGTTTCAATCTACTGAGGTGTTCATTGAGGAGACAGTGTCCCTGTTAAAAACCCGTGACAATCCGAAGATTGTTCAGACCCAGGAAGATCTGCGATTTTTCTTGATCATGAAGCCCTCAGAAACTTCTTCGAGTGTGTCTTAGACCCTTAGACCGTTGGAAGATTTCCATTCCATGTTGCGGATGGAATCTTCCAAGTTCTGAGTTCCGCCAAGGTTGGTTACCACTTGGAAAGCAAATTGGTTCTGGTCCAGTTACATACCGAATTGGTCATCGAAATTGCGTGGTCTAGATTTTAACGTGTAAGGCAGTGATGTAGACAGCTGAAATATATTAAAGAGATAAAAATTAGGCTGATACATTTTTTCTATGCAATTATTGCCGAATTTTGCATCGACATTCAAACCACACAAGTAGGCGTTTACGAAAAATGTTGCATCTAGGAGTTGGAACTTTATTTTTACAATTGGTTACTAGATTTACTACGGCTGTAATAGATTATATTTAGCTTAGATATATTATCTTCATTTCAGTGGTACACGTGAAAGTTTTGGAAATAATTTATTTTTCTAAAAAAAACATTTTTCTACAAACGTAAAAACCGCTTTTTATTTTGTCCTCTCTCTGTCAACCGGTCATTTTATATTTATCTCTATCGCATGCATCTTAAAATACAGACCACGCAGTTGAAGTGATCAGGATGGTATAAGAGACTTTTTCTATTTCTATAAATAATTTAGTTTAAAGTATTTTACAACGTAATGACTTATTTAAAACACATATTTCATATAGAAATATATAAACAAAACGTTACAAATTGTTATTCACATTTTATCAAAAACGTGATTTTTAAGTACGACTAATTATTATTTAGCATATAGCACAAACTGATAATTTTTTTACATCTTATACAGGGTGACCAAAAAAAAAAAAACATGTGCCATCTTCGTTTGGAGATTCCCTAATGCTTTGTTTCATAGCTACAGGGTGTTAAAGCATTAATAATCTTTCGATTTATTATAATTTTCCAATTGCTTTTAGCAATTCAAATAAAATTTTGAATAAAATTTTGAGGGAAAAGTAACTATAAGTGCTAAGAGCATTCTTAATGCTTAAAAATTCTGAAAAAATCAGCATTTATTAGACTTTTTAAAAAAAAAAAATATTTTTAAAAACATCTGGACTAATTGCCTTTTCTTTGATATCAAAATTGTGTAGGTCGTTTAATGCCAATTAAATGTTATCTCTCGATATTTTATCGAATTCGGCTTCCCTTTGATGATAAACGCAATTGTATTAATCACAATTAATAAAATTAAAATTAAAATAAAATTAATAAATTATATATTTTACCTAATTTATTATTAAATTTTATTACTATTAGTTATTATTACTATTAGTCTAACTTACAGCAATTTCCAACAAAACACACATTGTTTAAGATAATTACAAAACCCACTTTAAAAAGTTCCAAAATAATTTAATATATAATTACAGACAACTTGATGTATAACTCTTTTGGGGACACCCTGTAAAACTCTCTATATTTTAAAAAAATGCTCTAAATTAGCTTCCACATATGCTCCCAAAATTTCATTTCCAATACAATAAACTCTGTTCTCCTTGGAGCCTCCGTGTCATGAGAGAAGGCGCCACCCTGTAAAACCTGAAATAATTACTTGAATGTTTATACTGTACGATTGAAAAAGTTAAATCGTGGAACCTTGACATGAAAAAATTGGATGACATGTTTGAAAAATGACATAAAAATTGTGAAAAGTATGTAACTTAGAAAAATACAAATTTTCTAAATAAAACTTTTACAGATATACCTACGAATCTTTACAAGAAACCGTTGAATTCTTGCGATCCAAAGTACCATATCTACCGGAAGTCGGTGTCATATGCGGGTCCGGTCTAGGTAAGAAGACACTTGTCTGTCAAAAAACCTGACAAACAAAAACGACAAATTAATTCGTTCTAACTTGCAGAAATTGACCATTTTACAGGCTCGTTGGCGGAGTGTTTGGACAATCCCATAGAAATATCCTACGACTGCATTCCGCACTTTCCCAGAAGTACCGTCAAGGGACACGTGGGGGCGCTGGTTTTCGGGTTCATGTCAGGGCTGCCAACTGTGTGCATGAAGGGGCGGTTCCATTACTACGAGGGCTATCCGTTGTGGAAATGTTGTATGCCTATTAGAATTATGAAACTACTTGGTAAGTGGATAGAGGAACATTAGAAAAATAATCAAACAGAAGAGCCCTATACAGGGTGCTACAAATCTGAGGTACGAGGACTGGTATCTCGGTAACCATAACAGATACACAGCAATACGTAACCGAACGGGAAGTAATAACAA